TGTGTGATCCGCTCTCCTTGGTGCACTGGGAGTAGACTCAGGCTGGCTGCTTGGCTGCCTGGTGGCTGCACGCTCCTGGTGTGCAGTGCTAGCAACAGGGGCCCAGTTGGGGGCAGCTGTCCGCTGCTGCCCAGGGCTGGGCTCTCTATGGTGGAAGCAGTTGCATTTGATTAGCATTTTACTCTGGGGTTTATGCAGACTTCAGTTTTTTTACAAAATCTTCTGTAGATATCAGGCTTTTCAAGTGAGGCCCACCTCGCTTCTTCCCCCTCTCCTTTTCCAACTTCACAGAAGACATAAGGGAGATATTTTAAATTAAATCCCATCGAAGGCCACCAAGACACCAGCGTAGTTTTCCTCTGCCAACAGCTGATACCAGTGAAGACGTGGCCAGCCAGGCACAAGGTGTTGGTGTTGCTGCCCTAGAGTCAGAGACCCCACCTCTAGAGCTAAGGGCACCTTCTGGTCTGCCTGCCCAACTGTGGCTTTCCCGTGAAAGACACCACTGCCCTGTCTGACACGTACTCACTCAGCAGCCCTAGCCTACAAAGAGTGAGATGATTTCAGCTCTTCCTGGTGACTTTTATATTACATATGTAAAGAAGAGAATGTTGGGGGCATCTCAGCTTTTTATTTCACATTTTCATTAATTTACAGTTTCAAGGATTCATACCCCTCTATATATTTTTCTTTTTCTTTTAAAGAGAAAAAAGAAAAAAATGGAAAAATCAAGAAAGCAAACTGAAAAAACAACAAAAGCAAAACAACAACAAACAACTATGGCTATATGGCTTTTCAAAATCCGATGATAGTAATTCACCAGTGGTTGTTATATTGCATATTGTTATCTTCAAAATAGTTGCTCAGGTTATGAGATACAAGAGTAAAACAAAACAGTGAAACAGAACAAAACATTGGATTTCAAAAACAAGATACAAAGGCATCTCCCACAATTGCTGCAATACACATTGTTATCATCCCAATAGATGCTCAAACCACCAGTTCTAGGCCTGCAAAGTCAATCAAACAATAAAAGTGCTTTTATTTTTTTTTACTTCAATTGCAGTCATCTCAGCCTGACTCCCCCTGAATCAGCCCATTGCTGCCCGGGGGTGGGGGTGGGGAGGTTTTGCTTCTTGATTCTTTTCCCATTGCCCATGGTGGCTATGCCAGGCTCACAGGCTGGCATGGTTTGTCCCCTCTAAATATTTTTGTTTCTAAGCAAAATACAAGATTTTTGTTTTTGTTTTCATCTTGGTACTGGGAATCGAACTCAAGACTTGAGAGGCAGGTACTTGTGCCACTGAGCTGTATCTCTACCCCAAAATACAAGATTTGATACATTTCCCAGAGTCTTAGGGACGTGGGCCAGAGGCAGAGGTCACTCTTGGGGCTGGTGGATATGCAGACTGTAGCCTCCCACTTGATCTTAGGGCCACCCTGTGGGGCTCCTGGTAACACAACATCAAGTTTGGGGTTGGTGCTCTGGGCACCCTTCCCCTGTGTAAGGGTAAGTGTTTATTTGCCAAACAAGACCTTGTCAGTGAAGAGCAGAGGCAGTGGTTCCTCCTCCCCACCCCCCCCCCCAGTGCCTCTGCATCTGGCAGGCATCAGCCCGATCCTGGCTTCCACAGTCCTGTGCGTACCTTGAGTGCGAACTGCCTGCTGGCTTCCTGGTGCCCCGCCCTTGGCTCCTGAGGCAGCCTCAAGCCTGATGACCTCCCCTTGTCCTGTGTGGACTATGTCCTGTACCTCGGCCTTCAGGCCTGGGAGCATCTCAGTCCTGCCTCGTGCGGCAGAGGGTCCATGGTGCCTATGTGGCAACACCTCCCAGGCCTGTGCCTTGCAGTCTGGAGCTCACCTGGAACATGAAGTCCACTGTTCTAAATCTGTCCAGTTCAAGCCCACTTGACATGCTTGGAGCCCTGTGGAGTGTGTAGGCAGGATGGGGGCTGGAGGGCGGTGTTCAGGCTGTCTGTGCGGGCTGACATATGTGTCCACCTGCAGCTGAGGAGTACCTATCCTTTGCCTTTGCGCACTGCCACCGCTCCAGCCAGAAGAACAAGAGGATGATCCTCATCTACCTGCTGCCTGTGAAGATGCTGCTGGTGAGTGGCTGTCCTGCTCTGCAGCTCTGTCACCATGTGGAGGTGGGGGTCTTGTGACCATGTGTGGACTGCATCTGCCTGGTTGGACGAGGGAGAGCACAGAGACGTGTGTGCATGAGTGGGTGAATGCCCTGTCTCTGTGCCTGACCCTCAGCTCTTTCAGAAAGGCAGTGCTTGTGTTGCTTCTCTTGAAAGTAACTCTGAGGCTGGACATTTGTACTATCGACATTTCTTCCTAAAGCCCAAACCCTTAGCATCTGGTTAACCAAGAAGGGAAACTGTTCCTGCCACCTTTCCTTAGGTGTCTGGTGGAGTCCCCAGAAGTGACTCTGATAGTTGAGTAGGAAAGCCACATCAGCAGTCACTGCCTCACAGCGTGGAGCTGCTTCCCTCCCACCTGAACCTGATAACTGAGTGAACAAAGATGGGATCGTACCCACATGTGGCTGGGAGTGACTCAGCCCGAACACCTGCTGCAGAGCAGTGTGGCCAGCTGTTCTAGGTTTGAGACATTTCCCACCCCAAAATCCTGTGCGTGCACTGCTCTCTCTATTTCTCCCATCAGTGACAGCAGCCTGCAGAGGTCAAGTTCGAGTACCCATCCCCTGAATGGCAAACTGTGCAGTACCAGTGTTTCTGGGCAGCACTGTTCTCTCCCCTGGCATCTTCCTGCTGTGTCACAGTCTGACACCCTGGTAAAGCCACACCCATTCTGGAGAGCCACCCTTGTCTCTGCAGGGCCACATGCCGACTGTGGAGCTGCTGCGAAAGTACCACCTCATGCAGTTTGCTGAGGTGACCAAAGCTGTGAGGTGAGTGTCATCTCTCCCCTGGGAAGCAATGGGACTGCGGGCCTGAGGGGCAGGACTCACATAGTCTCCTGTGGTCCCAGCGAGGGCAACTTGCTGCTGCTGCACGAGGCACTGGCCAGGCACGAGACCTTCTTCATCCGCTGTGGCATCTTCCTCATCCTGGAGAAGCTCAAGATCATCACCTACAGGAACCTCTTCAAAAAAGTGTGAGCAGCCAGGGCACTGCCCCGCCTTTATCCAGGCCGTCCGTGTGTGGTGCTGCTTTCCTCGTTGGGCCACAAACAGCCTCCCCGCTGCCCTGTACCTTCCGTGTGTGGGGTGGTTAGGTGAATCCCCAGCATGCCTCCTGTGTGGCTTGGATTGCCGATCAGGAGCAGTAGTTGAACCCCAGGACCTTCCTGTAAGATACGTCCTTGCCTCAGAGCTAGGAATGTGAAAAGATAGGTACCTTACACTTGATGGGATACTTGGTAAATGTGTGTGTCCTAATGGCTTTTTTTAAATAGGCAAAGCCCTCCAGTTTCTGCAGCATTCCAGAGTGTATGTAACCAATAGGAATTGTGCTTACTCCTTGGAAAGCTGTGGTTTCCCACCCTGCCCTGGGCCCATCTGGGTGACCATGTGGCCTCCGAGCCTTACTGTCACAAGCACCATAAGTGAGCGTAGGGTATGAGAGTAGATCTGCCAGACACTGCCTCTCGAGTGTGTGCTTTATTCACACCACACACCTCAGCTTGGCAAACCTTTGCCCCACAAGGCACACACAGGTGCAAGGTCCCGATCCTGTTCACTCACGTAAATGTGAGAGCAACTAAGCCTGAGTCACTCGCTGATCATAAGTCCAGGTACGGGCTAGGAGAGCTTGTGACCTAGTGGGGGCCTGCTGTCTCCGTCCTCTGAGCCAAGAGGGTGTGGCCTGTGAGTGAAGTTTAGCATTTTGTTGACATTGATCACGTCTGGTCAGCAGCACTTCTGTTCCTCCCTCCCTGTGGTTTCCTGGGGAGTTCCTGGCTGTTTCACCTGTCACTGCTGTAGTCGTTGGCCATCTGTTCTGAGGGGTGGTAGTCAGTTTCTTTGGATGTTGCTCTTTAGAGGTCTTGAAAACTCCTTGCCTGCTGCTAGTGTATTGCATGTCATGGCGCACTCGACATGACTGATGCCATGCGCCTTACAGTAACACAGTGGCCTCTCCTCCCTCTCCCAGGTACCTGCTACTCAGAACCCACCAGCTGTCCCTAGACGCCTTCCTGGTGGCCCTGAAATTCATGCATGTAGAGGACGTGGACCTGGACGAGGTGCAGTGCATCCTGGCCAATCTGATCTACATGGTGCGTGCACCTCTCGGGGCCTTGGGCTGTGGGGAAGTTGTTTCTAGCTGTACTGACTTGACCCAGACAACGCCACTGCAGGACTCCTGTGGTACGGGTGTGTTCCAGGGCTGCACAGTCTGCAGCTCTGCGTCTGTTTTTCATCTTCATCCCCACGGGGAGGAAGGCCCAACCCTGTGTCCCTGTGGTGACTTGATGGGAAGCTTGTGCTGACCTCCTCCTCTCCACAGGGCCACATCAAGGGCTACATATCCCATCAGCACCAGAAGCTGGTCGTCAGCAAGCAGAACCCCTTCCCCCCACTGTCCACCGTGTGCTGATGAGGAGGCCATGAAGAAACAGCCCCAACCCAGGGTCCCTGTCATGAAGTCACTTGAACCTCACTATGGCTGGAACCTCCCAGTGCTTTCTTGGGAGACCAGGATGCCAGCACACCCCAATGTCCCGGCCCCTGCCTCCTGACCGAATCAGCCTCAGGAAGAACCAGACGCCCCTTTCCCAGGAAGTGTGGCAGCTGCTGGCTTGCAGCACCTGGTCTTAGGAAGACCGGGGCAACTGTTTATACAGGTGAACTTTGTACCTTTTGGTAGCTCTTTTCTATAAAGAAAGATACTCTGAATTTATGCTCATGGCATATTTTTTTATCATAGCTGCCAAGATACTTCTGTCTTTATATATTAAATCTAAGCCTCCCATGCCACTGAAACACTTGGTTAAGGCTTCTGTGTAGAAGCAGGCTCCGGTCTGATACAGATCTTCTTTTTTTTTAAATCGGTACCAGAGATTGAACTCATGTGACCGCACGCTTACAAGGCAGGCACTTGCGCCACTAAGCTAAATCCCCAGCTCCTCTGATGCAGATTTTCCAGATTTAATAGCTTGCCAGGATCCGGTGCTCGAGCTGATGACAGAGTCCAGGCTGGGCAGCTGACATGGCAGAGGCTGAGGTTGGGACATCATCCTACAGCTGCGTGTGACCCTTGCCACTCTGGGCTGAGGTCCACATCAGCATCAGGGATGTGGCAGGAGGGTTTGCGGCACAGTTCAGCCACAGCCTGGGAGTTGTCAGCCTTTTTAGAGTGCACATTTCCCCGTTCGTGAAGCATTTGCTTAGGAAGAGAAGTACTTCCACTCGTCTCTGCTGACTGATCAGGCTGGACAGCCGTGTGTCTCCTCGGAAGCAGCTGCAGTAGGGATGGGGCCAACACACCCATCTCCTCACCGCTGCCTCTTGGTACAGTTCCTGCTACCTGACAGCCTTTCCAGCTGCTCTCCCATGCTGAGCATCTGTGTGACCGCACTGGCAGGTGGTGGCCAAGCCAAGTGAGGAAGTGGCCCATTGTGTGACTACCAGTTCCTTATGAGCCCATGCCAATGCTAGCTTGCTTGCGTGGAGGGGAGGGGTTAAGGATGCTGTGTGTGTGCTGTACGTGGGGCCTGTGGTGAAAGAGACAGTGGGAAACAGGGCTGGGCTGCATCTGACGGTTTTATTCCTTAACATACCTAGTTTTTCTCTAGGGCCTTGGTTTGGGGTTAGGAATGTCAGGGTGCTCAGTGGTGATCTAGAAGGAAGTGGTGGTCAGCAGCTGCAGATGGCCTTATGCTGACAGCAGTGCTGTGGGTCAGGCTTTCCACGTGTCCCTGTGTGGAGCCCTGCCTCGTGACCTGCCCTTTCTGGGTGAGTTCGGTTATTTCATTGTCTGCTTGAACCAGAGTGCATATCTTGAGACCTTGGTGACAAGAAATGTGGCTGTCTGCTCCTGTGGCCTTGGTGATGAGCCTAGGATCCCTGTGAGGAACCAGGTGCCTTTGTGTTCTCTGGCGACCATGCTTCCTGCCACCCACGGTCCAGCTGCTGCATCACTTCTCTCACAGCTCATCCGGGTGGTGATGGTGACATTCAGGGCCTGGCTACACTCTTCCCTGTCCACCTGTGTGACTGGCAAGGTTGCTAGCGTGTCATCCAAGTCGGTGCCATTGATCATCCAGCCGCTGAGGACCCCCACTGTCCTTGGAATGAGTACCTGCTTGGCAAAGTCCCACTCAGGGGTGCACACAGGGAGCCCCGAGCCAGGACACTGCACGGGCCGCTCCAGCTGCAGCAGCGAGACATCGTTCTGGCCCGACTCCGCATCATAGTGCATATGCACATGTGCGTGCCTGACCCTAGCCGTCCACGGAGCCTCGCCTGGGCTGGCAGGACCTGGAGTCAGGTGAGAGGGGCACTGCTTAGGCAGCAGGTCCCAGGAGGTGCCACCCTCCCTGCAGGCAGCAAGTTCTCAGCCTGGAGAAGCAGCAGGAGCAGTGAGGGGAGCTTCTCCAGACCAGCCTGAAGTCATCTCCCCCAAAGGGTTTTCAGGCTGTTTTGTTAAAAGTTCGTGAGGGTGAGGAGTGAAGACTGGAGTCCTTCATATTCATTACTCGACACACTGGGAGTTTACTATGGGAACTTCATAGACTCCTGAGGGAGCAAAACTATTGCCCAGTGGGTAAACAGACAGCACAGGTCCATCTGGGGACAGGCAGTGTCATCCTACAAGTGCCTGACCACCAGCCCTTTCCCTCACAGCACTGCTCCCTTTCAGTGTCAAAAGAAGTCACTTTCTGCAGCTTTTACTAGGCTGAGGGTTGGTCAGCCCTTGACCACTGCCGCCCAGGTATTCTCCAGTGTATGTCACATACTTTACATGTGCTTCTAAATCTTGTAATGGTCTCAGCACCACCAAGGCTCTGTTCAGCCCATCTTACATGAGAAACAAGTCATTCCTCCACTGTGATCTCAGGAAAAATACTTACTTGATTTGACAGTGATGTTTCTGTGTGACAATGAGCACTGCGCTGTTGTCAGGACGAAGCGGTCCTGTACGAGGACACCACCACAGAAGTCCTTCCCTTGGGGGTCTGTCAGTGTGACCTTTATCAAACAAAACAGACCCAGGGCAGCTTAGGGGCATGTGCAGGGTGGGGGCAGTGAAGCCCGAGGCTAAGGATGCTGGCTTAACAGGGCGGCCACCACGTGTGTCCCACCCAGCCTGGGAAGGGCTGCCTGGTCTTGAGCAGATCCTGGCACTGCAAGCATCTGTCTTTCAGGTGCACGTGCCCCCACCCCACCCCCGGCCCACTCTGCCCTCCCTGGACCAATGTGCATGGAAAGAAGGCTTAGGGCAGAAAAGACCTGGGGAGAGAATCGTGCTGTAGCCCACATGACTGGCAAGGTGCCCCTCCTGCCAGGGGACAAGGCTACCAGCTGAACACTGAGGGGCCTTACCTCTTGTGGGCAAGCCGGTCCTGCACGGGATGCTGCTCTGGTCCTACCCATGTCTTAACAGCAGTCACCGCTAGGTGACATTTCCCCAGAGTAACACGAGTGCACTTATGGAGTCAGGCATGACCTGGCTCCTGCCATAGTAAAACACTGCCTGCCACCCACCAAAGGACACCAGGTGGGGGTGTATGCTTACAATATTAAAGAGGCTGCTTTTGCCATCTTCTGTCCCCTCGAGGTGTTGCTTCCCTGCCATGCCACCCTGCCTTGGAGCCAGCTGATTATGGACTGAAACCACAAAGGGTGAGCTAAATAAATCTTCCTTCATTTTGGGTGTCATTTTGTTCTAGCAACAAGAGAAAAGTAACCAAGACAATGTGGAAATAATATTTACATAGACTGAGTTAGAAGATATGATCAAAATTTCACCTGTTTGTAGTGTGGCTTGTAGGTTTTAACTATTCCTACTGGATGCCACACACTAGGGCAGAAGGCACAGGTCTGTTCGGGAAAGTCCCACCAGCAGGAATCATAACCGACATAAAACTATAGTAATGCAAAAACAAGACCTGTTCTGTGGTGGAGTCATTTTTAAGAAGCAAGAAAAGAATCAAATCCTGATCTAAATCACAGCTAAGAAGTTTGTAATTACCCAGGATGAGAAGCACTGCGTGATGACGTTGAGTAGGGTCTGAGGCCTGCAGGTGAGTGCCAACCAGAAATAATCGGGACCAGGACTGGAGAAGTGGAGGCACAGGAGCAAAGGCCACAGAACAGAGACTGAGGGGACAGACCCGGCCTGATGGGGCAGCCCCCAACCTCGGCACCCTGATGTGTGGCGTGACCCCAAGTGCCCTCTGTGCAGAGCCAGTGAAGGGGCTGCTGAGGGCCTGGCTCTGGACCAGCACATGCTCACGGGCAGGGCCAGTGTCCAGGGGAACAAGTCAGACACACCAGGTGCTTATCGCACGGTTTTTCTTCCCAGAGAGCCCCAAAACATAAGTAGAAGAACAAGATGAAGGTGGTGAGAAATGGACCTGCTGAGTTGGGGAGAGGAGGGAAAACACGCGTGAGAACAAGCCAGACACCATGTGCAGACCCCTGACCTCCCAGAGTGCAGCTGTATGTCGGGTGCATACCAACGAGGAAAAAAGAGTGCCAGAAATGAGTGAAGACAGGTGACAACTTCAGACCCAGGTAACAGTGTGATTCTCTTAGTGATGAAGGCCAGGGTTCGAGTCCCAGTACCAAGAAAATAAAGATCCACCTTGTCATCTCCATCTTCTTGCCAACTAGGTGAGGACTCAGTCCTCCTGCCTTGATCTCCTAGAGGGCTGGGATTACAGGCCTGCCCCACCACACCAGCCGCAACAAGGCACTGGTGAAATGCGTGTTACCTGCCACGGAAACCAGGGCGGACGCAGCCCGCTGCTCTCTGCCTTCTCATTGAGTCGGGAAGCCAGGATCCCACAGGCACACTGCTCTTCATTGTGGCAGCAACAGAAGGAGAAACTCAGCGCCTTTTGCACAGTCACAGCCTGACCCCCGGTGCAGCCAGTGACTCCCCCTCTGCTGTCCCTCACCGAAGAAGAGGTGCCCCACTTCTGTGTGCCCGACAAGTGCCTTACCACTGGGGCACCCATGCTGGCTTTGCACTCACAGCCCTCTTGCCTCAGCCTCCTGAGTAGCCAGGGTCACAGGCGTGCGCTGCAGTGCCCTCGCCAACCCCACAGGAGGAGAAGGGTACAGAGGGCCCTGCCTTACCGTGAGGCACACATGACCTTTGGTCCTTGCCCAGCTTGTGGCCCTGTGCGCAGCTGCACGTGAAGGATGCCTCTCCTGGGTGGCAGAAGTGCTGGCACCCATCAGGCCGCTCTGCATGGCATCTGTTCTTAGCTGAAAAGGAACGGAGGGGAACCACAGCCCCCAGCATGGGAATGGAAGTCCCAGCTTCCTGGGGGAGTTCTCCGTACCCTCCCCACCCCAGGAGTGGCAGAGCCTGACGCCCACCTTCCCGGCCTCTCCAAGTCGCTTCGTGGAGAAGGCATGGCACAGGAGGGGCTTAGTGTGGACAGCTGGGGGGCCGTGGTCAGGCACTTCCCCCTGTCCACCAAGGGTGGCACAGAGGCAGATGGAGTAGAGACAGGGTTCACAGACAGGCAGCCCGACGAATGGAAAGCAGGCTTTGTCTGCTGAGCACATGTTCCCACATGTGACGGTGGCTCACTCTGACCGTGTCCTCCCTGTCTTAGGTGCCCCTCACTGCCACCACTGGCTGCATGGACAGCGCGGCAGGGGAGACTTGTGCTCACCCAGGGCGCAGGTCCTGCCCTCGAAGCCCGGGGAGCAGGTGCAGGTAAAGCTGCGGATGGTGTCCTGGCAGGAGCCGTTGTTAAGGCAGGGCTGGGAGATGCAGGGGGAGCCTCCTGCGGGACAGGGAGGACTCTGCTGGGCACCCTCTGCGCTTGCCCTACATCGCACCGTCGGCCACCTCCCTGCTGCCTAGTCACATCTGCCAGGGGCGCTGGGATCCCCCCTGGCCTGCCTCCCACCCCTGGCCAAGCCTCCTCCTAAGCCTCCCAGGCCGCCCTCCATAGTTCTTCCAGGCAGACATGGGAGCCCTGTCCCTGACCCAGGCAGGACAGGAGGCCACTCACCCCTGTACTCCCTCCAGAATGCACCCTGAGGAAGAAAATGCAGAAATGTCACAGAAGCAAGCTTCTGTTCCCAGAGGGCAATGTGGGTCGTATTCACCTGGCAGCCGATTATAGCAGACCGAGGGTTGAGGGAAACTGCCTCTGTGTAACAGCCTATTGATCTTTTGAATTTGTATTTGCTCAATATGTGTGGGCTCCCCAGCTCTATCATGGCCCAATCAAGGAAGGTGATGGCACATGTCAGGGATACAACCCCCCCACACACACCTGTCACCTCTCTCCCAGGGCAGCACCTGTCACACACTGGAGACGGTTTGTCTTCTTTGGGGGGCAGGATTGAGTGGGCGGCATGTAGCAGTCAGGCAGGAGTCCTTGGTGGGACGGGCGTACACGCCCCACACCACCCTTGGCTCCTTGCCCCTGGAATGAGGTCGAGAGCACTGGCCTGGGGTGGCTTCCCTTTACTGAGAGTTTGAAGGCTGAAATTTTTAGGACAGAATCCTCTGAAAATGCTCACTATTTTCCTTTGCTTAAGACTCTCTTCACTATGTTAAAGATGGGCAGCTCCAGAAAAGTCCCCTTAGGATGTGCGTTTGGGAGACTGTAATTTAAGTGTCAGTCACCTCTTTCGTATGTAAAAATGGGAATTTTTTCTGTGCTGTGCAGCAAACCTAGGACAAGTGCCCTACCCAATCCCAGCCCAGCTGGGAAACAGCTACAGAGTTTGTGCTGCTGTATTGGAAACTTTTGCATAAATCTTAGGCCTCAGGATTCAGCCATCTCTGCAGCTAAGCCTGCACATAATGAAATGGGGACTCTGCCTGGTGTACTCAGGGCAGAAGCATGGTCACGTATGCAAGAAAATCATTTACTTCATTCGAAGTACAATGAGGAATCTTACTACATGGCGGGGAAGATTATATTTTCACGTCTTTTCAGTGCAGGGGGCAGCCAGGGCACCCCACTCTTCCCCTGGATCCCTTTGAGAAGGAACCCGGGGTGGCAGTGGCTAGAGCTGCAGGCTGGGTCCCCTGCTCCTCTGAGGAAGAGCTGTCTCAAGATGCTGCCGTTTTTTTTTTTTTTTTTAACTTTTTATCGGTACCAGAGATCAAACTCACGACTGCCTGTTTGCAAGGCAGGTGCTTATGCCGCTGAGCTAAATCCCCAGCTCAAGATGTTGCCCCTTTTTTTTACAGTAAAGATAAAAAATAAAGCAAGTTTCGTTTCTTGTGAACATTAATGCTTTGTCCATTTTCTGTGCAGCCAAGACACTCTCCCCTCCCTCAGGTTGAATCCAAACCCTAAAACCAGCAGAAGCAGGGCCCAAGGTGGGTATACGCACCGTGGCGTCATCATCTTCAAACACCTCCCTGGCTTCTTCATGGACACAGATCTCTTCGTAACATTCTTTTTCCAAGTTGCCCTCAAAGAGCTCCTCCAGGATGTAGGAGCCAGCACGCTTCCACCTGAGCAGAACTTGGTTTGCACTTGAGGCCGGAACAAACACTGGATAGCCAGGGAGGAATGCAGGGCGTTAGTTGGGCCCTAGAGCTGGGCATGCTGCATCCTGCAGGACCCCGTTGGCCACAAGGGTAATGCCTGGCCTGGCCACAGTCTGGAGGCCACTGGCCACTTCCCATTTGTTGAGTGTACAGATAGCCCTTGTGAATCAAGACACTGCTTTACAGATGGAGATTTCGGGACCTGGAGACGCCTGGATCCAGCGAGGGCAACCAGCCCACCACTGAAACTTCCCTGGGTCCTGGTGCATTCTGACTGTGATGGTGTCAGAACTCCAGTCTGAGCTACACCTTGCTCTAGACAGGTGGCCACCAAGTGCTGTGTCGCACAGATGGACAGCTGCAGCTGAAGGACAGCTGCCCTGGCTCCATCAGGAAGCACTGGGAGACACAAAAGGGGCTGTGTCTGGCAGCTGAGGTTTGGGGAGCAGACACCGCAGTCACAATGCTGCCATGTGGGCTGAGCTGCTCCTACACTACCTCGAGGAGGATGTCTGGGGGGAACTGGAGCTTGGGGTAGAAAAGGAGTGAGGGCCAGGCCTCAGAGCAGGGCACAAGGTCGGCCGTGCACTCGCCACCAAAGGGCTTGGAAGGCTGCGACGTGTCACTTGGTGTGATACAGCTGTGGGGAGGGCATGACAGTGCTGGGGCCACCGAGTTCTCAAAGGAGACTGTAGTTCAGCCACTCCCTGCTATCGGGGCCATAGCCTCTTTACCTCTTACCTGTGCTCAGGAACCTCCGGCCAAGCTGAGACCCTCTCTGGCACCCTGCCCTGTCCTCCCTGCCGGGGCACATCCCCAGCCTTGTGTCCGCAGTCCCATCTCAGCATGGTGAGGGAGCCATTCCCAGCACCTCTTCACCAAGGACAATGAGCCGTAGCAGCCCTTAGGACGACCCGCAAGGCTGTGCCTCAGGGCTGCCCACTCCTGAGAACACATCCTCTGTGACCTACTGGCCAGTGCCTACCCAACAGTTCCGCCTGGTGAAGGAGGAGGACAGCAAGGCCCTGGAGCAGCAGGATGTGGCTGGTCATGCTGATTGCAGCTGGCCCAGCACGTCTGGGTCATCAAACAATCAAAGTCCAGCCCTGGGAGGTGCAGGAGGCGTGGGGAGGTCAGCAGGGGCCCATCCATAGGCACTGGGGCTGCACAGAGGGGCTTACAGCCAGCAGGCCTCACATGTGGACGGGTGCAGTGGGACACACTCAAGATGCACTTCTTCCTGCGCCCTCTGTGTCCACCAGAAGATCTTGAGGAGCCCTGGGGAGACCAGTGGGGGATCATAGGGAGGAAGAGTGGAGACCCCCACAGAGGGCCAAGGGTAAGACCAGTGGCACAAGAGGCCAAGCTGTGTGTCCCAGGACCCTCTTCAGGTGTCTTTCTGCCTGGACTGTGGGGGCAGAATAACTTAAAAGCCAGCTTCCTCTGGAAGGACAGAGAGAAGTCCTGGGAGGCTACCGCCCATTTGGGCAGGAGTAAGGTGACAGGTTGTGGGACTCAACTGGCCTCCTGCTACTTCGTAGGGTGAATGATGATTCACTGGCAGAGGTGACCAGGCAGCACAAGGCTTGGGCAGCTGTGTGGTGCCATGGTCTCCAGGCAGTGGGAAGACGCGTGGTTTGGGGACACACTCACAAAGTGTCCAGGCGTGGATGTGGGGTCAGGCAGGGACCGAGGGAGACAGGTGGCCGAGATGGATGGCATGTTGACCAAGGGGCCTGGGGCAGCTGTTCCAGTGGAAACTGAGAAAGACAAACCGTTAGTCTTATGGTAGAAATTTTTGTTTTAAAAGGTGGAAAAAAACCCCACAAAGTTTATCAGTAGTAGGAGAGTCAAATAACTTAGAAGCCAGGATGGAAGTTACTGGAATGGGTCAGGTGGGCGACCCCGGGCCCAGCAATCATAAAGTGTCCCTTCCACAAAAGGGTGAGAAGAAGGTCCTCGTGGAAATTCGCACACTGAAAATGCTCCTGCTGGGAAATCTCAGAACCAGGGAAAGCAGCTTCAAACGGGAAACCAGACAAGGACTGGGGTCTGAGCAGCGGCTGCCCCTGGTGCAGCCAACTATGTGGGTGACTGGCCCTGTCCACTCGGCTGCCAGGCCATGCCCCAAGGACTGGATAAGGTCACTGATGTCCTGTGCCCTCACGGTTCCGGACACTGAAGTCTGAGAACTCGGGGCCACGTGTTGCACCCTCTCCTGTGGGGAGGAATGGTGCCCTGCCCTGTGAGGACAGTACGGACCCTTGGTGCAGACTGCATCTCCAAGGCTCCTCCTGACACCGCTGGAGCTCTGGGGGGCACAGACATTCAGACCAGAGCAGCATCTAGAACATGCTGCACAGTGTCTTGGTTTCTCTCATGTGCAGTCTCTGGACAGCGGTTTCGGGCCAGCTGTCCCATGTCAAGTCAAGGAAACAGCTGAGCTGCTGTGGCCGCCCTGCCCCTTCATCAAGGTACAACCCTCCATGCCCAGCCCTGCTGCTCCAGAAAGAGACCTGCCAGTGCAATGACCCCAGGGTCTGGGGGGAGCGAATCCTTCCTGTTCATGAGGCTGTGGGCTGTCCTCTCTGTCCCATTCTGTTCATCCTCTGTGCAGGTCCCAGCTGGAGCTCTTGACAGAAGTGTGTGGCCGGGTGTGGGCAGCCCTCCACTGAGTGACCTGTTGCCCCTGTGCCATGGCTTCACTATGTGCTGATGTAGCCACCGAGTCTGACCAGCTCTCAGACCTCCCTTATAGCCAGCATCTCTGAACTCGAGTCTCAGTCAGCTAAGTTCTGATGCCCAGTTATTCCTGAATACTTTTGTGTTTTGGCCCCTCAGCTGCTGCTGCCTGGATTCACTTTCAGTGAAGCAGATTCCCAGGGAGCCCTGGCATCGTTCCTTCACTGTTGGTTTGTTCATGTCTCAGTCTGTTTCTCAAGGCTAGGACACAATACCTGACACTCTCCACCTACAGGGGCCAAGGTTTATTTGGGATCACAGTTTGAGTCCACAGCCAACTGGCCCCAAGGCAAGCATGGTGGGAGGAGAGCTGTTCCTGGCATGTGGACAGAAAGCAGAGAAAGGAAAGGAGCCAGGAGGGAGCTGGGCCCCTCCAGGCCATGCCCAGGGACCGCCTCTTCCCAACAGGCCACACCTCAGGGGCTGCCTCTTGCCACCAGATGCCACTGCATGCAGGTCAGTGTGACCCCATCCCTGGACCAATTCACTTGAGAGTAAGGCAACCATGGCCCAAGCTCCTCCCCAAAGCCCTGCCTCTGCACGCAGGAAGGTTTGGGTCTTTCTGATCTACACCACAGCAGTTGGTCACTGAGCCAAGGCTTTGCGACACCACCCTGAAGACTATGGCGGCACTTGCACCCTGCACAGCACCCTCAGGCCCAGCAGGACACATGAGAAAAGCTGCATGGGGACATGGCTGGGTCTTCCTGTCCTCTGGCTCAGCCAAAGTGACGAAAGCATCCAGGGGCCTTGTGAGCCACCAGCACACTCCTTGACTGCTGTCCCTTTCTGGAGGCCTTACCAGGCTGGGGCACCCTTTGCAGGCCTTGACATTCAGGGTGCGAAGTCTGGGATTCTGTTTTTGGTTCTGTTTTGTTGTGTTTGTGTTCTGCGATCACTGGTGTTTTGAATAAAGTATTTTTCGCTGTGGTGAGATACATGTAACAAGAGGGTCCCCGAGCGCAGACCCAGCTGGGATCTTTCCAGAGTCCACCCTCTGGTTCTCCGTGTGCACACAGGCTGGGTTTCTGTTTGTCTGTCTCGGAGAACTGGGGCCTGGGTTGGTAATGACCCTGTCCTGGGCTTGGCAGTATCACCGAAACTCTTGTTTTAGAGACAGCCACAAAGTCCAGTGTGGTAGCCTGAGGCCAGGACTGGCTCCTCCTGACCCTTCTGCCACAGCTGGGGTTCACCCAGCCCATACAAAGGGGGTGCTTGGCCCCTGCCCCTCTTCCTCCTTGGACTCCCAGAACAACTTTGTGCCCTTGGCCTGTGCCAGGCCTGTGTAGATGTTGGGATCTAGAGGGCTTCAAGGCCAGGGCTGTGCTGGCTGTGGGAGACCCTGCCATGGGGAAGTCCTAGGTCAGAAAGTCCTCCCTCCCACCACACCCTGGCCACAGTGGCCTGCTGCCTGCCTGCGGCTCTGCTGCCCAGCCCCTCCTTAGGGATAGCTCTTGCCCAAGTCCTCTTGGTCTTCTGGGTCCTTCGGTGTCCACCCTGCCCAGTGGGACCTCCCCCTCCTCCTGTCAGGCCCGCACACCTGCAGCAAGGACCTTCTGTGCACCCAGTGTGACTCCGAGCCCTCAAGAGTGTATGGCACTGAATGGCATCCTCTGAGCGCTGCCCATCTGGACCTCCCCAATGTGTGGTCTGTACAGTCTGCACTGCGTAGCTCACAGTGTGCACTGTCTCTCCCTGCTCCTGTACCCTGGCCCCATGTGTAGACCCATCCTGTGTGTGTGCCTGGTGGGCACCCACAGTGTCATCTGATACTGTATTGTTGGCTGTTCTGATAGGCTGGATGTGGACACTTTTGGGGGCCTCAGGTCACCCTCCATCTGCATTACCTGATGCCTCCAAGATAAGGTCAGGCTAAAAGCTGGGTCCAGTGCAACCCCTCCTGATGTGAGTAGTCCCAGTGTGTGGCATTGGGAAGGTCCCCTAGTTCTGGTCCCTGGGGTGTGTCCCATCCAATGTCTCCTTTCGTGGCCCAGCTCTGTGTCCCTTGGGCGTGTGTCTTCATCACTGGTTCTCAGTGCAGGGAGAACTCAGGTGGGGCTGCTCTGAGAGCCACGGGGCCATGAAGACCGAAGTGCTGCCCCGCAGGGCTGCTGCAGAAAGCCTCACTGTCACCTTCTCCCCTGCAGCCTGGGTTTCCACCCTGAGAGGGAAGCGCCCTGGGCCCAGGGCTGTTCTCTCAATCTCCACCTGCAGGCTGGGCACGTGGGGCTCCGTGCCCACACAGCCACAGCGACCCTGGCTTCTCCCTCAAGGGTCTGGCTGTAGCTACAAGGAGCTGGGGCAGCAACAGGAGAAACGGACTTTGGCTGTAGTGTCTCCAGCTCGCCCAGAAGCTCAGCTGAAAGAACCGGGCCTGCCCTCCACCCACCATCCTCTGCCCAGGGCTTTCACTGCTGTCACTGTTCCCATGATTCCAGCCCTGACCCTGGGCAGCTCTGGTGGAACTCCCAGGCATAGGGCCGTGAAGCAGGGTCAGCGTGCTGTTTTCCTGACAAAGGAAGTCTTCGGCTCTCCGGAAGAGGCAGGACATCACCACAGTCACACAGGAGTTGATAGCCCAGAGGTTGCCACTCCAAGCCCCAAACTTGCAGAGCGGGTGACAGCCCTGTGTCTCCATGTCCTGCCTGTCCATGACCCTCTTCTGGGTGGGCCACAGCAGATGCTGTCTGTGCCCTTCAGGCCATGAAGGTCCCATGTCCTGTCCCCACAGGGCCCTCTGCCTTCCTAAGCCCAAGATGCACGTGTTCATGAGTCTGTCCCGTGACGGGGCTTACACAGGGTACAGAGGGTGATAGACAAAGTACTGACTTGCAGCTCTGCCCAGAATCCTATCTGGACCCACATGACCTCTGTTCCTCAGGATCCTGCCTGGTTTGCACCTGGGTAGAGCACATGTCACTGCAGCCTGGACGGTGTCCTCAGAGGCTGCACGTCCCTCCAGGAGGGCTGTGTGCATGGCAGAGGTCCCTCAGACCTGGTTCCAGGAAGTGGAGAACAGTCCATACAGATTTCTCCCAACCTTGCAAAATCTCTGTTTACCCAAGACTGTGGCACTAGGCTGTTTGGAAGTTTTGCACTAGAACTTTTAAACTTTGCTTAGTGAAGTTAAGCAAGATGCAAACTGTGCTGGGACTCGGGGAGTTGCCAGGCAGGTCCCTCTGCATGCCTGGTTCTGTCTGCCACAGCACACAGGCTTTCCCCACCACTGAGCTCGGGGCCTAGGACACTGCTTAGTCCACAGTGTGTGTAGGGCTATGTGAGGAGCCCTCCCACGCCATCACCAGCACCCTGCTCCAGGGGCCTGATAAGGTACTAGGAGGTTCCAGAAATTTCCAGCAGGGACCCATTCCCAGACCAAAATGCAGTGCCTGGACGAAGGTCGGACCAGGATGTGCAGAGACCCTTACGGGGCTCAGCTGAAGCCAGAGTGAGAGCCCAGGCTGCTGGCCCAGGTCCCCGTTCAGGGGAAGACGCCTGCTAAAGGGCAGGGGCTAAGCAAGTTGCCATGAAGCCAATCTGGGGGCACTGAGCCCCAGAGCACCTCCTGGAACTGCTACCCTACCCCTGTCCTAGGAGAAGGCCGTGGTCCAGTCAGGCTTGGCTGGCTGTGAAAGACTGCCAGGTCCCTGAAGAACAGAATCAGCCTGGTGTGGGGATGGCTCCGTCCCAGCCACAGCAGAGGCGTCACAGCCCTGTGAGGATTCCCAGACAGGTGCTAGGCATAAAGGGCCGGCCAGGGAGGGAGCGATATCCGTACCACAGTGGGTGGCCACTCTGGGAGCGGTCCTGCCCAGGGTATGGGTCACACAGAACCAGACACGGCTTCCTGGGTGCCCAGAGCAGACTCCTTTAATGGGCAGGCGTGGCCGGCACTGGGGTCTCCGGCCTAGGTGGCACCTTGGCCCGCATGGACTTCTCGATCCACTTGAGGAAGTTAGTGACCTTGGTGTAGATCCCGAACTTCCCTTTCCTGGCGCACCCTTCTCCCCAGCTGACAATGCCGGTCACATAGTAAGTATCCTGGAAACGGGTGACGTGGGGGCCACCGCTGTCCCCCTGGCAGGTGTCCTCCAGCTTGTCATTGTAGCCGGCACAGAACATGTTCTGTGTGATGGTGAACCCGGTGGACAGCTTGCAGGTGTTGCGGTCCACGTAGGGCACCGTCAGCATCTTGAGGGTGCTGGATTGACGGCCCTTCTCGTGCGTGCGCCCGAAGCCACTCACAATGCCTGTCTTCTGCGTCATCAGCGTGGCCTCGGCCCAGTCCTTCTGCGGCAGGCAGGCGGGGGCCACGTTCCTTCGGAAGGTGATGGGCGTCTTCAGCCTGAGGACCGCGATGTCGCAGTCGTAGGTGTGTGTGTTGAACTTGCTGTGTTTTATGACCGTCTCCACCTCATGCATCATTTCATTGCCCTCCTCCTTCTCCAGGTTCCGCTCACCTGCAAGGGGCAGAACCCATGAAGTCGGTGCTGGACCAAGTGTCCATGCGGTGGATACTCTTAGGCAACTTATCTATTTATTTATTTATTTAATTTATTTATTTTCTTAAACAATAGTATGTGGTCATGTTTGAAGCCTTAAAAGCATAATGGGAAGAAGCAAAACTGCAGCCTCCAGCCTCCTCTAGTGATACGGCCTGCTTGTGAAGGATGCAGGCTGCTCACTCCTGCTCTTGGCAGACACGGAGCCTGCATTGAGCTGGGCCATGCAGGTCTCCACTGGGCTACACCAAGCCTCCGGGACCTGAGCCAGAACCCAGTGCATCTGGACATCAGACTGGAAAGGAGAACGCCGATGTCCTCCTCATGGCTGGACTTAATTACACATTGTGCTGCTGGCAGTTTGGATGTAGAGGGTTAAGTGAGACACAGTATTAAACTAACATCTCCTCTCTACCATATTAAACGTGTGCTAGAGAACCTGAGAAAGCCGGGAAGGTTAAATCAAATCAGTAACTGGCACTGGGTTTTCACTGGACAGCTCCAGGGTCTGCTAGAGAGACACAGGGTGGGTGGAGGCACCTGGAGTGTCCAGCGGGCCATGGAGCCCAAAGCCTCCAGGCAGGCCTCAGCGGGTAAGGCTGGAGCACTCTGTGGAGTCTGCAGCTTCCCACCTCCCCCTGCCCTTCAGTGTGCGTCCCCACAGATCCATCATCCCACGGTCCAGGCCAGGAGCGGCCGTGGTCGGGCACCCAGGCCCCAGGCGCAGGTATCACTTACCCACCCTCACTGTGAACCGCTTGGCTTCGTGCAAACAGTGAGCCGCGGTGAGGATGTAGTGCTCATTCAGGATGGTGCCCCCGCAGAACCCCTTGTTGTCCTCGTTGACAAGCAGAGCCTGCAGGAAACTGTGTCACCAACCGAGGAGGACCTGCATCCTGCCATCGGCCTGCCCTGCTCTGAGCCGGATTCTCGAGCCCCAGCCTCTCTGCCTCCAGAGCCCAGCCCTGCTCTGGTGGCCATACAGGTTCCCTCCCTTGTGGGCCCTCCTGTCTGTCCAGGGGCTTGCTGGTGCCTACTGGCACCTGTCACAGCCAGGTACCCAAACGGAGAAGGCTTAAGATCTGTGGTTTTGCACCCAGCACACCCGACACCCAACTAACACAGCAAGTTCTTCTCAGCGTGGCCTAGAGAGCAACTACAGAGTGGGAAGAGCTTTGTCCCTGGACAAGGAACCCTGGCTACTAGTGACCAGGTGTCAGACCCCAGTGAGAGTTGCCAAACAGAAACTGGGCACCTGGCTAAAGCAAACAGTGTTAACAGTGAGCCTCTCTCAGCACAGATATGTCCACATGGTATCTGAGACGGGCTTATTAAAGATCTTCTTTTTTTTTTTTTTTTTTTTGTCTTTTTCATTTTTATTGGTACCAGGGATCGAACTCACGACTGCCTGCTTGCAAGGCAGGTACTTATGCCGCTGAGCTAAATCTCCAGCCCCTAAAGATCCTCTTGATTCATGTGAAATTCAGATGTAGCTAGAAGTCTCATGCGTTTGTTTTCTAAATGTGGCAGCCCTTACCCAAATCAGGAATCAGTGAGTCTTAAAAACATTTCAAACATAAACAGATGTGCTTTTCTCTAATGTATTTTCTGCCTCTAGGATTTAGATATTTAGGTTTTAAAAAATGACCAAGTCAGAAATAAATCAAGGACAGTGAGCCTTCCCTCTTCACTCCTGCCCAGAAGCATCTGCTGGGGCCAGGGCTGCACCAGGGCCCCACCTCTCCTTCTGGGGAGCTGGGGTATGCCTCTGTCCCCTGTGTCGTCCAGGCACAGAGGACCGTGGTGAGCTGTTCTGACTGGCCAGGGTACAGAGCTTGGGGCTCCCGAGGCTGCAGCAGGATACAGGGGCTCAGTCCCAGTTTGGACTTATGCTGCCTGGGATGCTGACTTCCAGCAGGTTGGGCTGCCTCTCCCCCGTGCCCATTCTAGGGGCCCCCCCCATGCAGCCAGCATGGCCCCACTCAGTCACCTGCCAGGGGCACTCCCCTTCTTTGCAGTCCTGGCCGCCCACAATGCGGCCGCCATCATTGTCTGCCATTCCCACGTCTGTGTTGTTGGGGTAGAGGCTGAGTGAGTCCTTGGTGGGGCTCAGGTCCTCCTGTGCTAGCGTGGTGCTGTCAGTTTTTGTCTCGCTGCTGTCGGTGACCTGCGCCGCCGACCTCTCGTTGCGCATCCGTCCCCCAGTGACCTTCCCACAGGGGAACATCTCTGCAAGAACAAGGTGGCCCAGGTGAGGCACTGTGCTCATGCCTGGCTTCTGGGAGGGCAGGGCTGGGCTGGGCCTGATGGAGGACGCTGGAGTGGCGCTGTCCTCTCGGGCTTGGGACAGTTCCCCTGGCCCTGCGGGCTTGGGACGTTTCCCTGGCCCTGCGTGGATGGTTGGAGAGCAAAGAGACATGATGTACTCAGGCTGCTGTGCCACTCAGCTGGCTCTGCACATGGGTAGAGGAGAGTGGGAGTGGACCCCAGGGTCCTGGGCTGCTGTCTGCCCAGGGTCCCTCTCCCCATAGCAGTTGACCTTGCCCCACCTGCCTCATCTGACTGACTGTTCCAGCTGCCAGGCCTCAGTCTTGTCCTTAGAGGTCAGTGCCAGTGTCGCTGCAAGCAGGTGGTCAGGAAACCAGTGGCCAGGCCTAGGCAGTGCCACATCCACCCAGGAGCTTGGTGGAACTGTTCACCCATCTCGCAGATGAGGAAACAAATCTGCCGGTGGATTCGGTCTATCTCCTAACCCAAGGTCTTTACGCTTGCACAGTGCCAAGCGCTACCTGCCACCTCCTACCTGTGGAGATGCAGGACTTGCCGTCGTTGCCTATGGTGTAGCCCTTGGCGCAGGAGCACACCACCGAATTCTGCACCTCCTGGCAGAACTGCTCGCAGTCGCCATTGTCTAGGCTACAGAGCTTCCTGGTGACTGTGGAAAAAACAGGTGCTGCAGTGCACGCCAGAGACAGCACAGACAAGACAAGACAAGACCCTAGCTTGGGCCATATGACAGGGCTCTGTGCTGGCCCTTAAGGAGCCTGAGCAGACCCCAGGGTGATACCCCTCGGGCAGCTGGTGTGTGGGCAGCAGCAGGCTCTCGGGGACTGAGGGCTGGCACAGGCTGGTGGTGGCCTTGGAGCCCCCACTTCTGAGGCCAGCAGGTCCTTGGTGACTGCCATGAAGATGGAGCCTGGTGGCCTGGTCCCTCCATGGATGCCAGCCCCCAGTGCTGCTTGTTCCACTCTCACAGAAGACACCGTCCCCTCCAGGTCACAGTCACTCTTTGGCTGGCAGGTCCAAGCGGCCTGAGGGTGGCCTCTGTGCCCTGTTGCTAAGGGCTATACCTGCTGTTCAGTGGCTGCCTGTTCAGTGGCTTCCTTTCACTCGACCGCCAACCACCAGATAACTGCAGTGCCCATCTGACGGCTTAGCTGCAAGGCGGCCCCAAAGCCTCAGGTTTGGATCATGTGTTTGGTTACTGCCGGCTCCTGAGGAGAGATCCCTGCTCGGAGCCAGGTCACTGGGAATTTGACCAGTGGACCACGCAAGAACTAAGACTTCTAAGACATGAGCCAAAATAACCCTTTCCTCCTTGAAGTTTGGGGTGTAGGATATTTGGTCTCAGCACCAAAGATGGTGATTAACACAACCTGCCATAGCCCAGATGGTGCACCAGGTGCCACGGAGTCAGCCACGACCCTGCTATGGACATGCCAGCTGGTGGCTGTGGTGTTGGGACTGTCTAAACTTCATCTGGTCATAGGGCTTTTTCAGAGGTAGCTGAATCTAGAGCTTGTGATTGATTCATAGTGCAGTGTTAGAATTAAGGGCGGGTGACAGCTGGATCGGTCCACTGATTGGATTGGCACTGCCCTAATCCCAGTAGACTGAATACCATATAAGGGACAGAAAGAGGTCCTAGTCCCTCCTGCTCACCTCACTTTTGCTGTCTTCTGCCACCATGAACTAATGCCCCTCTGCCATGTGCCATCCTGCCTCGGAGCCAGCCAATCAGAACAGAAATCTCCACAAACTGTGAGCCAAATAAACTTTTTCTCCTTTAACTTTGAGTGTCAGTATTTTGTCTCAGCAATGAGAGAAAAGTAACTAAGACATAATTTGGTACCAGAGAAGTGGGGTCGTTGCTGTGATTGTACCTGACCGTGCGGTTCAGGAGCCTTTGGGAATGGCTTGTGGGAAGAGTGTGGAAGGTGGAGATGCCAGCTGAAAGAAGGCCATCCCTGCAGGTCCCTGCAGAGCTGGGATGCCTTAGGCTGCTCTGAGAGGGAGATTCTGGCCAGATCTCAGAAGACCAAAAGACTGATAGAAATCCTGCCAGCAAAGTCCCAGCTCAGAAGGTTTCTGCTGGGAAGAAGGACTACCCTCTCTGTTGGAATGCAGATGATGTGTGTTATGGCTTGCCAGAAAGTTTGTCTGCATTTTGCTTGTGTCCAGAGACTTTGCCTGAGACTGAGATTAAGGGTGGTGGACTAATTAATCTTGCAAAAGAAATTTCAAGGCAGTCAAATGTTGAGACTGTGGCATGGCTATTGTTGGGGGCTTTTAGCCAGATTTATGTTGAAAATAAAGACAGGATGATTTAAAACATTGTGAATTTGGCCAGAAAGGAAGCTCTATTGAAGCTGTGGACTACAAAGATATAGCAGAGGAGATCCTGATTGCTAAGAAGAAACAAGAGAATATAAAAGAGGGCCTGAGGGCATCACAAGAAGCAGCAAGACTCCACCTGTTGCAGATTCAAAATTACAAAAGTGAAAGACTTTGCTTTGACAAAAAAACACAAAAAAACAAAACAACAACAACAACAACAACAACAAACCACAGAGCATCACATTCCAGAATGGTGGCAGCCTAGAGAATTTGTTTCATGGAATTGGATTCACAGTGCCTTATGAGGTTGGATGAAAAAAAAAAACCATGATGCAGAGACCCACTGGAACAGAATTTTGGAAAATGTTCACTGTGGTACCTGAGTCTGCTCTACAGCAGGGTTAAGGCATCCATGCCCCATGCAGAAGCATGTTAAGCCCTACCGAGGCACACACTCCACAGATGCTGAGTGAAGTGGCATAAGCGAGATGCAAATCTTTCTCTTTAGGGAAAACTGATCAAATGGTGACTTCATTTTTAATTTAGAGATGCAGCATATTAGAGACAGCTTAGTGAATTTCCTCTGTAGAACTAAGGCCAACCCTGCATATTCTTTACTGGCATTAGTACCTGCAAGTGTAAATTAAAGGAGATGATTTAGACCCATTGTACTAGGTCACCAGGAACACAGCTACACAGCAGAGCCCTGGACCCCAGAGACAGAGGTGGTCTTGTTCCCATGGTGATGGCTCCCAGCTTTGGGGGTTTCTGACCCTGCCCCTAAGCAGCAGAAGAGCTCTGTGCTCCACTTAAATGGTCTCAGGACACCATGGAGTGAACATTGCTGGGGTCTCCAGGTGTGTCACTCACAGTGTAACGGAGTGCAGACTTGGGGAGTCAGATATGGCTCGGGATCATCTCCCTAGGTCCTCCTTCCCCACCCTCTCTCCAGATGCCATGCAGAGGGACTTACAGAGCTCACAGTTTTTGCCTTCGTAGCCTTCTGTGCAGATGCATAGGTAATCCCCAATGCCATCCCTGCAGGTGCCCTGGTTCTGGCAAGGGCTGTTCTCGCACTGGTCCCCATCTGCCAACAGGATTGGAGACTGAGTCTGCTGGTGCCTTCCTCCTCGCAGTCACTGCCCTAGTGGCTGTGGCCTTCCACCCTGCTCCTCCAGGACAACCCCTCCTATCTGAACCTCCCTGTCTCCAGCCTAACTGGGGTCCAGTGGGCCCTTCTCATGCCCCACACTGTGTATGGCCAGGAGCAAGGAGCTCTAGGCTGCTGGCCTTGTGGCCACCTGGAAGGAGGGTGACGTGGGAGTGTGACACTTGTTTCAGGCTGGGTGTGGCCTAGAGAGGTTAGGATCCTCTCTCCAAGGACATAGGATGGGATGGGAACCCAGAGACTCCATCCAGCACTGATGTGGGCATCTCGTTCTTGGTGGACACACATCACTTTGACTCACTCCAAGAAGCTTAAATACCATTACCAGGTAGTCAGAGGAACACTGTCTCAGACGCCATAAGAATTAATCAGGGTAGTCCCCTTGTTAGGACTCCAATCCTTCACTCTCCATTTATTTGTTTTTTTCTTCTACTTGATACACTTACATTTTAAAAATTATCACAAAATTTGGTATCCTCAAATGAGAGTGAACAGAGTTAAATTTATATTTGAATTAGGCAGGGTGGCACAGGAGGCTGAGGCAGGAGGACTGCTTGAGCTCCGCTGTGTGAGGCCAGCCTGAATGATACAGTAAGATTCAATCTCAAAAAAAAAATCTATATTTGATTAAGGACAAAAACCAGAATTAATATAACACTACTACAAAAACAGTTTTAAACAACTGCTATAGAAATGCACAGGGAGAAAGTCTTAAACGCACTTAGATTAAATAGGAGTGGGAAGGAAATTCAGGAAGTATTTTAAAAATTTAACGTCTTTCCTAGTTTAAATATCCTAATGAGCTCATTCCACTTAAAAAAGAAAACATCTTACCTTTATATTTGTTCCAGAATTCAATCTAAAAGAAAAAAGATATTTTAAGCACATTAGAGAAAACAGATACCAACAGCATTTATCACCCGGCAGGCCTGACCAGGGGAACACAGCGCCCAAGGACTGCTCTGGCTGGGGGAGCGCTGTCTGGGTCCTCCACACAGGGCTTCGTCTTCTCGAACCCCAAATCCAGAGCCTGAGTTTTCAAGCGACTCACTGAGACAGATTACACAGAAACAGTGACAGTGTGCTCTCCCCTGACTATCGGTGAGCGGCTCCCAGCTACCCTTCCCAGGCTAAAGGCCACCGGGTCCCACGCGTCAGTGGTCCTTGTGTCAGTTTTAGCGATGCCAACTGGGAGCTTGTGTGACGTCAGAAGAAGTGCAGAGCTGTCTTAGCTCCATGTCTGTGTCGCTGCTTCCGGGTGCCCACCGCCTGGTTCAGGGCAAAGAGGCTCAGAACACGGCCCCAGGGAGAAGCAGGGTCGGGCAGATGAGGCTGAGGTTAAGGGTCCCCTGGAGCCCACGGGCCCTAAGTCAACGTGCATGTCCCAGGAGGAGGCCCGGGCTGCGTGCCAGCGGAAGCCCGGAGCACCACAGAGTGCTCAGGGTGCCCTGGGCCCCTCAAGGGTGGTCTCCAACTCCCTGACGAGTAAGTCCCTGTTATTTTAAATGACAGGTGGCCCTAGAAGTAAATGCAGTCTTTTTTTTTTTTTTTTGTCTTTTTGAGACAGGGTCTCTGCAGTTCAGGCTGGCCTTGAACTCACTTTGTAGCCCAGGCTGGTCTTGAACTCACAATGATCCTCCTGCCTCAGCCTCCCAAGTGCTGCGATTGCAGGAGTGAGCCACCATGCCTGGCAATGCAGTGTCTTTAAGACTTAGTTTAAAAACATCACACAGTGAAATCAATTTTTGGTTATGATGCTGACTCCCACACCCTTCAGGACACAGAAGAGTGCCCCTTCCAAGGTCCCCCTAGACTCTCAACCGCCTGTCAATCCCTGAGGCCCTGCCCTCCAAGGGTGGTTTGTCACCAGCGACTGCTGGGTGCTCAGCATCCTAACCAGCACTTGCTGCTGTATTTTTTTCAGTGCATAGAGGTCTAGTGGCTTCCATTGTACTTTTTGTTTTTGGGACAGGGTCTCACTGTGTAGTTCATGCTGGCCTTGAACTCACTCTAGCGCAAGCTGGCCCTGAACTCATGGCACTGCTACTGCCTCAGCCTCCCGAGTCCGAGGACGTCAGGTGCACACCAGCATGCCTGACCTCACTGTGGTTTTAATTCACATTTCTTTAACAGCTCATGGTGTTGCCTTCTCATAGCCTCATTTGCCATCTGCGTTTTCTCGTGGACAAGTTGGCTGTTCAATCGTTTGTTCCCTGAATTTAATCAGGTATTTATCTTCTTCTTTTGAGTTCCAGGCACTCTCTGTGTTCTGAATACAGTGCCTTACTGGCTACAGGAGCTTCATATACTTTCTTAGTCTGTTGCCTGTATCTTCATTCTCTTAACTATTTTTTTCACAAAGTAAAAGTTTTAGTTTTGACAGAAGTCCAGCTTACCATTTTTAAATTTTTTGAGTCATTCTTTTGATGTCATATTTAAGAATTTTTGCCTAATTCCATGTCATGCACCTTCTGCTGTATTTTCTCCTAAAAGTCACAGTGATGTCTTTCACCTTTAGCCAGTGACTCCCTTTGTGTTAGTTTTGCATAGGGTCACATTGCACCACTGCTCCCACAGCGCATGGTCTTGTGCTCCCCTACCAGGTGCATTACCCCGAAAGTAGCCACCAGTGTGGCAAAAAAAGAGGTGGGCCCAGTGGGGGTGACCAGATAGTTCAGGCCTTGCCCTCATCAGTGGGATTACACCCTTTTTCTTTGCTTTTCTTGAGATAGGGTCTTGCTCTGTGGTTCAGGCTGGCTTTGAACTCACTATGTATCCCAAGCTGACCTTAAACCTGTCGTTATCCTCCTGCCTCGGCCTTCCAAGTGCTGGGATTACAGGTGTGCACCACTACACTTGGCATATTAATCCCTTCTTAATGGGGCTACACACATTTGGTCCTTTGGTCCTTCCTCCTGCTGCCACATCAGTATACTGCAGCAAGAAGCCATCTTGGAAGCAGGGTCGGGACCCTCACTGGCCACACATCCTGACAGTGCCTCAGTTTGGGCTTCTCGTCCTCCACGCCTGTGAGCCATGAATTTGTGCTGCTTGCAGAGTGCCCAGTGTAAGGTGTTTCAACACAGCAGCACAAATGTACTCAAACCAAAGCCTTGTGTTGAAAAAGACATTTTTCCCCATTGAGTAGTTTTTTGTAACTTTGCCACAAATCACCAACCATGTGTGTGAGGGAATGCTTCCTGGACTTATTTTCTGCTGCACTCTCTCCAGTCCTACCTATCAACATCCCTGGATTAAGTGAGCTTTGTGAGCCTCAGTGCAGGCAGCATAGCTCCTCCAGCTTCGTCTCTTCTCAGGACCTTCCACACTCTCATTCCTTTGTTCTTCTACGTGACTTTTAGAATCTATGTGCTTCTCTCTGGTGGAAGTTTGGTTGACACTGTGTCAAATGCATGATCAAATTGGGGAGGACTAATATTCTCCTATGTTGGGTCTTCTAACCCAAAACACTGCATCTCCATTGGTTTAGGTCTTGTTTAAATTCTTTCACTACAGCTTTGTACAATTTACAATATAGATTTTGCATGTGCTTCATTGTTTAATTTTCTTTGAAGGAATTTTGGTTGGTTGTGATGCTCAAACTTCATCCAGATGTATGCATTTTCATAGTTATTTTCTTATTAATACTTTAAGTTCTTCAAGTAGTAGTACCTCATTCCATTCACGGTATAAATTGTGTGCAGTCTATTAGAGTGTTACCCATTTGGTTGATCTCATCTATTATATATATTAAATTTCTTTGATTTTTGCTTTGAAAATTCTTTCCATCGTTTCAAGTATATTTTGTTCTTTTCGTTTTTTAAAAACAGACGCTTAGGCAATCAGTTTCAGATTTTTGTTTTTCAGTGCTAGAATTTAATACTATTAATTTATTTCCAGGCATTGCTTTTGAAAAGTACACCACAGATCTCACAAGTTGCATATTCTTTGTCTGTGTTCTGAAACAGTGAACGCTGCAGGGGACACAAACTCATCATGTAGCACAGCTGTGTCAAACTCAGAATCTCCCTGCTTTACTTTCTCTGCTGCTGGGGTTACAGGTGTGCTACACCACGCCTGACTGTTGTATGTTCTTTTCTGGTCAGCTAATATATTTTCTTCTTTCACTTGGAAACTCCTACTTGACCTCTGGATTATTTATAAGTGCATTAATTATCAAGTACTCAGAGATTTTCAGCTTAATTCCATTATGGTTGAAGGACATTTTTATATGGGTCCAATCTTTTGAATTTCTTTTTTTTTTTTTTTTTTTTTGTCTTTTTTCTTTTTATCGGTACCGGGGATCAAACTCACGACTGCCTGCTTGCAAGGCAGGCGCTTATGCTGCTGAGCTAAACCCCCAGCCCCTCTTTTGAATTTCTTAAGGTGCAATTTATGACACCAGACATTGTCTGTCTTGACTCTTTTTCTCTCTTCTGGTGGCTGGAATGAACTGTGGCAGTCAAATGGATAATAATACCTACAGGAGACCATAATCTTTTACTGAAATGCAAAGCTACCTGAGTCATATGACATTTTCCTAGAAGACAATTTCTCCACAGATGGGGGTGGGAAGAAGGGTGGCTTCAGGGTGACTCATTATTTTTATTGACAACTTTGTTACTACACTGTGCAGTGTATTCCCATTGTTATCACATTAGATTCTCATAAAGAGTGAGCAATCCAGACCCCGCACATGCGTAGTCCACAGTAAGGTTTGCAGTCTTGAGACTCTAGGTATAGCTCAGGCTGTAAGCCAGGGATTGGGAGAAGCTGTAAATATAAATCAAACTTTGCTTGCCCCTTTCGCTTGCCTGCTGAGCAGCCTGGTTCCTAAAAGACCAGCACAGACCAGCACCTGTACCACTGTCAGCCCGTGGCCTGGGGACACTGAAGTTTTCATCTGACCTCATTTTGGCTTATTCAGAATCCTGCCACTGCTCCAGTTAGACACAGTCTGCTTCCTTTGTGATGTCAGATATCATCAATAATTTGTTTTTTTCTAGTTCCTAAAAGGTTGGATTGGGGGCAGCTTTACCCCTGGTGCTTTCTGGGACTCTTCCACCATGCTGATTCTGCACAAATGTGGGAAGAAGCTGATCTCAACAAGATTGCCTTCTGGAGGGCACGTGACCTGTGACCATCTGTTACAGCTTATGTGTAGATACCCCCCTCCATGTTTCCAAAGCCTCATGCATCATGGGGGGGGGCTAGATGTTGAGTGTGCAATGCACTAGGATTAAGGTTGTGAGCACCACCTGCCCTGAGCAGTCTGGGTAAAAAGGCAGAAATATGTTGCTAAAGGTCCTTGCTTATTTTGCTACTTTCTGCCCACTATGAACTATTTCTCTTCTGCTATCTTGCCCTGGAACCAGCCAGCTATGGACTGAAAGAAACCTTTACAAACTGTGAGCCAAATAAACCTCTCCTCCTTCAGCTGTGGGTGTTATGGATTTTGCCTCAGGAGCAAGTGAAGTAGCTAAGCCATCATCTGTGAAATATTTCATCATCTCTGACACAGTGTCTTTTGTGACTTCTATCATAATAGTCTGCATGACCAAGTAGAACTCATGAGCAGTGAGTCAGTGGCATCAAATCAATTGTCTTATTCCGGAACTGCAATCCAGTTTCCTAAACTCAGTCAATGTCAGTGACCACCAGCACCCTATGGCAGAGCTCTGGACACTTCTCCTATCTAACAACATGCCCAGCTCACCATGAGAGGCAATGAAAGGCTTGGCCTCAGCTATCCCTGGCAATGAAGCTCCGCATTTTGGTGTCCAGAAATCTGTACTCATCCCAGAAACTTTCTAGGCATGTGACGATCTTAGTGTACATAACATTTTCCTCAGAACATCATTCAGGATCAAGTCCAAGTATCTTCCATGACACTGAGTTTTAGCATCTGTGAGACTGAAATTCAGGATTCTCTTGAATCCAATTATGGTTTTCTGTTGCAGCTTGTTATTTGACAGGCATAAATCCTTGCAACAGTTCCTTTCACTGGCAATAACTCGGAATTTGACCCCAATCCATAAAGGCCACCCAAAGAAGGACCTACTGGGTAATCCTGTTTGGGTGCCTGCGTTCGTGGATGAAGCGTGTGAGCTTCGTGTCTGTCCACAGAAGCTGTGTGGTGGAGGACTCACGCAGGGACTGCAGATCGCGGCAGGTTCCACCAAGATGCAGTAGTGTAGCTGGCGCAGCATCCACTCCTGGATTAGATGTATTTCCTGAGGCCTGGTTTGAAGACTTTCTTATCTTTAACTAAAATTTGTTAGATTGGGCTCCACCCCACCGCCCTCTTCCCTTCAGCCTGGTACCTGTGACTTCCATCCAGTTTCTAGGCGAACCGCGTTTCCTCGAATTTCCAGGTGGGTAAATTGCGCTGGGCTGGTGCTGCGCAGGCGCAGTGCTGACCATGTGGCCTGGAGTCTGACATGGGCCTGCGCACTATGCTCCAGCCGCGGTCGCACCGGTGGCTGCTGGGAAATCTCCCGCCCCGTACCCAGGTCCCCTGGGAGCGCAGACCCAGTCCTGAACCTGTACAAGGCATCACGCGGCCTCAGGCGATGGATTGAGCTGCGTGGCTCCGGGACAGGTTGTTCCCTGCAGAGCCCACCCCGTGCCACCTGCTCACCGTCTTCCTGTCGTCCTCGAAGACCTCGCGGGCCTCCTCGTAAGAGCAGACCTCCTCCAAGCACTCCCGCTCCAGGTTCCCCTTCTTCAGCTCCTCGAAGACAGAGTTGGCCCTGCGGCTCCTCAGGACTCTGTGCGCAAGCTCACGGCCCGTGAACACTGGGGGCGGGATGGGCGCGCCGGGGTGGGCCTCTGGGTCTCCAGTTCACAGGGCCATGCCTCCCTGGAGGTCTGCACCCCAGGGTGCCGAGGCCGCACCCTGCGCCTGGCCACTGCGCCCAGACCCATGCGGAGCCCCCTGCCGGCTTCCGGCTGCCCACCAGTGGGGAACAGGGGTGACTTTGGTCGGGACCAGATACAAACCTGCAATTTCTATCGTGTCCAGGACAAACAACATTGCCTTGTTTCAAGAAATTGAACGTTTTCTGCAAAACTACAAACTTTTCTATTTTGATTTTACACTCTGTCATTCAAAAAATACAACTGGTGTACAGCTCAGCGGCACAGTGCCTGCCTGAAAGCCTAAAGTCCTGAGTTTAACTCCCGGTACCAGCCTCACCCCTCCAAAAAAACACACATTGATTTCAGGACAGGATGTCTCTTCCTCTGATCCCAGCAGCTCTCCAGGCCCTCCCCTTTTCTTCCTGACCACCCCCAAATTCCTGCCTGCACCCAAAGCCTATTCAGTCTCTTTCTGCCTGGTGGAGGTACAGTGTCCTGCAAGCCCACCTCTGCTGTCTAGGGACAGGGACTCAAGTGACGAGTACTGCATGGAAGAGAGTAAGGCCTGTGGACACCAAGGGGCACCCACCAGCTACAACTCCCCCCCACTTCTGGACAGCGACCCACAGTCTCCGTCCCCAAGCCAGGCCTCTGGGATTTCCTCCCTCAGCTGCCCCTGCACTCATCTCTCTGGCAGCCTGGCCCCCCTGCCAATGGGACTGTGCCCAGCACTCTCATGCCCCAGGACCTTTCTACCTACCACTAAGGTGATGCCTGGACAGCCAGCTGGGCCTCAGGCTCAGGCCTGGACTCAGTTGTGGGCACTGTTAGCAGCTCTGCAGTCCTTTTCACCCCTCAGTTGGTCATACATGCCCGCTGTATTGGAAGCCACGCTTCCTGCTTGAGCAGAATCGGGAGTAATCACTGGGCATAAAACAGGCCCCGGGTGACACAGTGGCTTCAAAAGCTGATGGCAGACTCAGAGACCTGACACTCAGTGCTCACTGTGTATCCTGTGTGCGGATGTAGTAGTGATGCCCAGTCACACAACTGTCTGTGTGGCACTGGGGGGCAGGCATAGTGATTGGACAGGCCTGCTGAGGCACCCTGCCAGCCATGCACAGTGCATAGGGGGGAAGCTTGCAGTGGAACTAAGCCTGAGCTGCGCCTGTTCTCAGTTCACTAAACACCTCTCTGTCCAGTCCCAGGCCTGGGCAGCTGGACACCCCATCTGTCTGGACCTGTGCCATGTGGCCCCTGCCCTGGCCGAGCTGGCCTGGGGCACCACACAGGCTCCAGCCCTGCCAGATGAGCCCTCTGTCTCTGCTGCTTGGTTGTCACCTGTCTCCCCCTAGCTCAGTCCCTGTCTCACCCTCCTGTCCCTCTGTCTTTTTTTTAGCTTCTTGTGACGTGGGTCCACCAGCCATTCTTTCCCCATGGAAGCTGCACTGATTCTCACTGTTCCCCGGTGGGGAGGCCTAGCCGGGCCATCTGACAACAGCCGGCCAGGGCCTCTACCACCCTCGCCCCTCCTGGTCTCTGTGTGTGAAGGCAGTGCACTCACCACTCCCCTCGGGCAGCAGGAGGCCAGCCAGGGCACTGAGGAGCAGGGCAAGGCGCAGTGGACCCTCCATGCTGGTGAGGGTAGTGCTCTGTCCTGAGTGCTGGCGTGTGGGGCAAGGTCCACTCGCCAGGGCCCTGTGGCCATTGTCCTGCTTATCTCAGCCTCCTGATTGGAGCCTGGCCTGCCACGAGGTCCATGTGGGGGTCTGGGAATAGTGGCAGAGTACATGGCGGGGGCAGTTGCTGCTGACCTCATCCCCATTAAAAGCTGTGCCCTGCAGTGTGTGTGGGGGGGTGTCGATCCGCGAGAGTAACGGCATTTGCCGGCTTGCTCTGCAGCTATCACATGTTTCGAATCTGGCTCTCTTTAGTCTGACAGCTGTGGGAAAGCACCACTTCTGTCAGTTTTCACCAGCAGAAACCTTGTGGGGACCTGGGGCTGGCACAAGTCACAGCCCCAGTAGCCCTGGCTGACAGGGGCCCAGGGAGTCCAGGCCAGGTGCCACTTGCCACTTGGGCTTCTAGTTACTCGAGACAGAAGCTGTACTATCATGGATGAGCAGGTGACACAGTGACCTCACATCCGGTTTATGTGATATAGGGGTGGGTCACTGGGGAAGAGAAGGTTGGAGGGCACAGGACACTTGGGCTGGGCAGGAAGCATGGACCTGTATTCAGATGTGACCGCCTCCGAGCACATGTGGTCTCATTTCCATCTGGCCCTGCTCCATGAACACCTCCCAGCTGGGTTCTGCCCAGGGCACCCCTGGGTGGCGGGCGAGGAGGTCTGAGACAGGAAGCCATCACGTCTGTCAATGCTGTAGAGCCTGTGTGCCCACCATCCAAGGGTGCAGAGTGTGGGTGTGCAGCTGGGACCCATCCACCATCTCTGGCTTCCCCAGGCAGCATGGCAGTGTGACCTGATCCTCATCAGAAGCTGCACCCACAAATGCTCTGCACATGCGTGCTCCACTACCTCAAAGCCCCAGCTGCTGCCCCATGTGCACCCTGCATGGGGTCAGGCCGGTTGTCCTTCATAGTCATGGTCCACAGTCATCATTGACCCAGGGGGTTCCAGCAGTGTTTGCTCCATCGACACCATGGAGAGATGTCAGGGCTGCTGGTTCAAGGAGGGCACCACCCCACTCAGGGCAGGGCTGCACCTGGCCCTGGGGATGAGTATATTGGTGCCCAGCATCTAGTGCCACTCTGGGCCTGGTCAGTGTACAGAGGTGACCTGCTTGTAGAGACGCAGAGTCTGGGCCCCAGTGGGGTAGCAGTGCTGGCTGTGGGCCCCTCTGCCCCCCATCTCCTGGCCCAGTACTCAGGTGGCACTGACCCAGAGTGAGCATGTCAGCTGTTGGGGTTGGCACCCATCTGCCCACAGCCCATGCGGCAGGTGCCTGCACTGCCCATTGGTGACTGGGAAAACGGACTAGGCTGTGCTGCCCACGGCACTTGCCAGCTGCCCCTCCCTTCCCCCCTACAAGTGGGCGGGCTCCTGCCCCATACTGCATCTCCTCCCTCTTCCCTCATCCTCATCCTCGTCCTTGCAGGAAGAGTAGCTCCTGTGAAGAGGGATGGGGAGGCCCTGGACCTCTGGATTCTGTGTTTCGACCTGGCTTTCCCACAGATGCCAGCCAGCCTGGCACCTTGCTCACCCTCACCCCACCCCCACAGACCCCATCTCCAGGACAGATGGGGAAACTGAGGAACATGATCCTACTCAGAGTAGAGGTGGAGCAGGGAAATGCAGGAGCCCTGGCTCAGTGCACACACAGCCAGCTGGGAGGCTGTTAGGAGCGAGGCTAGCCAGGGCCTTCTCTGCAGTGGTCGTACAGCCCTGGGACTTCCCTGGGGCTGATCTGGCAGAAACCTGTGTACTAACTGGGCAGCTGTGTGTGGGCTCTGGCCTACTGTACAGCAAGAGTGGCAGGCTTACCACAGCGGCTGGCATCTCACTCTGTGTCAGCGCCCCGACCCTGAGATGCGCTTGGAGACGGGCGCTGAGGGCAGGTGCTCCGGGGCTGCCGGCCGGCATCCTCATCCTGCTGTGTCTCTGTTTGTCCTCATCTATACTGTCTGGTGACTGTAGGCTCAGTGACCCACAGACATGGCCAGGGTGGGTGCTCACTAGGCCCCTCCCTACCTGACAGTTGCTTGAGCAAGACCCTAGCCCTGCATGTGTGTGTGTGTGGTTCTGGGATTGAACTCAGCCTCTATGCTGAGCTGTATTCTCTCTCAGCCTTTTTCATTTTTTGAGACAAGGTCTTGCCGAGTTGTTCAGGTGGGACTGGAACTGGGGTCCTCCTGCCTCAGTCTCCCAGACCATGCAGTGCTTCTCTGGTGATTCACAAGCAGCTGTTCCCTGGACCCCTCAAAAGTACCACACAAAGGGCTTGGTAGGGAGGCTACTCCACACCATCCCCAAGCTTCTGTTCTCTGGAATGCCTGCCCAAGACAGGAGGGATCCCCAAGGGGTCACAGGCCACCCGAGGGACAGCAGGCAGCCCCAGCTGTTGAGTCAGGTGCTCAGGAAGGCAGGAGAGTGTTCCCCAGCTTGGGGACAACACTTCCCCAAGCAAGTTTAATGGAACCAAGGATGTGGCTTGTACAGGAGGAAGAAGAGAGGTGGAGTGATGGCCTCCGAGGCACATGCGCCTCAGCTGGGGCAGGGCCACCTGGGGCTCCTCTTCGGTCCCTTGCTCATCTCTGTGCTGGTCTCCGGAGTTTGAGTCCTCTCCCTCTCTGTCTCTCTCTGCCCCTGGCCACAGCCACAGATGCATGCGGGGACTGGCTGGGACTAGAGGAGCGGGGCCCGCAGGACACTGCGCCCCGGCTGGGAGCGCATGAGCCTGCGCAGCCACTCGATGTAGCGGGCCACCCTGGTGTAGACGCCCAGCTGGCCCACGGCCGCACAGCCTTCACCCCAGCTCACCACACCTGTCAGGTACCACGTGCCACGGAACTGCGTGGCGTGTGGGCCCCCACTGTCCCCTTTGCAGGCGTCCTTGGTGCCGTCCAAGTAGCCGGCACAGAACATGTTTTTGGTGATCACTGGCGAGCTGTTTGTCCTCTGAGTCTGTTCCAGGCAGTCCTGGTTCATCAGCCGTGGCACCTCAATGGCCATGAGCTCCACAGCCATGGCGCCACGGTCCAGCAGCTGGCCCCAACCACTGACACGGGAGAAGCGGATTTTGGCCAGTGTGCCCTGTGCGAAGGCCGTCTCGGGTAGGCAGAGAGGCACCACATAGTCCGTGAGGTTTACGGGCCGCTGCAGCCGCAAGAGCACGATGTCGTGGTCTTTCTGGCCCCGGACATATGTGTCCGGGAAGATGACTTGTGTCACCTTTCGCACCTGCTCAGTGCCATCAACCTCGCTGAGGTCATGCTCACCTGGAGGAAGCCCATGCAAGGTCACAGCCATGCCCCTCCCAGGCTCCAGCTCCCTGTGCCCTGGTCTGGGACAGGCAGGTAGATGGGGTGAGGGGTGCATCTAAGCAGGCACCCCAGGGCTGCCAGGGGCTGCAGGCTCTTGTGGGGGTAGAAAGGGGGTGGGGAGGCTGTAACCAAGGTGCTTCTGGACTGGGTGAGAGGGTGGTAATGGGTGGGAGCCCTGGACATCAGTGTATAACTGGAGAGGCTCCTGGGCCTCACGTGGTCCATTGTGGCTCTGGGTCCCCTGCACACCTGGTTCTTTTAGGAGCAGGAAGGGGCCAAGCATGGTTGCCAAAGCGGGTGGCCCTGGTGCTGCCCCATCCACTCAGGGACCTTGCCAGCCACGTAGCCTGGAGCCTGGCCTCAGCCGTGGTCACTCAAGCCTGCCTCCCGCAGGACACAGGCAGCACTCACCCAGCACCACAGACAGGTTCCTCAAGCTCTGAAGCTTGTCGAAGCAGTGGGCAGCAGACACCACCCAGCCAGTCTCCAGCAGGGAGCCCCCACACAGTGGTGCCCCATTGAACATCAGGATGGCCTGGGTGGAGACACACAGATGCTGGTCACCTGGGGTCCCCACCTGAGCTGATGGCACAGCTGGCTGATGCAGCTCCCATCTGGAACCTGGGTCCTCTGGCCCCTTCCCTAGTAGGCTGCACAGCCCTGGCGGCTGTGCCCTGGACCAGAGGTTCCCAGCCCTGGCAGGATACCAGCACTACAGGACCCTTGGTGGCTGAGCAGGACCTCAGTGCACACCCTCCAAGCAAGGAGGGGCAGGGCTGGGTGCAGTGGCTGTGTCCCTCTTCCCTGAGCTCCCCACGGAGCCTGTGGTGGGCATGCTGTGCAGGGTGACCCAGCCGGAGACCACATGTGCTTGGGGCAGCCAGGCCAGGAAGGCCTTACCTGCCATGGACACTCCCCTCTGGGACACTTCTGGCCTCCCACAATTCGGCCTTGGATGTTGCTGTCCTTCCTTTTTTCCAGAACTGGTATTTTCCCACATGGATATTCAACTGTGGGATGGAAACCAGCGAAGGGGTATTTATAAGGGATGACGCATGAGACCCGGAAGCCACTCTGCAGGGCCACCCTTGGGGCCCCGGCTGCTGGGGCAGGGCAATTCTGAAGGCCCTGCTGGAAGCTGCTGACCCAGGAGCCCAGAGGGGCTAGCTGGAGAGGGCACAAAACCTTGCCCTGGAGCTGCGCCTGCCAGGTTCACAGAAGAAAGATGCTTCATGCAGATTATGAAGAGGTGAGCGATGGTCTGTTGAAGATGAGATGGTTGTACAACCACCATGCTCCCATGTTCCCTGTTCTGTGTCTGCCTATCAGTGGGGTCGGCTGGCCCAGCTTCCAGACCAGGCTGGGCACAGGAACTTGGGGTGTGGAGGTCTCCACCTTGGGCATCACAGCACAATCAGCCAAGGTTGGCGGCAGGAATCTACATTTTCCTGAAGCCCTGCTCCCTGGATGCCTGTGATGTGGGGCCCTGCAGGGTGTCTTGCTGGGCACTGACGTGCTAGCCTGCTAGACAGGTAGCCACCTGCCACGGGTCCTCCCAACCTCAGTCACAGGTGCCCCATCGGTGACCAGCCCTGTCCCTTGGTTTCACTGACACTGAGGTGCAGCAGACACCACAGACCCATATGACAGCAGCCCCTGGAGCCTGGTACCTGTGGGCATGCAGGATACCTGGTCCGGCTGCAGAGTGTACCCCGCGTGGCACCGGCAGATGCGCGTGTCTCCCTTGCGGTCACTGCAGTACTGCTCACAGCCACCATTCTCATTGTCACAGATCAGCAGTGCGCTCCTGTCTGGGAACAGGAAGGGGGAGCTGAGAGGGGCCCAAGGTGAACGTCCTCATCTCCATCTGCAGCTGTGGGCAGGGGGTGGCCTCACTTGTCTCACAGTTCCGGCCGCTGAAGTTCGGGAGGCAGAAGCAGATGTACAGCCGGAAGTCGTCTTGGCAGGTGCCTCCGTTCTGGCAAGGGTTTGAGGCACACTGGTCCCCGTCTGCGGAAGCTGGTGTGAGTGTACGAGAAGAGGGACTAGGGGGACCCTGAACAGCCCCACCTCTACTTACCAGTATATGAAGCCCAGAACTGGTTCTGGGAGGAGGAAGAAGCCACATGAGACACATTCGCCAAAGCCACAGTGACGGAGTCCATGGAAGGAGCTCACAGCTGTCCCTTCCCCAGGGACTCAGGGTCAGGTTTGCCCAGAAGAATCCCCCCATGACTTTTCCTCAGGTCTGCCCCAACTCTGCCTCCTCCATCTGTGCCCTGGTACAGGACTCACATGCTGGCTGAGACGGGAGCTCTGGACGAAAAGCCCTCATGGGGCTCCTGCTTGGACGTCCTGTGGCCAGCAGGACCTCTGCTTCCTTGCCATTGCCCTACCTGCCCCATCCATGGTCTCATTCTTCGTCACCAGGCGACCTGACCCCTATGTTCTGCCAACACTTGGAGTGCTCACAGTGCAGGAACAAGGGAGACTCTGAGGCTTGTGTGCCCCCGTGGCCCTGGCTCGCCTCGTCCTGCAATCCCTGGGCAGCCAACATCTGGGTGGTGCTCACCGTCTTCTCGGTGGTCCTGAGGATCTCCCGGGCCTCCTCGAATGTGCATGGTTCCTCCATGCATTCCGTCTCCAAGGAGCCTGGCCACAGCTCCTCCAGAAAGGAGTTGGCACGCCTCTGCCTGCGCAGCACGCCATGCGCTGCCTCCTGGGTGATGAACACTGGCAAACGGAAGATCCCAGAAATGCTGTGGCCTGCCACGCCAAGCTTGCATGGAGCTACCTGTCCTAGCCCTGCCCCGTCAGCAAAGGAAGTCGTCCCACTGCATCACTTCAGGAGAGCCAGCCATGCCTGATCACCCCATCGTGACTGAGGCGATCTCACTCCTGGCCTCTCCGCTGCACAGGGTGGCACCAAGGGCAGGGCTGGTCACCAGTGCCCTGCCTGCCCCAAGGGCCAAGGACTCCAGAAAAGTAAGCCTGGCTGGATTTGAAGTGGGATGGCTTCTCACAGGCAGCCAGTGACAGGTGACAGGGCACAGCCTTATGGGTGCATATACAGCCAGATTTTGACTGGCTGACCCTCACTTTTGGGAATTTAGCATAAGGAAATACTCAGTGTCACGCAAAAAACCCGGAGGAGCTACTGGTAATGGTAGTATGGCATCCAGGCTGGCATTAATTGCAGTGCTCAGGAAGCCATGAGCACACACGACAGCCATGCTTGTGATCCCAGCATGCGGGAGGCTGAGACAGGGGACTGCTGTGAGATCAAGGCCAGCCTGAACCGCAGAGTGAGACCCTGTCTCAACCCCTTTCCCAAAAGAAGTATGATACTGAGCAAAAAAGTGATGATAAAAAGGAAATATTGTGCATTCCCTTGGCAACATAAAATGTGCATGTGAACATATATGGATAGGTACTACATAAGTGCCATATGAAAACCCAAATTTCTCATGTCCACCCTACCCCATCCTCTGTCCTGGGGAACCACTCAGTCCCCTCAGCTTCCCAAGATAGTCAGTATGTCCTTGTCAGCCCTAGGTCCCACCTCACCCCCAGCCCCTCCCACATCCCCCTGGCTCTCACAGTGATGCTGACAGAGCAGGTGATCCACAGCCCCATCCTGCTTATGAGGGAAGAGAGGCTGGTGACCCTGAGAGTTCACCCTGGCTGCCTAGGATGGCATGACCCCAACAGCCTGAACCTCCTGAACTTGCAGATTCTTCAGGTGGGACACACACACAGTGCCCAGGGGATAAGGTGGAGATAGAGACAGAGGTAGTGACCACAAGAGCCCTCTGTGGCAGCTGTGCTCTGGAATGGCAGCTGCATGGGAAGGGGACCTGAGAACAAAGGCGGGCAGGAAGCAGCTGGGGGTGACCTGAGGAGGGGCTTGCAGGGAAGAGGTGGCCTCAGAAGGGATTGAAGTGGTGACTTGGTCTCCAGGAACTGTGGGTGAGTATGGTATTGATGGACTGGAAACACAGACCAGGGGCCTGCTAAACATGAGAGGGAAGGGAGGCAGCTGCCCAGCCATACAGCCTTTCCTTAAGAGACTACATCCCTTTCCTTAAAATCACCGCATGTCTGCACTATCTGCATTCCTAGGGAATCCACCTGGACAGGAGGGAGGTTTTGGGGTTGAGGCAGGGACTCGTGTCGTGCACCTCATGGCACTGGTGAGCTCCCAGCTTTCAGCAAGAGCCCGAGTTTTCTCTGAGGCCACAAAGCCTCAGCCAGTGTCTCAAGGGCCGACCCCAAGGTGTCTGTGGCAGGCTTTGGGAGCTGCACTCTGAGCCACTTCCAGATTTTCCCACATCACACACCCCCAAAAGTGCCTGTTCCTCATAGCACTTCAGACACTCACACATGTGCTTGTCCTGTGTGTCTGTGTGCTCCCATCTGCATATGGGTACCCATGTAGCTACCACACGTATGCATGTGTCTATGCTCGTGTCTGGCAGTGTTTGTACTTGTTCTCTGTCCCTGTGTACATATCGGTATGTTCCTGTCTGTGTGCACAGGTGGCTGTTTGTGGCTGTTTTTGGGTGCGTGTGTGCCTGTGTGCCCATGCGTGGGTGTATGTAAGCTCCTGGACAATATTTGTTTTGGAAGGAACAAACCTCAAAGCAAACAGTCAGCAAATGCTTTCAGTGATGGAAATATCTAGAACAAGAGCATGGCCGGGCCCAGGCCCAGCTCTGGAGCTTGCCACAGACAGCACCAGAGGGTAGTCCCCTGGAAGGACTTACCTGCTGCCAGGGACCCCTGCAGCAGTAGCAGGAGGCACAGCAGGGTGAGCCTGCAGCCTGGGGAAGCCATGGGACGTCAGCTGTCCTGGCCGAGGATGTCCTGTCCGGATGCAGCAGGTGGGCAAAGGGCGAGAGGGCGGGACGGCTAGGGTGGAGGCACTGGACACTGGCTGAAAGCTGCACCTGACCCTCAGAGACCAACCCCGGTGGCCAGCACCAGGCATGACAGGAAGAAGGAAGCTGTGCAGGCCAGTGATGGTTCCTTTGCAGAAAGGGGCGTGTGAAGAAGTGCTTAGCACAAGCTTAACACACGGCCCTGGGTTCAGCGGACAGAGATGAGGGTGGAGAAACACCAATGGCAGGGGGATCCCGTAGCCTGCAGGGAGGACACCAAGCAGGGACAGAGCATTGGGCAGGGGCAGGTGGAGGTTCAGGGAGACTCTGCCTGCCAAGCCCTGCATTGCAGGGAGGCCTGGCTTCCTAGGGGCCGAAGGCAGACCTGGCCCAGCCCAGACAGCAGCCACCAGCTCCAGTCCCTTCTCTCTGGGCCAGGACACAGACCAGGGCCTCTGCCCGTCTGGCTGCCTGTTCTTCCCGAGATCAGCTCTGTGCTCTGTCCACACAGACAAACCCTTCCCTCCTCAGAATGATTGTGCTGTTCTTGGATCTGTGTGGCCCATTTTCTAACTCCCCAAAACTCTGCTGGGATTTAAACCAAATCACATCTGACTTAGCGGAGAACTAGAGAGAAACGACCTTGGGCAGATGTCCACTTGCTGCAGCCACACACTATCCTCCACGACTTAGGCCCTCTGTCATGCCTTCTAAGGTTTCATTAGTTTGTCTACAGAACACACATCAGTTCTGATGCCCTGTGAGCCCATACGGCGTGCTTTGGTGAAGGCACTGTTCAACCCATGGGCCCCCTTGCTTTCTCTCTCGGGCAGTTGCTAGGGATTTCAGTAAGTCACATTACATTGTGTGGTGGAAGGCGTCTCTGTGTTCTTGGGGAAGGTGTTCTGTGTTCTTGGGGACAGTCCTCAAGTATCTCAATGTCTACGATTTTGGGGTGAGGATTTTGTTAGCTATACTTTATTGACTTAGGAAAATGTTCTCCTGCTCCTCGCTAAATGTTGTCAATGAAGTATCCTGTCATTGTCAATGAAGACTTTTTTTTTAGGAAAAACAAAACAAAACAGTATAAGGGTACAAGTAATACAGAATTACAAAAAAAAAAACGGTAAGAAATCACTATTAATAGATTACATATTGTCATCTTAGAAACAGTTGTTCAAGTTACAGGATTAAAGCATACAAAGTGGACATTCAAACAGTGAGACTGCAAACAGTTGTGTTCAATGATCCAAGAAAAACTCAGTAATATGGTCATCTATCTTAACACACCTAAACATACTTGCATTTTTATCCTTTAGAGCACTTTTTTACAACAAAAATTTACACATTTTGGGTTTTATTACTCCCATAGTTCTTATTACTTTTTTTTGGAAGAGAATAAAATCAAATATGACAAAACAAAGCTGTCAGTCAAAACCAAGGATAGACATAGCACATGATGTAAGAACAGAATACAAGGTTATCAACAATGGTTACCATAATGCCTCTTGCTTCCTTAAAAAGAATTGCCTATATCATTAGGTATAATAAAATTGAACAAAACAGTACAGAACAAGACCAATAAAACCTAAAATTGGAAACATTACAGGACTTCAAAAGAAGATAATATTCTAAGTAGAATGGGCATCATAAGTGAATCTTATTGCCTTCAAAGTAGTTGCCTATACCCTCAAACTTGATACTATTAAACAGAACGGAACAGTCTAATCAGTCAAAACAAGATAGTGGGAGTAATATAGGGCTTCAACTCAAGTTAATAGGAAATCAAAAAAGTTATAATATATCCTGCTAATTTTTTTTATTTTTTCCCTTAATTAAAAAAATAATATAATAAAATAAATAAATAATTTTTTTATGAATAAGGGGGAGATTGAGATAAAAAAGCATATAACAACATAACAATACATGTCAAAGCATGACAGTTTCAGCAACCTAGTGCTTCACTACAAGATAACTCGACTTAATAGTAGTTACCATAGTGTCTCTTTCCTTGAAATATTTGAATATAACTTCACATAGTATAGCATCAAACATATCAAGACAGTGTGAAACCATTCAAGTGGATGAAGGGTATTTAGAACCAGCTAACGGAAAACGAACAATGGTTTCTATATTATCTTTGTCTATAAAAATTTTTGTTTATACTATCACATATAATAAAATCCAGAAAGATACAACATGATAAAACCAATGGAGACAGAAGAGCAACAGTTTGATGGGACTTCAAAATAAGATGTATTAAATCAGCACTAGCTATTATGATGTCTTGTTTTCTTCAAAATAGCTGTTCATTTCATCACAGGCAATAATAACAGCCCAGAATAAAGCCATTCCAATTAATGAGTGAAAGCTTTATAAGGCTTCAAAGCTACATAATGGGGAATCATGATTACCATACACTTTTCTATATCTGAATCTTTTCCTACAATAGGGAAACTATTCGGTAGTCATATACGTGAGTTTGATTTATTTCACTTATGAGTGTGGTCTCAAGCTGCATCCATTTATTTATAAATATCTCAATGTGATCCTTCTTTATAGCTGAGTAGTACTCCACTGTATAATAATACAACTTTTTTATCCATTCCTCAGTTGATGGACACTTGGCGATTACAAATTGTGCTGCTATAAACATAGGTGCACATATATCACTGTGGTATGATGCTTTCAGTTCTTCTGGGAATATGCCTAGAAGTGGAATAGCTGGAACAAATGGGACTTCCAATCCCAGCTTTTTGAGAAATCTCCAGACTGACCTCTACAATGGTTGCACCAGTATACACTCCCAGCAACAGTGCAGGAGAGTTCGTTTTCCCCCACAGCCTCTCCAGCATTTGTTGTTGGTGGTTTTCTTGATCCTGGCCATTCTTTCAGGAGTGAGATGGAATCTCAGTGTGGCTTTAATTTGCATTTCTCTAATGACTAATGATGATGAACATTTTTTCATGTATTTATTTGCCATCTGTATTTCTTCATCTGAAAAGTGTGTATTCATCTCAGATGCCCATTTTTGGATTGGATCTTTGAATTTTGGGAGTCTGATTCTTAAAAATTTTTTATATGTTTTAGACAGAAGTCTTTTGAGGGAGAGTTCACTAAGATTTTTTTCCCAGTTTGTGGGTTTTCTTTTCACTATGCTGGATATTTCTTTTGACATGCAGAAACTTTTTAATAAGAGGTGGTCCCAGTTATTGATTCTGGGAAGTACTTCCTGTGCGGTTTGAGTCCTGTTCATGAATTCTCTACCTACCCCTATGTCTTCAAGGTTTCTACCCAATTTGTCTTCTAACAGATTTAGTGTTTCTGTTTTAATATTCAGATCTTTAATTCATTTAGATTTTAATTTAGTACATGGTGATAGGCATGGGTCTAGTTTTTAGTTTTTGGCAAATGCAGAGCCAGTTTTTCCAACACTATTTATTAAGAAGACTGTCGTTCTTCCAGTGAACCTGTTTGGCTCCTTTATCAAAGATAAGGTGGTTGAGTGTGTTTGTAGTTGTGGTTGTATCTTCTAATCTATTCCATTGATCTTCAGCTCTGTTTTGATTCTAGTACCATGTTGATTTTGCTATGGTTGCTTTGTAGTATAACTTCAAGTCAGGGATTGTGATGCCTCCTGCCTTGCCTTTGTTGCTTAGAACTGTTTGCTATTCTAGGTCTTTTCTCGCTCCGGATGAATTTTAGGAGTGATTTCTCTAGATCTATGAGGTATATTGATAGTATTTTTATTGGGATTACATTGAATCTGTATAAGAGTTTTGGGAGAATGGCCATTTTCACAATATTTATTCTTCCTATCCATAAGCAAGGGATGTCTTTCCATTTTCAGAGATCTCTTCAATTTCTTTTTTCTGTGTATTATAATTTTTCCTGTATAGGTCTTTCACTTCTTTCATATGAGTAATTCCTAAATATTTCATTTTTTTGGTTGCTAGTGTGAAGGGTGTGGCTTCTCTTATTTCTCTGTGATTTTGTTGTTAGTGTATAGGAATGCTATTGATTTTTGAGTATTGATTTTGTCATCAGCTACATTACTGAATTTATTTATTATATCTAAGAGTCTTTCAATGGAGCTTAGGGGGTCTTCTATGTAGAGTATCATGTCATCTGCAAACAATGATAATTTAACTTCTTTTTTCCCTATCTTTACCCCTTTTATTTCTCTCTCTTGTCTAATTGTTCTGGCTAGTATTTCCAGTACTAGATTAAATAGGAGTGGTAAGGACATCATTGTCTTGTGCCTGATTTTAAAGTAAAGGCTTTCAATTTTTGGTCATTTAGTATGATACTGGCTGTTGGTTTGTCATAGATGGCCTTTATTATATTGAGGTAAAGACCATCTATTCCAATTTTCTGTAAAGTTCTTATCATGAATGAATGTTGGACCTTATCGAAAGCTTTTTCTGCATCTATAGAAATGATCATGTCATTCTTACTTTTGGCTTTATTGATATGGTGGATTACATTTATTGATTTACATATGTTGAATCCCACTTGGTCATGGTGTATAATCTTCTTGATGATTTGCTGTATCCTATTTGCCAATATTTTATTGAGGATTTTTGCATCTGTATTCATTAGGGAGATTGGTCTATAGTTCTCTTTTTTAGTTGGGTCTTTCTCAGGTTTTGGTACTAGAGTAATATTTGCTTCCAGGAATGACTTAGGAAGGATTGCTTCCCTTTCAATTTCATTGAAAAGTATGAGGAGTGTTGGCATTAGGTCTTCTTTGTATTTCTTGTAGAATTCTGCAGTGAATCCATCTGGGCCTGGACTCTTCTTTGTAGGTAAGGACTTAATTATATTTTAAATTTCATTAATGGAAATTGGGTTATTCAGCAGTTTTACATCCTCTTGACCTAGCTTTGGTACTTCATATGTTCCTAGAAATCTGTCTATTTCTTCTGTGTTATCAAATCTTTGAGAGTAGAAGTTTCCAAAATAGGTGTTGATGATCTTCTGTATTTCTATACAGTCTGTAGTGATTTCACCTTTTTCATTTCTTATTGCATGAATCTGAGCTTTTTCTTTCCTTTTCTAAATAAGGGTGGCTGGGGGCTTATCAATTTTATTTATTCTTTCAAAGAACTAACTCTTTGATTCATTGATTGGAATGTTAGTCTCTATTGCATTGAGTTGTGCTCAGATTTGTATAATTTCCTCTCTTCTTTTGGCTTTGGGCTTGACTTGCTCTTCTTTTTCTAGCTGTTTGAGGTGTAGCATCAGGTTATTTATTTGTATTCATTCTGTTTTCCTGATGTGGGAACTCAGTGCAATAAATTTTCCTCTAAGGACGGCTTTCATTGCATCCCACAGATTCCGGTAAGTTGTATTTGTATTTTCATTTTCTTGTAGGTATTGTTTAATTTCTTCTTTAATTTCCCCTGTGACCCACTGATTACTCAAGAATGTGTTATTCAGTTTCCATGTGTTTGTGGGATTTTTGCAGTATCTTTTATCATTAATTTCTAATTTCAAAGTGCTATGATCCAATAACATGCAAGGGATAATTTCAACTCTTTTGCATTTATTTAAACATGTTCTGTGAGCTAATATATGGTCTATTTTAGAGAATGACCCGTGTGCTGCTGAGAAGAATATGTATTCTGATGTTGGATGGAACACCCATTTGTTCACATGTGTGATTTAGTTCTGTTATTTCTTTGCTGATTTTCTGTCTGGTTGATCTGTCCCTTGTTGTCAATGATGTGTTAAGGTCTCCTATTACAATTGTGTTACTGATAATTTGATTTTTCATTTCTGTTAATACTTGTTTTATATAACTGGGTGCTCTGGCATTTGGTGCATATATATTTAAGATAGTTATCTCTTCCTTTTGAAGTTTTCCCCTAACGAGTACGCAGTGACCTTTTTTGTCTCTTCTGATCATTATTGGTTTAAAGTTCACATTGTCTGCAAACAGAATGGCTACTCCTGCTTTTTTTTTTTTTTTTTTGGTTCCCATTGCATGGAGTATTGTTTTCCATCCTTTGACTGTCAGTCTGTGAGTATCCTTCTGGGTTAGATGGGTTTCTTGTAGACAACATATGGTTGGATTTTGTTTCTTGATCCATTCTGCCAGTCTGTATCTTTTAATTGGGGCATTGAGACCATTTACATTAATGGTTATAACTGTTATCTGTTGGTTTATTGTTGACATGTTATCTTTCTGCTGTTGCATCTTTATCTTTGTGTTCTGTTTAATTATCTGCTTTGCTTAGTGGCTTTTTCCTAAGTGTATCTAAACTGTCTTTCAGTATTTTTTGCAGGGTTGGCTTGGTGATCAGGAAGTTCTTTTTTTTTTTTTTTTTTTTTGTCTTTTTCATTTTTATCGGTACTGGGGATCGAACTCATGACCGCCTGCTCACAAGGCAGGTGCTTATGCTGCTGAGCTAAATCCCCAGCCCCTATCATGAAGTTCTTCAGCTGTTCTTTGTCATGGATATATCTTATTTCACCACTGATTTTGAAGGATAGTTTTGCAGGGTACATCAGTCTAGGTTGGAAATCATTTTCCTTTAGGATCTGTAATACTTTACTCTATGCTCTTCATGACTTTATTGTTTGTGCTGAGAAGTCTGCTGTGATTCTGATAGGTTTTCCTTTATAAGTGATCTGTCTTTTCTCTCTGACAGCTTTTAATAATCTATTCTTGTGTTGGATTTCTGGGATGGTGATTATTATATGTCTGAGTGTAGTTTTATTTTGGTTATGACTATTTGGAGTTCTATAAGCTTCACTGAACCTGATGTTGGTTTTCAATCTCATGCTTGGGAAATTATCAGCTATTACTTCTTTAAATATCCTCTTGACGTCCTTTATGTCATCCCCTTCTTTTTCATTAATCCCTATCAATCTTACGTTGTTTTTCTTTGAATCATCTTGCAGTTGAATTATTTCCTGATTCTTTGTTATTTTTAAAAGATCTTTCCTTTCCTGTTCTCTAGCTGCAATCTTGTCTTCAAGGTCTGAAATTCTATCTTCACTTTCATTGAGGCGGTTTTTATAGCTTTCAGTGGAATTTCTGATTTCCTGTGTATCTTTGTGCATCTGCTTTATGTATTCTGTTTGTTTCTTATATTGCTCATCTAGGGATTCTTTTTGTTTAGTTCCTCCAATTTTTTAACTGTGTTTTCTTATGTTCAGCATCTCTTTCATTTCTTTTATCATTGCTTCTTTTATGTGGGAGATTATTTCTAGTTTGAATTCCTTTAAAGCTTCCTGGAGTTGCTTGTTTACTTCAGTAGCTATTGTCTGATATTTGAGGTATATGGCATATATTTTCTTCTATATACATCACTCCTAAGGTTTCTTGGGATGGGCTGGAGGTTTGAGATTGGAATTTGGTCTTTCATTTTGTCATTTTCCTGTATTTCTGTGTTTCAAGTGTTATTCGAAAGCTTCCTCAGGTTCTGTTGGAAATCCACTTCTATGCCCGCATCTCTTGGGCCTCTGGCATCCTGTTCCCCCAAGCCGCCGGGCCTCTGGAACCAGTGGTGCTTGCCTTCTTGCTTAGAACTCCACAGTCCCAACAAGCTGGACTCTGGGGGAAAGTGGGCACCCACTTGGTTGCTTAGAACTCCACAGTTCTCCAAGCACAGCTTGAATGGGGAGGCGGATGCAGGTGTCCTAGACCAGCCTAGCTGTTCCAGTGTACCCAGAAGGCTAGAGGGTCCCAAACAAGCTGGGCTCAGGGGAAAGTGGGTGCCCGCCTGCTTGCTTAGAACTCCACAGTTCTCCAAGCCAATGAAGACATTTTTGTGTGTATGTCTGCAGGACTGGTGACTTGCTTCTGTTAGTTTTCTAGAAAATTAAAATAGCATGTTTCTGACACTGCACTACCCTCCCAGTACTGGAAAAAAGGGATGACAATGTGTTATTTTTTTTTTTCTTTGCAATGCTGGGGATTGAACCCAGGGCCTCACACATACTAGGCACCCCAGCCCATATTGCTTTTATGTAAAACATTCATTTGGGCTTTTGGAATTTTTTGCACTTACCTTCACAAATGTATGATTCTTTTCTTACATGATCTTTTCAGTTTGGGGTACCAAGGTTATACTTGATGGAATGGTTTAAAGCTAGACCTCCCCTAAAAGCCTCATGAGCCCCTACGTGGGCCTTTTGGAAATGACTTGACCATTGTAGCTTCTAGCCAGCTTGCTGTTAGGAGGTGGCACATGATCAGAAGTGGTGGGTCCATGGGGGTGTTCATCTCCCTCCTGCTCCCCTTTCTTCTCTGTTGCTTCCTGGCTGCCATCACAACATAAGCAGCTTTCCAGTGCTGGGCCTCTCTTGCCATGCTCTCTGCCTGGAAGTCAGCTAACCAGGGACTAAAACTGTGGGCCAAGGTAAGCCTCTCTTCCTTTAGTTGGGGTGCTGTTATTGTGCCCTAGCAACAAGAACAGGACTAAGACAGACTTTGGTGCCAGTAAAGTGGAGCAGCTGCTGTGATGTACCTGGACATGTGGTTCAGAAACAGTTGGAAGTGGTTTGTTGCAAATGTTTGGAAAGATTTGGAGAGCCAACTAGAGAAGCCCTAGAATACTGTCAGCTGAACTTGACAGGAGATTCTTATTGGAGTGCAAAAGACCAGAATGTGGGCAGAAATGCAGATGGTAAAGACCAACATCAGGAGGTGTCAGTTGGGAACAAGGAGTGCTTTGCCATTTAGACTCCAGGCCATGTGCATTGTGCTCTGGCAGAAAATTTGTCCACATTTTGCTCATGTCCTGAGAGTGTAACATAGATTGAGATTAAGGATGGTAGACTAATTAATCTAGTTGAAAAAATTTCAAGACAGTCCAGTGTTGTGGCCTGAGCAATGCTGGCAGCTTTTAGCTATATCTATCATGAGAAGTGGGACCAAAAAGCAGAGCAAACTAACTTGAAAAATTTTGCTGGTGGACAGAAAGAAAGTACCAATAATGTTGATCCTTACAAAGTTTTGGTCCAGGATAGCTTGGCTGCTAGAACAATTAGCATTAAAAAGAAGCCAAGTACTTTGGATGGAGACAATAGGAAACATGCCTTGAGCATACATGAAGTACCAGCAAAACCTCACCCTTCCAGGGCTCCAAGGTACAAAAATGAGACTCTGCTTTGAAAAGACATCCCCAGAGCACCCTACTCAAAACAGACTACTGATGAATTGGTTCCTCTGGATTTGAGTCAGGGTACTCAGCTATTTAGGCCTCTGCAGTCATGACACAAGGGGGCCCACTACTGCCTGAACTGTTTGCAGACCTAAATGTCATTCGTGTGGTGCTAGTTTCACAAGCATGCAGAATGCAGGAGTTGTAATGTGGGAGGTTTCCACTTAGATTTCAGGAGCAGGCCTGGGAGGCCAGGAAAGTGTGTTCCTGAGAGGGCAGTGCATAAAGCTTTGGGTGTAAAGCTGAAAGTGCAATGAAGACTCCAGGAAGCTGGAAATGCCAGGAATCAGAAATGTTGGCTGAGGGGCTGGGGATTTAGCCCAGTGGCATAAGCGCCTGCCTTGTAAGCAGGCAGTCATGAATTCGATCCCCGGTACCGATAAAAAAAAAAAAAAAAAAAAAAGAAATGTTGGCTGAAGAAGACCATAGACAGTGAGCAAAGTTACCTGAAGAGAAGCCATGAGTGTTGCAACCTGCAATGTAGTAAGAATGAAGCCATCCAAGTCTTTTGGAGCTCAGGTTTGTCCAAGGTACTGAAAATGTAGCTACATGGTTTAATGTTTGCCCTGATGGGTTTTGGTTTTGCTATTGTCCCACTGGTTTCCAGCCCCCTATTCCTCCCATTTGGAAAGTTTACCTTGTGCCATTGTATGTCAATAATGTTTAGCTTTTTGATTTTTATAAAGGCTCACAGCTATGAGTTTGCCTTGCATCTCATAGGAGACTTTGGACTTGAACTTTTCAGCTAAGACTGCTGACTTTGGTGATTCTTAGATGAGCTAATTGTTTTGCATAAAGAAATGTACACACATCTTTTGGAGGCCATGGGTCAAATGCTGATTTATATCTAGATGTCCCTCAACGTCCTCATGCACTCATAGGTAGGGGCTTTTGGAAGGTGACTGGATGATGAGGCCTTATAGTTCATTTGCTATTAAGAGGTGGGGTCTAGTTGGGAGAGGCAGTTACTGGGGGTGTGACCCAGAGGGTCCCCTTCCCACTCTCTGCTTCATAACCATCATGATGGAAGGAACATCCCAGGGCTTGCCGCTTTGCCATGCCATTGATGCCTGGGAGTTGGCTAATAATGGGCTAAAACTATGAGCTGAGCTAAGCCTCTCTCTTAGTTTATGAGCGTGTCTCAGGGACAAGAAAGTGACTAAAGCACTTCCTTCATTAGTTTGTTGAGTTGCTTCTCTCTTTTATATTCTTTATGTAAGTTGGCTGAAGTTAGTATTGGTATCTTTATATTCCGAAAAACCTACGTGGTATATTTGGGATAAAATTTTTTACTGTGATTTACTTTCTCTGTTATTCATTCATTTATTAACCCAAGTATTTTATTTCTCCTGGTTCAATTTTGGCAATTTGGCTTTTCAAAACATTATTTCCTATTTATTTTCCATTTAAAACCTTTATACATTGTGAAGTTTCACATTTTTAAGTTAGCCAATTTTACCAGATTTTTCAAGGAACAAGGTTTTGTTTTGTTTTGGGATACTAGAAATGGAACTCAGGACCCCATGCTTGCCAGGAAGGCACTGCACCACTGAACTAAATCCCTGGCCCTAAGATTTCATTTTTCATTGATTTGGCTTTTGTTTTCACTTGTAATAATTCCTTGTTTATATTTTTGAGTTTTACTTGTCTTTCTTCTTAGCTTCCTTAAATGAGAAACTTATTAATGTGACCACATAAAAACTAGACAGTCAGCTGCAGACGTGGGTCTCAGCCATGTAGCCCCTGCAGATATCTGGTGGTCTCAAGCAATACTCCCCAGCCCTGGGCACAGAACCCCAGGAACACTGCACCCTAACACAGGGCTCAGAAATACACTTTTAGATTCCCAAACACCTTTTCATCATTTTGTAAACAGTGTATGTTTCATGCGTGTTGGAAAATGGTACATAGTTTTCTACATTTGAAGACATACAGGTATAGGTTTCCATGGGAAATGAAAACCCCATGCCCAGCCCACTGAGGTTCACCTTCTGTCTTCTGAACCTTATTACTGGTTGAAGGCAAGTCTGTGATTCCCAGGCAGCTACTGCTGTTTAATTTTCATTAAGTTTGATTCTACATGTCATTAGTGTTGCTGGGCCACCTTTCCCTGGTTGGTATTTATCTGGTCTATTTGCTTCCTTTTCTTTCCATACTTTGCCTAGTTTTGTTTTGGGGTCTCCTATAGCAGATATTTGTGGTCCCTCTTGGTGCTCATCTGGCACATCAGCTCTCTGCACCACTTAGTTCACACATCAGTTCCCTGCCATGGCTAGACAAGCCCGCACTCACTTCTCCATGACATTTGTGGCTTCCCCTCCCCCATCGTTTCTGCCAGAACAAAACTCTTCTTTCCTTCTCCAACTTTCTGGTCAGAAGCTGTCAAGGGGGTTATCCTGCAGTGGCTCCACTACACTCTGCAGCTGATGGTATTTCCCACATGTGTAACCTCATGCTATTTCATCATTTCCACCGTCTGATGTGAGATGCTTGCTAGCTGTGCCTTCCTCAAGCCCCTTAGCCCCGCTCTGTCCTGTTGTAACTTGTACAGAGATTCTCCATTTAATGATCTGTTTAATAACTGTTTTGACTTATGACCAAGGCACACCTTTTGGACCTGTGACCAGTGTTTTTTTGTAAGCTCTGCACATCTTGTTTACAGAGCTCTCTTGTTTTGCAAACACTGTCTATCTGCACTGTAATTTCTGCTAACTGTACAGCACAGGGCATGCACTGCTGCTATGTATGTTGTTATTCACTGCAGTACTGCATGTAAGAATTCTGCAAGTAAAAGCCAAGCCATCCAGCTGGAGTTTCCTTTGACAATTTCTCTGTTCTGGACATTGTATGCACATACGATGCACAGCTCCTCAGGTAGTAATCAAGCCATTCAATGACTTAGCTGCAGGGAGCGAATGTGGTTCTTAACCGGATGTCCTTACTTGCCAGACCAGGCACTGAGAGCGCGCAGTGCCAAACCCAGCTGCTGCAAGAGGCCAACGGTAAGAGGTGCTGACATTTATTCAGACTTCATCCATACAGATAAGAACTTGGATTTTTAAATTTCACTTACATCAGAAGTAAAAAAAAAAAACAAAACAGTGAATAAAAGGTGACATTTTAAAGTGCTGTTATGAGGAAGAGACCACAGGTGGGCAGGCTCCTGAGGAGACGGTAGGAGCTCCGCCTAAACAATGGATCTGGGCAACTGTGTTCCGAGTCGCTTTCGGAATCTGTGTACCCGGGGAGAAGGCCACCGAGTGTCCACGTGTCTGTTATGATTTGCTGGGGTCTGGCCAGCGATGGCTCTGCACCCGTGGATCGGGAGGGTGCATGGCCTCGACCCCAGGGTCAGTGCCAGTAGGGTGAAGGAACAAGGAGAGGACTGTAAAGTGACACTGTTCAGCAGCTTGAGACATAAATACGTCCTTTACATCAGATCATATGTACACAGGTGAACATATATACACACATACAAAAATATCTGCCCTGCTGGGCACGGAAAGGGAATCGAAAGAAGAGAATTGGTTTCTAGACGCACAGAAAAGGAAAGAAACAGAAGAGCTTCATCCCAGTTCTGCCTCGATTTGGATAAAGGAGACTCCCGCCCACATCCAGATCTGCCCTGGCAACTCCCACCCAGCACCTGGAGGTGGACCTCCCATCAGAGCGGGCAGGTGCCCGGGAGAGGCACCAAGGTCCTGCCCACCCCGGTGGGATGGGCAGTGGCGCAGCGAGCCTGTGGCCGAGTGCAGCGACCCTGTGGGAATTGTGTTCTCACACTTTTTCTTTAAAAACAATAAAAATACCCTTACTTAGTGAAGCTCTTTAAAAACATTGATAACCCACCCTTTTTTTTTTGTAAAAAAGAAGGTTAACATTTTAAATTATAGCTTAAGTTTTCCTGTGAAAATGAAACATGTGCAGGTGGAAGGACCTCCTTGGTCTCTGGCTGCCTTTGGGTACAGAGCTGTCACCTAGCCAGAGCAGGTGCCAGGTCCCTGTTGCCCACTGCAGGGGCACCTCAGGAGTGCAGGCTGAGCGTTCCCCAAGCCGTGTAGTGGTATAAACGACGTGCTTGATGTAAGCCCCAGTAACAAAAAATAGTTTTCTATCAAATACAGTATCAAATTGTCATTTCATGTAAACACAGTGATTCTTGGTAAAGATCTGAAACCAAGGTACCACCAAATGGCCAAGGGACTGACCTTATTTTAAAAAATCAGGAACTTATAAAAGAGTCCCAAGCTACCCACAGGCTGCTGGCCTGTCGACGCGGCAGGAAATGGGGAGAGGGCGGCGGGCCGGGTGCGCGAGGCCTCTCCATTGACGGGCGCCCGCATCCTCCTCGCTGGGCCCCATGGCGCGGCCGCCTCGCCCCACACTAGCCACAGGACACCCCAGGGCACGCACCGCCCCGCCTGGTGGTCGCTAGGCCTGGAGGTCGAAGGGCGCGGGGCAGCCCTCGCTGCAGCTCGAGGAGTTGCTCAACACGGCGGACCCTGGGCTCGACTCTGCGGAGGGAGGCAGCGGGGACACTCTGGGCCCGGGTCGCTGCACTTCCGGGGCCGGGCCAGGCGGGGTCAGCGCGCACCGCGGGTCTTACCTGAGCTGCTCAGACACTGGGCCGAGCGAGACTTGCCCAGGAGTGCGCAGAGGCTGCTGGCCGGCACCCAGGCCTCCTGCCCGTGGGTCAGGTCCCGAACGAACCTGTGAGGGAGAGCGGCTGCAGGTCCACAACGCCCGACGCCCATGGTGTAGGTATGCTGGAGCAGGTGTAGGGGTGCAGGCCTGCCCAGTGTGTGGGCGTGCCTGAGGAGTGAGGGGCGTGGCTAAAGAGCGTGAGGGCGTGGCTTGGGCTGCCTGAGGTGTGAGGGGGCGGGCCTGAGGTACGTGTGGGCGTGTCTGAGGAGTGAGGAAGTGGGGGGCTGTGGACCTGAGGTGCGCGTGGGCGGGGCTGAGGCGCGTGTGGGCGTGCCTGAGGTATGGGGTGTGCTTGAGGTGCGTGCGGCCATGTCTGAGGTGTAAACACTGCGCACCCTCTGAGGTGTAAACACTGTGCACGCTGGGGGAGCCTGCATGCCTCTTACCAGAGCCCTTCGGCGCCCTCCTCCACCACCTCCACCACGTCCCCACTCCTCACGTTGAGGGTGTTGGGATCCCCCTTCTCCTCGTCCATCACGACAGTGTATTTACCAGGGACCTAGGCAGGGCGCAATTCAGAGGCAGGGCCAACGGATCAGCACAACTGCCCCGAGACACCCATGCAAGCCGCGTACACCTGTCCCACCCATCCACGGAGCACCAGCCACAGAACTTGAACAAGTCTACACTGGGTGGCTCCAGAGGCGCAGTGAGGGCCTCAACAGCACCTTGCTGGGGGCCTGGTCACGTGCACAGATGTGCAGAGATGACCAGCTTACACCAGGGTCCTCTCTTAGGATCCCAGCTGTCGACACGCCCTCAGTACTGCTGCGTCCTCACTGTCCAGCCACAGGGGATCTGTGGTCTCCAAACACCCCCACGGCCCCGGATCTTTGTTCGCGTCCCTCTCCAGAACGCTCCCTACCGCAGGTCTAGTTTAGTGGCCATGCTATCCAAGGCCCTCCGTGGCCACATGTCCCAGATGGTACCAGGCCCCTTCCATGGCTGGCCTCTCCCTGGCTGTCTGCTTTCATGGCTGCTTGCCATCCTGACCTAGCTTGTTGTGATTTACTCCTTTCTTGTGCCTCCCTGCAAGAGGAGAGGCTGTCTATGCTGTCCTGCTTTATCACCAGCTCCGGGGAGAGGCCAGGCCCGGGCGGAGTCCTGCTGCTATGGATGTGGAGTCCAGGAGTGGACGCCAAGCACATGGATGCCCCGACCTCCTATAGCAGCTGTGAGCACACAGCTGAGGAGGATGGGCCGGCCCTCTAAGTGGAAGAGTTGCACCCGGCCCCTCCCGGGCCCTGCCCACCCCCACCACCCAGCACAGCCATGACCCTCCTGCCCTGCTTCCCCATTATTGAGCTTCCCCAGGCCATGTCCAGGCCACCTCTGCCCTCCGAAGCTCTGGGCAGTCATGTGAACCCCCTGCTCACACCAGGCCCTGTGCAGAGTATGTAGACACCACCGGCCAGTGTAACCCTAACTCCACAGCTTCCACATGCAAAGGGCTTTCACCAGTTCCATTGGTAAAAGCTAGACCTCATTTACCACACAAAGCTCACTGTGGGTCAAGGCCTTGAAGTTCCTTAAGGACGAGGCGGAGATGTTAGCAAAGAGAGGTGAGTACTTCTTGTATGTGTTGGGGTTGGGTGCCAGCCGACCCAGGAGGTACCTGACTGGGCTCTACCATGGACACTCAGCCAAGGAACAGTGCCCATCCGTGCCAAGAGCTGAAGCCATACCCAGAGACTCAGACCAAGGGGACCTCCCATGTTCCCTCCCCAGGGACCATAGTGCCCCAGCCACCCATGGGGAGCAAAGTTACCAGCTTTTTGGGGCCCACACTACCATCTTCCTCAGCATCGGATGAGTTGATGGGCTCCTCTGCACTGGACCAGCCACCGTCATCCTCGGGGGCCTCTAGGGACTGGGATGTTTTGCTCCAGCCTGGAAGAAGGACAGGTGCCAGTGAGGGCCACCCCAGTGATGGAGCCACAGCATAGGGGAGGGACTGCATCCCCAGCCCCAGACGGGCCTAAAGTCCCCCAACCAGGATGGTGTTCTCTGCACCCTTCCAAGGTGTTGGAGCAGTTCTGCTCTGACACTGGGGAATTTCAGGGGAGCCTCTGCTTCTACCTCATTGAGTTCCTGGGGATACTGGGTCCAGAGCCTCCCTGAAGAGGTGGGCCCTCATCCTGTCATGCCACCATCCTCAGGAGCCTACCCTTTGGCCCATGCCCTGTGGCACATGTACAGGGGAAGTTGCTTTCCACGAACTCAAAGCTACCAGTTTCTAGCAAAATCAGCCAAGTGAGTTCCAGTTGGCAAGCCCAAGGTGGCCCGGGACAGAAATGCTGAAGTGCCACTGACAGCAAATCCAGGCCCTCCCATTGGGTATCCCCCCACTCAGGCCCTGAAGTCCTGCCTAGCATGTGGCCTTGAGGCAGCTACAAAGGGTAGGAAAGCTCCAGGCCCCATCCTGAGATGACAGAGATGCTTTGGATACAAGGACCCCACTGCTCTGAGAGACATGTCAACATGACCATGCATGTCAGGAAGCTGGTGGCCTGGGGAACCCCAGCTCCATGGTCCACTCATGCAGCCAGTGAGAGGAGGGCATTGAGCTCTTGGAAAGCAGCTGTGGAGGGGCCACCCGTCCACTGAGAGCACTGCTGAGGACCATGGGAAATGTCCCTCATCACCCTAGGACAGGCACCACCCATACCAGGCCCGGCTCAAAGGGGCCCCTCTGGCTCTGCCTCCTGGGGTGCACTGTGGAGGTGGGGGCTGTGTACTGGGCCCTGCCTGCCAGAGCTTCCCAGGGTCGTGGCTGCAGAGACTGTGTGCATGCACGAGTGTTCCCAGCTGCTGACACAGCGTGGGGGCTGGACGGAGCTTGTTCAGACCCTGCCAGCCATCTGGCCTTCAGGCAGCCCTTGGGGGAGAGGCAGGCGCAGCCTTAGTGCACCTGGGTTCCGCTAGGGGGCTCAGGAGCCCTGCACAGCACCTGTTCTGGGTCTAATTGTATGGATGGTGGGTGCCACAGGCTGAGGCCCAGTGGGCTCAGGCTGCAGCTGGTGGGGTCAGCTCTCCTGGAAGTCTGGAAGTCTACCAGTCCCAAGGCACTTGCCAATCTGGTCACCCTGTTTCCTGTGAAATGGTCCCTGACATGCTCCCAGCAGGATAACAACCGAGAGGCTGCTGGGCCTCAGGAGGCAGCCGGGTTGTGGGTTGCTGTCTATCCACAGGTGGCACAAGATAGGGAGTGGAGACATGTCACCCGAAGCTGTTCCTACACACCTGCAAGGCATCCTCTCCACTCACTGCCAGCAACAAGGGTCTGCCAAGAGGAAACTGCCCACCAGGCCATGGTTGGGGAAGTGTGTGGCCCTGGCCAGTCTGCCAGGCCACTCTGTCCCACAGTCCTACAGGGCCAACTGTGCAGACAGCTCAGAGCTCAGGCATGTGGAGAAAGCTCTGAGGGACACAGCAGACCCTGCTGGGCAGCTTCCACTGGGAAAACAACCCTGCCCAGCACTTGGTTGGAGTGGCGCAGGTCTCAGGTCCCGTGCCTGGGATGGCACGGGGGCAGCAGCGGGAGCTCAGGGTCTGAACAGGGTATGAAGCATAGATCCCTGGAGCTGACAGTGTGGTGGCCTCTGGGCCTGGGCTGGGGCATGGCCAGCTTGTGCCCCAGAACCTATAAAAGCCTACAGCACACGTGCACCTGCACCATGAAGTGGGGCCTGGGAACATGAGGAGCAGGCAGCCCTGTTGGGCTCCCCGATGCAGGGAGGACAGCCTGGTCCCACAGTTGTATCCCCCGAGAAGGCTGAGCCAGCTACAGACATAAGGGGAGCTGGTGCCATGTGGGGCCAGGAGTGGCCCTGCAGCCACAAGGGCCACCAGTGATGGGAGGAGCAAGGGCCCCAGCCTCTGAACCCCAGCATCAAGCTGGGAGCCCCCAGGACCTTGCCCTGGCTCACAGGCTCGCAGGAGTCCTGACTAGGTGACCTTCCTGGCTAGCATGGAGGCCGAGTCACACTACCTCGCAAACCAAAGGGAGTCGGGTCGCTCTTTACTTCGTGCCGCTTAGCTTTTTTGTCAGGACTGGTAGGAGAAGCTGCAGGAGGAGGAAAGGCAGAAACGTCACAGAGAGAGAGAGAGAGAGAGAGCATGGAGGGTGCAGCAGGGAGGAGTCGGCAGTGCTTGGATGAGATCAGTCACGGGGGTGGAGAGGCCGAAAGACAGGAAGTGCAGAGGGAAGATGGCGCAGCCGGGGGCCATCCTCTCAGGGCCATCCATTGCAGGTCTGCAACCAGGTCCCAACTGCCAGGAGAGGCCTAGGGGACACCCCAGGCCCATCTCAGCCATAAGGCTTGCTCTGCTGGGCAGAGTGTGAGTGTGAGCAAGAGGAGGAGCACAGGTGGGGTGACAGAACAGTGACCACTGGCGGTTTCCCAGCAGGCTTTGTGCTCACAGGACAGTCGTGCTTTCTAACGGGCGCCCCTAGAGGATGACCGCAGTGCCCACAACACTGGTCAGCAAGAGAATGGAGGGGGGGCGTGCCGCGGGGTCGCACAGGAGGAGGGACAGTGATCCACATGGATGGACAGCCACCAGGGCGTGCATGATGGCCCCGAGGTGTGGGGACATGGACACGGTCTCGCGCTGTGCGCGTTACCTTTCTGCCCTTTGAGGTTGGCAAAGCCCTGCAGGGTGAAGCGCTTTCTGGACAGCGCTGAGCTCTCAGAGGCAGAGCTAGAGACCAAGTCATCTAGGAGGGAGACAGAGACGGTGCCTGTCGGCCCCTGCCCCGGGGACAGCAGTGTGGGTGTGAGCGAGGGGCTTGGCGTGTAGGAGGGACTGGGCTCAGCTCTCAGCACCTGTGCTCGCAGCTACACCCACCTTTGCCCTTCTCGTGGGGCTTGGACAAGGAGGCGCTCACGTATCCCTCCAGGTTCAGGGGGGCTGTCTTCCTCTCCTCCAGGTTTTTAACGTTTCTTGTGTTTCCTCTTGAGGGACTGGTGACATAGGATATGACAGAAAACAAATGGCAGGTGGCTGGTTGGTTTTTCATCTTCCATGGGGACACTGCCCGAGGCCCAGGGGTGGAGGAGGTCAGGAAGCCACACTCCCAGCGGGCGGAGTGCAGCTCTGTGCCCAGTTTAGTACTCAGCCCCATCCTGGGGTGAAGGGAAAGGAAAATGAGGTGCAGCACCGCATGTTCCACGGAGAAGGGGGAACTGAGTTACGGGTAGAGCAGCCAGGGTGCAGTCTCATTGCAATAATTCAGATGCCCAAGCTTAAAGGCAGGAGAAACCTACCATATAAATAAAGAACAAAACTAAAGATACCAGGAAACAGGAAGTGATGTGATGTCCAGGCACCAGATCCCCACAGGGAGAACAGACACACAAGCATACGTACAGACAAAACAGAAATGTATGTGGAAAAAATAAAAGTGACTTATGTAAGAAATAAGAGATTGGAGCAAAAAAACAAGTGAAGGAATAAAATGACAAAAAGAAGAAGATCAAGGAACCCACATTGCACACCGCATTTGAACTGAGCCCACAGGAGCTGGGGGACCACACAGAGCAGGGGGACACAAGTTGGGGAACCCCTTGTCCCCCAAGAGTCTGTGTGGAGTGCTTACCCCAAGTTGGGGATCCCCCATCCTCTAAAAGTGTGCGTGGTGTGCTCCATCTCCGAGTCAGGGACCCCCTGTCCCCTGAAAGTCTGTGCATTGTGCTCACCCCAGAGCTGAGGACCCCCCTGCCCCCCGAGAGTGTGTGTGGTGTGCTCCACCCCTGAGCTGGGGAACCTCTGTCCCTGAGAGTGTGCCCACCCCCATGCCTCTCACACCGGAATTGGGAATGGGTGTCATGGTGATGCCTTGGCTGTGGCGTGGGGGACATGTGATTCCCGGTAAGGGGAAGAGCTCACTGTGGAACTCAGTCAACAGGGGCAGCAGAGCCCCGGCGTGTGCAGAGGCCCACAGGTCCCTGCGCTTGGGCCTCACCTGGTGCTGGCCGGCGTGGGCAGAGGCAGGCTGTGCGAGTGTTCCAGGGCCCGGTGCTGGCTGGCCTCTGCAAGGGAAGCGATGAGGGCCTCTTACCATGCCACCCAGCACCCGCACCCTCACACACTAGGGCTCTCTGGAGTGAGAACCATGGCGTGGGGCTCCCTCGCTCACCCCGGCAGGCCTGCAGCTGGCTGGTCAGCACTTTGCGGATCTCACTCACCCACGCAGCTTTGATTTCGGGAGTTGGTGCCTGGGCCCAAAAGAAATGCCAGGAGTCAGCAAGCAGGGCCCTGATGAGTTGTGCCCTGGGAGACTCTCTCCCTGATAGTCCACTCCCAAGAGAGCCAGGCATGGTGGGAAGTCCTGTGGCTGTGGCACTGTTGGGTGGCAGCATGGGCCTGCCCAGACCATAGCCGTGGGGCTATGTCTGGTGCTGGCAGAGGACCTTGGTGGGGCTGATGACACTGGCTACCCAGGCAAAGCCCATGCAAAATGCAACCTCGAGAGCAGGGGCCTCCAGGAGTGGCCTTGTTGTGACACTGTTTTAGGTGACAAAGACAAGGAGAACCCAAAGGCACAGGTAAGCTGACCATAAACAGCCAGGTGAGTCCCTGGGCCAGGGCTGCCCTCCAGTTTTGGGAGAGGGGTTCCTGCATCCAGCCAAGTTTCCTGCCAGGTGGCTGCTGGGTTCTGAAGGTGTAGGGCCTCTGGCGCCAGAGCTGGGCCCCACGATTACATCCTCTCTGCTCTGTGTGGCCCAGATGACAGCAGGGTGGGAACAAAGCTGGGACTGAGTCCTCCCTGCACTGGAATCTGAAGGGGATGGAGGGCCACTCTGCCTATAGCTGTGTCCTCACTGTGGCCTGGCTGGGTTCGTGGAAAGGCTACTGCCATGTGTTTATGCCAGTCTGAGTGAGCCCCACCTATGTGAAGGCAGGGACCCCAGTCCACACAGCTCCCACATTCACCTGGTGCACCTCATGTCAACACCAGGACCAGGTACAGGACCACCTCCAGACAGTGTGGACCCCAGGTCCTTCCCTGGCCATGCTGAGCCAAGGGCTCCAGGATGCCTGCAGGGTGGGCACTGATCCTACCTGGATGATGTACACCTCCTCCCGAGAGTTATACCAGATCTCAAACTTCTTGGCATCACCCTTTACGTTCTCCGTGATGCCAACGGCGGCCATCTGACAAGTGCAGGACAGGGAGACAGGTGTCACTACATAGGGACTGCCACCCTCGGGGCACGTGGGAGCACAAGGGAGGGCCGTGGGGTGGCAAGAAGGCAGGAGCTGGGTGGCCCACATCCCAGCCCCGTTGGTGGGAGCAGCCCGGGCCCCTCCTGGAGCTCTTGCACCACACCAGCCGCCCACTCACATTCAGGGACTGCTTGTAGCTGTAGGACGGTGCCTTCTCGTAGCCTTCCCCGCTCTCCTCCCTCTTCTTGCAGAAGAGCACAGCCTTCTCATGCAGGAAGAGATGCCGCTGCATGGGCTTGAACCGTGCCAGCTCTTTCACCTTGGTGTGGCCCTTCTTGTGGTCCGTCCACACGCTGAACGAACCCTGCATCAGCAGCTTGCCCAGGTCACCCAGGTTGCCCTGGAACGTAGCGTGTGCACATGTGGGATGAGGAATGGGGTGGATGAGGCCACAGCCACAGGTTCCCCAGCAGGGATGGGAAGGGAGGCAGCAGGGATGGAGGGATGGGGGTGGAACGCCACAGCTGCCACTCAGGAGTGAACACGAGGAGGCCGGGCGGGAGAGGCTCTGTGAGATACATCATCTCTCCTGCATTTCCCCACCTCCAGTGCCTCTGAGCTCTGGCTTCAACCCAGGGCACTAATGCAAATGCTCAGCTGACAGGTGAGCAACACTGAGGTGGGGATCACAGCGGGGACACACACAAGGGCTCCTGTGCTGTGCACCTGACTCTACATAGACCTGAAACTGCTGAACAGCCAAGGCCATCCATCCCGAAAACAGGACAAGTGGACATGCAAGCACCAAAAGCCGGCAGGTCGGCCTGGCACGGGCTTGTAAGTGGGAAGTGGAAATCTGCCTGGGACCTCAGGCTGTTTGCCACTGGCCTATAGGCCTAAGTGCCAGAACAAAGGTCCCTCTGCTACTGAGGGACAACGAAGAGGGACATGCCTCATTGTTCCCACTTGCAGGCCAGACTACAAGGCCAACACAGGCACAATCTGGTCCTCATTGTTCGCACAAGCCATGCACAGGGAGCAGGGAAGCAGATGGGCAGGCCGGACTGCTCATGGATCCCACCGGAACAGGCATCTCTGCCCCGACCAGCCTTACGTCATAGCCAGTGATGGCGATGAGGTGCATGGAGTCATTCACAGCCTTGAGGATGCCCAGGATGGAGCTGAGTGCCTCCTGCAGGTCCTCAGCCCCCTCGCAGTTTCGGCTGTACTTCAGCATTTCCTGCGGGTGAGAAGGGTACACAGGTACCTGTCATACACAGGGTGCTGACACACCCACAGATGCAGGCCTGGACCCCGTGGACAGACCCCATGACATGCTGTGTGGTATCCCTGCTTGCTGGCTACCCACTCCTGCAGTGGGCTGACAGACAGCAGGCACTACTGGCCATGGACAGCTCAGCTCAGCAGGTATAGACCTGGCCCCTCCACCCTCCTGCCCCCACTCGGGGCTGCAAGCTGCTTCCTGCCTCTCTGGAAAACCAGCAGATGGGCCTGGGCTCACAGCTTCCTGCCTCTCCTGTGGGGCTGGGGGCCTCAGGACCTGCAGCACAGCTGCCTGGAGGGATGAGCAGGAGTCCAGGGGAGGATGTGTCCAGCCACTCCCCTGCGTACTGCACCGGGTGAGCCAAGGCACGGTAGGCTGCAGTGATGGGGCATCAGCCCGGTGCCCACCTTGAGCAGCAGCTGGTACTTGGTGATCCTCTGTACTGGCTTCAACAGGTAGGAGTCCAGGCTCAGCTTGTGGTCCAGCTTCCGCTGGCACTCCTGGAGCACAGGGCCTTGGCTTAGACCTCATGGGGTCTGTCACAGGGTCACTAGGAAGGAGTGGCTGCGTGGGGAAGGGCCGAGTACCTGGAAGAAGGGGCAGTCGGAGCACTGTCTCCACAGGCTCTCGGAGCGTGGCTTGTTCTGGCAGTACTTCTCGTAGATCTGGAAGTCCTCCATCTGCAGAGCAGGCAGGGACAGGCATGTCACACTCAGCTACTCTTGACCTAGAGCTGCTGGTGGGGCCTGGCCCTGCTGTCAAGTCAGGAAGGGGACTAGGGCCCTGGCCACCACCCCAGGGCCTGCTGGGGACACTGTTGCACACCTTATTCCCAAAGTGGCTTACAGTACTATCTGATCATTTATTTAAATAAAATCCCAGGGTCTCTCAAGTAGCTTTGCAAATTATACAAATACTTTTGTAAAAATCAAATCCGAACTTGTGTGAGATGAAATTGCCCCTGTGCATCTCTAGGGACTCAGGTAACTTTAGGGTCTAGATGGCTTCAGGGCTCAGAAGTTTCTAGGGCACAATAGGCACTGAGTACACAGGGCCCTGGGGTGCAGACACTCTCAGGTGCGATGGTTTGGGGAGCAGCTGTCTGGGATACAGATGGTTTTAGGGTGCAGACCTCTGTTTTGCAGACATCCCTTTCCCTGGCCCAGTTTAGTGAGCCTTAGCTCACTGCCCCAATCTCTGAGTCCTATGGCCCTGACACCCTTGGCCTCTGACGCTGTGCCCAGCCAGCCTCCCCCCAAGCAGTGATCCCAAGGTGGGGCTCAAGGCGGCTGTAGAAGTGGAGCCCTGGGGCCGGATGGCTGTAGAAGCCACTGATGACTATAACTGTGACTCTCTTAGGGATGACAGGAGCCCTGGAGTCAGCTGACCACAGAACCAGTGTGTATGGCACTGAAGACTCATGGCGGAGGTGCTGCAGCCTGCCCACCACAGTGGCCACTTTTCTACTCGTTTCCTTCACCCCTTGCTCCCCACATCTTTTCTTCATCTCCGCTCAGTTGAGCTGCAGAGGCTTGCTTCACCTCCTAGGGCAGCTCTCGTCATTAAGAACCTGCTCCACAAGTCCCTGGCAGAGCCTCCCCACTCCACAGAGCCCCCGTGCTGATAAGTGCCCCCAGGAGGACCCATAATCTGGCAGCTTGTGACAGCATGGGGCCAGCCACGTGTCTTCTACCCCACACCAGAAGGGAGACACTGCCACTGGCTGGAACCTCACCCATGGGACCCCGCCACCCCAAACTCAGTGGGACACACAGGGAAGCATGGGAGCTGACCCCATTCTGCTCCTTCCTTCTCTCCCTCCTTTCTTTATTTCATGAGGTCACTTCCTGTTTCTGCTCTCAAGAGCTGCCTTTTCTGAAGCTAAGCCCTAGTTCACAGAGCTAAAATGGCAGGAGCTCAGGGCAGGGGAAAGACACCAATGTGTTGGGGTACTTCCTGTTCAGAGCTCTTTCGCAAGCCTCCTCTTAGAGTCAGCCCAGAGCCCCAGGAAGGAGCAGATGCTGGCCACCCACAGGAGAAAACGAAGCTCTGAGAGCTCAGCCGTGATGTCAGTGTCACCCAGCATGGTCAGGACCAAGACAGAAACCAGCTCAGAGGAACTCTCCCCGAAGTTCCTGTTCTCTAGTTTTTGTCTTTTTTGGTGGTAGCTGTTAGGTTTTAAAAGAGCCCTGTCCTTTTCCCCCACCGAAAGCATCAGTCTGGCCTACACTGCAGATGCATGCACTCGGAGGGTCAGCGGGTGGAACTATGGCGGGGATCCGAAGTCTCAGGTGCTCAGGGATCTTGAGGGTAAGTGGGGCAGCGGCTGGTGGGGGACGTACCCGCTCCAGGAAGCAGCGTCCCACCAGCTCCGGGCAGTCTATGCAGTTCTCCAGCTCCCGAAGGAAGATCCTGCAGGGAGAGGTTTATGCTGAGCCACAGAGGAAACAGCTGGCGCCTAAGGACACCTTTTTCCAGGGGACGTTCGTGCTCCACTCTGGCCAGTCTCAGAGACCAGGCCACAGCGCTGGCCTGAGGACCAGGGAGCCTGAACCCCACACCTGACCTGGGTCCTACACACTCAGTTGTGTGTGCCCTGCTGTTTCCCTGATTGGGTGTCACGTTCATGTAGGAGGTGAGCTGCCTTGATGTTTGTTGGCACAGAGGTAGAGAAGGGCAAAGACTGATGGGACAGGACCTCCCCACGTCTCTGAGGACAAGTCTGGGGCCTTCCCTTGGCAGCACAAGCTGGGCCAAGGGATGAATGTCTCCACCACATTCTGCCTGCATCTGTCCCAGGAAAGAGCTGCAGGGGCTGTACTGGGGCCCAGGAGAGGAAGCTAGGGAGTGACCGTGCATCCTCTGTGGGCAGGGACAGCTCCTGGGAGGGTCAGTGGCAGCCAGGGTCTGCACTCACAGATGGGCCACCTCTCTCCTTGAACCACCCTGTCCTTGCTCCCCAGAGCTACCATAAGTCATAGGGAGGCAACAAAGTACCAAAGAGGAGCTGAAAATCAACACAGGCAGGCAGGATTCACTGGGTCTGCAGATACAGACCCAAGCTCGCAGGGACACGAGGAAGGAGCATCTGCCTGCTGTCCCCTTCCAAGAGCAGGCTAGGTGGGGACCAGAGCTGGTCAAACAGTGTGGACCTTGGAGCCACCAAATGCCAAGGGTGCACCCTTGGAGGACAAAAAAGGACAGATGGGGCTGCTGCTCCTCCATCCCGGCACCTGAGCCTACACTTGGCCACATAGATACTGTCAGCAAGGCCAGGAGCCACATGGCATTCCTGGCACTTGCCCCATGTCTGTGGCTGTGAGTTCACCCCTCACTAAGCAGGACCAGCGTGCAGTGGAGGCTCATCACAGTGAGGGAGGGTTGTGTGTGGGTGATCTAGGTGCTACCTGTTGTGGAAGTGGTAGATCTCCTCCATGTTCCCGAACAGCACGCCCTTCTTGCTATGCAGGCCCGTAGAGATGAGATGGGCCATCAGAGGGTTGTCCATCTCAGCAGCATAGCCCTGCAGGATGGGGGAGGTCAGCTGGGAGCTTCCACCCACAACTGGGGCATGAGGACCAGGTGAGAGGAGGCAGCCACCACTCTGTCTCTTGTCTGTTTACTCAGGACCAGGCATCAGTGCCCAAAACCAAGCCACACAAGGCACACCCCTCTGTGGGAGGGTGCTTCCCCATGGCTGGGTGCAGATCTCACCTGAACACCTGCATGAGTGAGCCCTGGGTTGCCTGAGTGAGCTGCTAGTTGCCTGAGGACTTTGTACAAGCCCGGCCCTGTCGCAGGGAACCCAGCCTGGCTCCAGGACTTTCTACTCATGGGACCTCACTGGCTCTTCTGCATGGGCTCCCTTGCAGAGAGCAGGCAGCCTTCTGGCTGCAGAAGCCTGTCTCAAGCAGGTCTCCTTCAGTGAGTGTCATACCCTGGCCTGTGAGCAGCAGCTGAGTCTCCCCCAGTTTGCAAAGTCCAGGTGCCTTTGGGGGTCACAGACACTCATTTGTATGCATCCCTTTAACACTGTGCTCTGGGGGGAGGAGCAAGCAGTGCAGACCCTGCTCCCCAGCAGCCTCACCTCCAGGACGCAGAGCAGCTCCTCCACGTAGGCCCGTTCTGTGTCCAGGAGCTCATTCATCACATGCCTGGGGGGCAGGTGGAGATGGTGAGAGCCAGCTGGGCACAAGTTCACTGTGGGCATGGGGATGCCTGGTCCAGAGGCAAAGGACTTCCCAGTGCGCAATGTGCTGGGAGATTGTTCCTCCATCTGCCATAGGCCTTAAATCCCACCTGGGCCACCTCCCTGTGCCCAGCAGGTCTCCTGACCCTTGGGTCCCTCTGACCAGCAGTCCTGTTTCTACAGGCACCAGTGATCAACCTGGCCCAATGCTGTCTGTGGAACTACTTCCTCCACAGCCTGAAACCCACCAGGAAGAGCCTGCCCAGTGCTACAGGCCCCTCAGACAACCTCCCAAGGAGGACCACATATCTACTTTTATCCATAGGAATTGGAGCCCAGGGGGCCCCTGGCTTGGAACTTTGGCTTGGTTTGACTAATGAACACAGCTTGAGGGTCTGGCCCTACACAAAGGCCAGGTGTCTGACATGGCAGTCTGAGGATCCCTCTGGACCAGTGCCCAGGAGGATGGAAAGCTGGGCCATGTGAACCATAGCCTGTGCTCGGTCTGTAGACTTCTCCAGTGTTCACCTCTGCCTTCTCTTGGTGGGTCAGCACCCAACAGGACCCGTCTGCCCAACCACATGTCTGCCCCATCTTTAGGACCCCAGAGAGACAGTGCTGTGCCTACTGGGCACTCCTGGAAAGGGCTGCTATGCACACTGAGCCAGGCATTTTCAGGGGCACCTTCTTCACCCCAACTTCAGAGTAGTCCAAGGTCCTAGGGTCCAGGCATCCGTTGGAGCCATGTGCAGGGCAGACACAAAGGACATGGTGCCCAGCAAGCCCTGGGACTGAGCTGCCCACACTGGCATCTGTCCCAATTCCCTTCTGTTGTGATGATATGGAGACCATAGTTGTGACTGCCATCTCTGTGCCCTGTGTGTGCTGAGGCCCCTTCTGTGTCCACCTCTTGCACCTGCTGCACCTGGATGTGGTCTGCGCTGGGCCGGGTGGGACTGAGCAAGATAGGAGCTGCTCTCCAGCACACATGGCACCTCAGTGTGAGGACCTGGGCTCCAAGGGAACGGGAGGCTGGACAAGGTGCAAGCAGGAGCAGCGCTGTCCATGGCACACACCGGCCACATGTGGATTCAGAGGCGACACTCAGTTCCGGCCCTCAATGAGTGGGCCTAAGAGTGACAGTGGCAGGCAGCATTCAGGGGAGGCAGGAGATGGCGTCCCCTGTGCTTCCATCCAGCCCCAAGGACGGGCCCAGGTCCTGGTGTCCATGTTGATCGTGGTGCATTCCCAGGATACACACAGGCTTTTAAGAGGTGGTAAGGTGAATGCTTCGCCTGAGAGCACTGGGGTGGGGACAATGGCCAGGAAAGATCGAGGGTAGGCAGCCCGGCTGGATGTGGATGGACAGACAGGAATGGATGGAGTCCTGGGTACACCCTGAACATGGACTGCATTTGCTTTCATAAGGAGGGCATCCTCCACAAGAGAGGGGACCAGGGCCCCATAGGGACTCAGCAGTGTAGCCAGTCACTCCCAGTCCAGTGGACATGTGCTTATACTGGTTCATGCCACCACTTGTGTATGTCCCACCACCCCCACCACACAGGGTGGGAGCACTCAGCTGCTCAGGACCTCACAGCCTCCAGCCTAGATCGAGGTGGTTGCCCCAGTGTGACTGGTGGTGGGCACTCACCTGCGCAGGATGGCCAGGTTCTCCTCCTCGTCCCCCATGGAGCTGCCCCGGCCCTGCCGGCTCTCACTCGCTTCACTCTGTGGAAGAAGAGCACATGGGGTTGACTCGAACCCTGGAGCTGTAGCAGTAGAGGTGGGAGGTCAGGCATCATCCTGTCAGGGCAGCCCCGAGGAGATGTGCCCTCGGGAACCTGATGTCTAGAGTGCCAGCTCCTGCCTGGGGATGCTCCTGAGGGTGGCTGCACCCTTGGGGCCTGCACACCCTAAGGTGGGCCTTGCAGAGCCCTAGAGTGGGCACAAAAGGGGCGCTGGCTTCACAGAAAGCTGTGGCAGTGAAGCCTATGGCCTGTGAGGTCACACAGCACACAGCAGGGTTGCACGGCACAGTGGGATCATAGCAGCAGATGGCCTCACCTTGGCCCTTCGGTAGGGTCCCCGCCGCAGTGTGCTGCCCTCAGAGCCGGAGTTCTCAGGTCCACGCCAACCCCCTAGTTTGGAGAAAGGTGGGGCAGGGTTTGGGTTCTGTCTGAGCAGGAGACACCACTGAGCCTCCTCAGTCCTCAGATAAAGCTGAGACATGGCAAGAGAGGGAGGGTGGGCTCCCTGGGCATCTGGTGGGAGCTCCCCACCCTCAGAGGTGGCTGGGACATGGGGTGGCACCATGCAAGGGCATGGCTGCAGGCTGGGAGCCACCAGACAGGTGGAGGATCATCCTCTCCTGCCCTAGTGTGCCCCAGGCCCTCAGCACTGGTGAGTGATGTCTACCGAGGTTCCCAAGCCCTCTGGGAGTTTCCATGAGGAAACTTGCCAAGGAAGAGACAGGAAGTCCTGAGTTAAGGCACAAGAACCTCTCTGAGAAATGGGCCGGTGGCCTTGGCCCAGCAGGGAAGCCAGGAGCAGGCCAGGAAAGGTGGCAGCCGTGGAGCACTCGTGGGCTGGTGGGATCGGGCAGGACATAGTCATGGTGGGCATAGGAAGGTCTGGGCAGGCTGGGGCAGGGGGAGGATGTGGTGGCTGCAGAACAGAGAATGGTGGGAGGGTACAGGGTCTGGAAACAGCCTAGGAACTCAGCAGTCTCGGCCAATAGGACCCAGCTCTTCCTTCGCTCAGCACAAGGCAACCCCAGACAAGACATGAAGGACACCTGTGGCTGAGTCCTGCTCACCCCCGGTGGCGGGATGCACTGGTCCTGGGTATGCACTGCTAACCACTGCCTGTGCCAGGGCTGGGCAAGGAGGAAGTGCATGGAAGAACACTGCCTATGTGTGCCCATGGCAGGGATCCTGGCTCTCTAAGTGTGAGGCCACCACACATACCTGGGGATGGGCAGGATGACTTTGTGAGCACTTCCGGCCTGGGGGCCACCGGCTGTACGGGCCGCATCTGCTTGGCTGCCAGCTTCTTGAGGCTTGCCTGCCGGCGGTGGAACATCTCCTGCATGCTCTCCTGCTTCTGGAAGACCTTCTGCACGTGCTCCTGGAATGGCACCACTGTGTCACTGAGGACGCACTGTCCTGTGTAGGATGTACTGGGTTTCCATTGTGGCATCTTTTGCAGCTCTGACCACAGGGGAGGGGCTGGGTCAGGAGGCACAGAAGGACAGTGGTCTTTGGGTGGAGTAAAGAACTTCCTGGAGTCCCCAGGGCATGGGGTGAGAAGGTGCCTGGTTTGGTGCAGTGTCAAGCAGTGCTGGGATGTGATGGGTCCCTGGGGGAACCCCCTCCTAGCAAGTGACTTTCCACTGATCAGAGGGACCAGGCTGCTGAAGCCAGGGCTGACATTACCATGAGGTGCGGGTTGAGAATGGATTCATATTCCTTGTAGATTTCACTGAGCTCCTGGATCTTGTGCTCTGCACCAGTCTCCAGGAACTTCTCGATCTCCTGCAGAGCTGCCTCAGCACCATCCTGGGACTGGCACTTGTCCACAGGCTGTGAGGCCAGCAGATAGATGCCCTCGTCGCACCACTTCATGGACTGGAAGCAGAGCATTGGGTCAGGGCCTGCTCCTTGCCTGAGCACTGCCCTCCTCGTTCTACCCATACTTCATACAACGTGTGCCCCCAACACACTTTTGGGGGCACCAGCTCTTGACACCTCTGCACCAAGTTCAGTGAACTCCCTGGGGTGCAGCAGGTTCCCTAGGACTGGATTCATCTGCAGGGAAGAGGGAAGAGACCAACCAGGATGCTAGGTCTCTGATCCCCCAGCAGAATCACTACTGCAGTGGTGAATTCTCACAGGCAGACGTGCCTGTCAGGACTACACCCTCCAGGTGGACAGAAAGAGGAATGCAGGGAAGGGAGGAGGTCACTTCTGGTCAGTGGGTGCTGCAGCTCAGCGACACAGCTGCCCCTGAATTCTCTTATGGGTGCCATGGTTGAGGGGCCACCTACTGTCTCCAGAAGGTTGTGCAGCTCCAGGGCTTTGCTGAGCAGCCCCCGCCTCCTGCTGACCTCCGAGGAGAACTGGTCACAGAGGTGTCGCAGCTCCTCGCACTTGGGACGGATGGAGTCCACAGCATAGTGCTTGTTGTCGATGAGCCCCTCGCCCTCCAGTGCCAGGGCACGGGCTCTCTCCACAGCCACCTGTGGATACAAGAGTCAGCTCAAGTGTTCTCGGTAGAGACAACTGGAGCACTGGATCCTCGGGGATGTGGGACCTGGGGTGTGGAAAGACATCCTTTTTGTTTACAGCTATAGTTGACTGAATATCACTCATCCATCCCGAAGCTGCACTGGGGCCAGGGCTCCTGCGGACCCAGAGGCAGTGGGAGCAGTCCAGCCCAAGGACACATCACTGCACGGGGTGGGGGGGATGGGGGCGGTGAATGAGCCGGAGCTTTGCAACAAAGGCTGACCAAGGGCAGGGAATGTGCCCGAGGCCGCGGTAGGTGCTGGTGGTGGTTCCCCTGCCCTGGTGCCCCTCCTCACACTGGACTTCTCCTCGAAGCTGGCCAGGTCCTTCAGCAGGTGCTCCACATGTGCCAGGCTGTTTCCGACGTCCGTGAAAGTCGCTATCTTCTGGGACACTGTATCCAAGGCAGTTTTGACCTGGAACAAAGGAGGCCAATTTGAGAGCCATGCCAGGAGGGAGCCTGGGCTGGACAAGGAAGCCAGGGACATAGCCAGGCTGAGAGTTGCCCCTGTCCACCAAGGATCACAGCTCCTGGTCTTAGCCTGCTGCCTGCTCATGGGGACTCCTGGAAACTGAAGGGACAGAAATGGGTTGCACATGGGTGCTAGGCATGGTATGCAAGGTGCTGTGGGGCTGTGGTTCCGACCTGTGATCAAGGGATAGGATGGGGCCTTTTCCCTTGCTTGGCCCACGCAGGTGGCATGGCGGAACTCAGGCTCACTGCTCTTGGAGTTTCTGGGCTGTGTGGTAAGGACATGGGTGTGGTTCCAAGTGCAGGCAGGGAGAGTGCTGAGGTAACGTCACCATATGTGGGGGTGGGGTGAGTACAGAGAGCTCGTCTCCCTCTAGGAGCCTGAAGGTGTGTATTACACATCATACTATGATGATGTGACAGTGTGTAAAATAAGTTATAATACATCACTCAGAGGCGCCACTAAAACACTGGCACCATGAGATAAATCCAAAAAGTACTACAGTTTAATGAATACCAAATTCTGGAAACTGTTCAACTAACCACAGGAAGGGTTAAACAAGGGAAAAAATAGAACAAAAAGAATATACCAGATAAAATGCAGACTAAAGTCTAATATACTAACATTGGTCCCCAGCGTGAACAGCCTAATACACTGATGCCAAGACAGCATGGCAGACTACACAATGTGACCTGGCCACTACATCAGCCAGCAGCTCCCTGCAGACAGCAGGACAGGCAGGAGAAGCCAGAGGACGAGGCCCACGCTGTCTTCCACTAGATGGCAGCTGAGCGGTGTGGGTGTCTCACACCCTGTGTCAGGCTTGGTGCCTGAGACAGCAGAGTTCAGCACAGGGCCTTGGGCAGCAACTGGGTCATGAGAACCAGGCCACACCCACCAGGTGGGAGCCTGATATCAACGCAGAGACCACACTGAAAGCTTGACGGCTCGTGGGCACTGCGTGTGGGAATGCCGGATATCACTTGGACCCTGGCACACTGACACTCACAGTGACCAGACCTAGAGGGAGCTTCCTCGAGGACACAGCTCTGCCACATAAAGGAAACACCCACACGCAAGCCAGGGACCTTGCAGAACCCTGGACAGCCACACTGAGAGTTCCACTACATGGCCCCCTCCACAGGGACAGTGTGCCCCACAAGTAGCCAGCCGGAGGGAAGGGCCCTGTCCCTGGCTGTGCAGACCCAAGGGTGTGGCCGTGTGCCCTGCTATCCTGTAACCTCTGGGGCACTGGGATTACTCTTCACAGCTGCTCTTGGACCTACGATCTCTAAATAAAATGCTTAACTTAAAAAACAGCCCTTGCTCTGAAGAGGCCTCTGTAGTCCAGAGAGAAACAAGCTACAAGCACCACTTTCTGCAGCTGCCAGCCCTGCCTGGGGTTCAGAGGCCCCGCCCCCACCCCAAGGCTCCGCCCCTACGCCATCCTCCACTCTGCCCCTCCCCTGTTCGGAGGCCCCGCCCTCCTACAGCCCATAGGCCAGTTGCCTCCTGTCCTCTGCTAAGAGCCTGTCCCTGGCCTCACCTCGCGGAAGCCCTGCTCAAAGTGGCGCAGGCGCAGGCACTGCTGCAGCTTCTGCTGGTGTTTGGCCCAGAATTCGTCGAAGGCAGCCTCCGTCTCATGCAGTTGTGCCAGGAGCCTGTGAAACAGAGCGGGCATGAGTGAGGGTCTTGACCCTGATGCCAGATTCAGGAGTCCAGGCTGTCGAGGTGGGGGCAGGTCCGAACTCACAGGGAGGGGGTCTTGCCAGGCAAGGCTCAGTCTCCTGTCACCCACAGTGCAGGGGCAGAGCGCATGGGGCCTCCCTAGCTTTGACTCTGGCTGTGGGCAGTAGCCTGCACTGCCTGCTCTGGCCGACAGCTGGCAGGCCTTTCGGACTGCTGCATTTGACAGATGGAGAAACTGACTCAGTGCAGTGTCTAGAGGGTCTGGGCTGGTATGGGCCTCACCTCTGCACGGTGGCCTGGCTGTCCAGCTGGTCCTGGTTCACGCCCTGTGCTGTGCTCTCGGCTGGTGGGTCCTGGAGGCTCTCGAGAATGCCCTGCCCCTCCTGGAGCACCAGCCGCAGATCCTCCTGCAGGCACAGCACAGCCTCACACCTCGGCCCACTTGGTCACATGCTCAGACTGTGTCATCCACAGCGGCATGAGACCATCTCCTTTGTGCAACTGTGCCCACACTCCGCCCCACACTGGAGTGGCAGCTGTCAGGCGGCTCATTCCTGTTTGCATCAGCGTGGAGCTAGGGTTACAGATCGGCCAGGCACTGGGGTAAGGTAAAAACGTAACCAGAAACCAGGCTTCCTAACGCCTGTCTCTCTTCCAAGCCAATTCTCTTCAGAACAAAGGCTGGTCGTGGGTGTGACCACCTGGCTGGCAGCACCAGGGCAGAGTCCTGGGGACACCAAGCAGGCCATAACCGCTGCACACTGGCACTGGACATGAGGCTGCCGGGCTCAGGTGGCAGCATATTTACCACAGAAAGCAGCTGGAGGCTGCAGTTCATCGCCTCTTCCTTGCCTGCAATGAGGCACGGGCAGGGTCCCTGCCTGCTTAGCACTCTGGCCAGAGCATCACTGAGGGAAGACAGCCCAACTGGCTGGCTCAGACTCTGCACTGGAGGAAGGGCCGGCTCATGCCTGTGACTCTGGGCCACAGTTTGCAGAGTCACTCAGGCATCTCAGGAGCTGCCACAGGAGATGGAAGAGCTGCGCTCCTGCAGCCCCAGGGAGCTGCACGTACCTTGGCTTTGTCCTTCTTCTCTGTGTGTGCACTCAGCACCAAACTGGTGGATGGGACGTCGTTTGGCAGCTCAGTCTCAGCCAGCTCGGTCCCAAAGGACTGCAGCATCTGGGCCGTCTGCTTCACCATCAATGCAAAGCTCTCGATTGCCTGGAAAGAGGAGCTCACCGGTCACCAGCTGCCACAAAAGCGCCTGTAGCCTCCTGAAAGCCGACAGTGAACTGCAACCAACCGCCTTGGGGAAGGAGTGCAGCTGGGCCTGTGGTCCGGGTGACCTGGCCAGGGCCCTCCTGAACCTACCCGGCAGGCCCTCCAGATGGGCCAGGGTGTCTATCTGTCTTTGCTAAGTGTGTGTCACAATCACAACACACGGTTGTGAGTTTTCCTTTTCTTGTCTCCAACCCCAAGCAACCACTCCCGAACTTATTACTCATGTTAGATCTTCACAATGACTAAGTCTATTGAGACTATCTCCTCATTCTTGGGGAGGGTGCCTGGCGCTGCTGGGGCCGCGTGTCTAAGGCTGAGTCCTCATGCAGAGCAGCCCCTCTGGGTCAGCTGTGGACTCGCCCACAAGGCTAGGTCACACTCACCGTGCGGTGGCACAGCCAGCGTGAGTGGCAGTAGTCCAGGGTCCCCCCAAGGTCCTCGGTCAGCTGCGACTTGTCGATGTAGCTGTGTAGTTCTGGCACTGAGCTCAGCATTATGACCTGAGGGAACAAAGCCCCATCAGCAGAGCAGGTGTGGCAGAGCAACGACCTGGGCAACAACCAGGGCTTCAGACTCGAGAGGACCAGGTTTGAGTCCAGCTGTGTCCTTCCTGACCTTGTATGTTATTGGTTCTCTCTATGCTTCAGTTTCCTCATCCATGTTGTGGATCCTACTAGGTCAGACCTGGGGCCTGAGATGGCTCTGGGATGCATGTGGACCTTCAGCAGAGGGGCCGGCAGCCGTTGGCACCTCTGATATGGAGCGCACTACCCAGCCTCCCAGAACTTAGCAAGGAAACCTACAGGTGCTCCGCCCCAAACCTGCTGTCCTCCCAATCCCGAGACCACTGTGAGGTTACACGGTGCAGCTTAGAATTAGCTCAGCACTCAGTCTGGACAGGGGGACTGGCAGCCCCAAGAGGGGACCAGGCCACAAGCCAAGGGGCCCCCATGCATGCTGGGCTTGTCTTCACCATCTCTGTTCCAGTGCGAGTCCAAGGTAAAGCTCAGTGACTGTCAGGGCAGAGCTGACAGCATAGGGCTGCTGGGCCGGGCTATGACTCAACTTGATGGTGCTCCGTGAATTACTCAACCCAGGGTCAGTGGGAGGTGGTTCTCAGTGGGGCTGTTCTGCTGCCTGGGCCTGTGGGAAGGCATCTAAGACATCCAGATGGAGGTGCCCAGACAGAGGCCGCTGTACTACTTTCAGCGTGACAGAACTCGGTTCCCCCCAGAGTCCTCACAGAGACGACGACTCTACACTCTCGGTTCTAATAAGTCACTCCCTGGCTGTCCACCAGCCCAGTCCTTGGCCAGGGCCTGCAGGCAGCCCCAGGCCGTCACCACCCTCTGAGGTCTTTGGACATTCTCAATCTTCCCTGCCCTTGTGTACTTGTTAACAGCCGTGGCCTCCAGATGACGCTTCTAAAACTGTCTGCAGGTCAGTGAGCTGGCAGGTGTAAGAGCGGATTCTGTCAGCACCAGTGTGATCACACGCTAGAGGAGCCGGTGCTGGGACACATTTAGCTTCCTCTCTGCGCCTCCCATGCCCTGGCCCCTCCCCTCCTGCAGATGATCTGCCTCCCCATTTCCTGTCATCCACCTTTCAGTTTGTTCTTTAATTTGCTTACGTGTTGAGCCACTCATGTAGGAGAGACCACGCTGTGTTCAGGCTCAGGTGTCTGACTTATATCACTTAACATTTTGGTGTCTACATGCAGCCTCTGAATGCCACCCCAGCTTCACCCTTTTTATGGCAGAGTAGAACTCTACTCTGTGTAGGCACTACGATTTCTTTGTCCATTCCTCTGGCGATGGACACCTAGGCTGCTTCCAAGATTTAGCCAATGATGCACTGCCTGTATACACATGGTCGTGCGGAGGTCACTGTAATGTGATATCTAGCTCTTTCGGGAAAATGCCTAGTGGGGGAAGGCTGGGCCAAATGGGACCCACTTTGCCAGCTGCTGACACTACCACATCACTCTGCACAGGAAGCGGCACTGAGAGAGGCCTGCTGGCTTCCTCAGCACGCACGCCTGGTATTCACGGCACTTGCAGATGCCATTCTGAGTGCCAGGCCATAGAACATGTCCTTGCCTGACAGGCCACTGTCTGGAGACACCAGGTGAACAGCTCAGCACCTCGAGGTCAGGTTGACTTCACTGGGCCAAGCAACTGCTCGAAGCTCTGCCTGCATCAGCTCTAGGACACTGGCTGCCTGGACACAGGCACTGTGGGGCACCAGGGTGCAGTGTCCCAAAGACTGGGAGCCTGTTGTCCCAGAGGCCACCAGGATGGCTCCTGAGACCCACAAGTGCCTCTGGGTGGCCTCACTATGGAGTGTCCAGATGCCACGTTACTACTCCGTGCTGAAGATCTGGGTCATCGAGGCGGGGGAGGGTGTGTTGTTATGGAGGGGGCAGTGCCTTCACAGACAGGACAGGTGGGCAGGGCCATCAAGGGCAGGACAAGTAGCACAGCCCAGCCCTGGGGAGCCGTTCTGCTCAGGGAAGGCGTGTGCCACCTGGATCAGTAGGCAGTGACCTAGTGGCCAACAACCTGTCCCTTGGATGCTTCCGGGAGACCAAAGAACTGCTGGAGAGCCCTGTGGCCTGACATGGCCCCTACTTGGCCCCTCCTGTCCCCTCTGTGAAAGGAATAAGCTCTGGGTATACTGCCTGGCAGGCCTTCTGGGGCAGTGCAGGAGCCGTTGCAGTGTAGACCAGCATCAGGGTCTCCTGAGTGGCCTCAGGGGCCTCAAAGGCCTTTGTTCTTTAAGGGACATGACAACCGTGCTCCAGGGGCACTGACAGAGCCAGAGTGAGGGTGGAATGGCCTGAGTGTCCTCTATGGGCCTGGGGACATTTGCACTCTCTCCCTGGTCCCTTTTCACTGGGTGTGGGGACATCTGCAACTCATGGTTGGATAGGCGAGTGTCCCTGTGGGTGCCTGTGCACTGTGGGCTTGGGGTGCCAAGACCGGGGTGAGCAGCAAGGGCATTGGCCGCTCCAGACAGCACCAGGCAGAGGACCACACCCACAGGATTGGTTGATGGCTGCAGCCTGAGGTTAACCTGAGGGTCCCGGGCAGTCCCAGACGCACTCACCGGCACCTTCATCTTAAAGTCATCTCTGTGGAACCTGAAGGCGATGTCTGAGAGGGTCCTCTGGAAGAATCCTGTTGGGCGAAGGACGAGGACCAGCTGCAGGTTTGCCGGGAAAGATGCCTGTGAGACAGAGTGGGTCCTGGTGAGACCACGGGGTCCTCTCCCAGTGGCTGATGGTCCAGCTGCGAGCTGCTCATAAGCCCTGGGTTGGAGGCTTGGGTGAACTGTGCTCTCAGTTCACCAGTGCAGGTTCCCAGGCCCTGCACTCACTCACATGGGAGCTCATGTGGGGCGGGGCTTTCACAGAGCCAGCTGAGGGCACTGGTGCTGTTGGGGTGGCCCTGGCAATGACTGTCCTCCTGTGGAGGGGACTCTGGACGTGGTGTGCACAGGAGGAGGTCATGTAAAGATGAGGTAGGCAGTGGGGATGCTTCTACTCCAGGTGCCTGGAGCACGTACCCTGTGTCGTGGACAACCCTGCCACCCGTGTCTCTGCTCCAGAGGGCACAGACCCCGACTGCCCAGTAGCAGGGCTCTGTCACGGGATGTGAACATACTTGTCCAAACAAGCTACCTAGATACCTGTATGTGTTGCCTAAAACAGAACAAAAATAAGTTCCACCCCAGCACACACAGGCACTCAAATAGCGACACAGGCCTATTTGTTACCTACAGGAATGTGGACCCAGGGCCAGTTACTTTACTTGTGAGTGCCTCAGTTTCTCTGTATGTAATGGGGACAAAAGTGGCCTGGTCACCACACCACGTTGAGGATGGAATGACCCTAGGCATGCTGCCTCTCCCTCCTGGTGGACAGAGGTTAGGTGGCCTCAGGTGTCACCCTGTGTGGCGGATGCCCGGTCAGTGCGACCAAGGCTCCTCCTGCAGGCAGTGGCCTAGGTGTTCTTCCTCCTTTCTGGCTCCATGACAAGGTCAAGTGGTTGTGACCTGACTGCAGGGAGTGGTGACTGTCCTTCCACCCTCTGCAGCAGGAGACGCCCAGCTGTGCTCATGTGGAGAGGACCCGACCCAAGGCATCAGGACCTAAAGTTGCTCAGGGCCACCTGTCAACCAGGGGACATCCACGCCCCTGCATTGTTGGTGCTACTGGCCGCCTTTTAAAGCAGCTGTCCCCCCCCCCCCCGCCCCAGCACGCTGCCCAGAGGTGACAGTGAATCACATTGTCCTCTGATCCGATCCACAGTTTCTGCACCTGGACTCACGGCTCACAGGTCAGCTTTTGGGCTAATGTCACCTGAGTGATGTCCGAGACCGGCTCTTTGCAGGGAAGGCACTCTCCAGGCCCACCGGAGATGAGCCGGGCATGTTCCTCTCTCTGCTTTAGGATTTTCTCTGTGTAAGTTATTGAGTCTTTGTGCTAAGTAGAATAATCCTCAGGTTCTAGCCAAGTGAGGAGGCTTTAATTGTGGACACATGGTGTGAACAATAGCAAGTTATACTTTCTGGTCTGGCATTGGCTTTTTTGGCAGGCAGTAGAGGAGATTGAATCCAGGGCCTTCATTCATACCCAGCTATGCTCTCAGGCCCTTTAAAATGTTTTAAATTTTAAGAGAGGGTCTTGGTAAGTCACTAAGTTGCCTTCCTATGCTCCTGGCTCAGCCTTGCTGAGTGCTGGGACTATCAGTGTACACCACCTCTGAATCAACCTTCTGTATTAAAAGCTGAGGAAAGGTCTAAAACTCAGCTTTAATTTTAAAAAAATGCAAGATTGGAATGGAGGCTATAAACAATGTAATTTATATTTTTGTAAATTAATCAAGTGATAATAAAATGACAGATTTTTGCTCAACATGAAAGCCATCCTGCTTACTCCTTGGGGCCAATCCTCCAAGACTCAGGCCCAGGAATAGGGGCGATGGCCTGACGGGGCTTCGGAAGTAGAAACAGTGGCGGCTGGTTGGCTCTCACTTGGTATTCTTAAAGACGGAGTGAGAAATCACAAGTTCAGGTGGAGTCTCAGCACAGCAGTCAAAACCTGGCCAGGCAGACTTGTCAGCTGGCTGTCCTACGCGCACAGAAGGTGATATTCACACACAAGGTCACCTGTGCCTTGGTGGACACCTGAGACTGAGTCAGAGGTGCTCAAGCTGGGGGGCAGGGGCAGAGACCTGCCGGCCACGCATACTGGCTGGGAGCTCGGATGCCTGCATGGGACTCTGTTTCCCAGGGACACAGGTGCACTACCCTGAGGTGGCACAGCACATCCTCTAGTGTCCTGGGGGAACAAGGCAAGTGGTCACCATGGCAGGCCAGCAGATAGCTTGTCAGCATGTGTGTGTGGTCTGACTGTGTGTCTCCAAGCATGTATTTGTAGCTGGTTCTGTGTCTCTGCATGTGTGTCCCTGAGCATGTGACTCTGCACATGTGTCTCTATGCATGTGTGGGAGAGCTTCTGTGTCTTTGCTTATCTCTCTGTGCATGTGTGGGGTGTTTCTATGTGCGTGCGCATGTCTCTCTCTCTCTCTCTCTCTCTCTCTCTCTCTCTCTCTCTCACACACACACACACACACACACACACACACACACACACAAAGTATCCATGGTTCCTTAAGGAGACTGTTCCCTTCACACCTCCCAAGCCCGTCTGAAGCTCTCTGGAATGAAGCATTTTTGAGGCAGAGGTGCTGACGTATGAGCCTCTCTCCTCTGTTGGGGGCCACCTCCCCACTCCAGATCCATCTTCAGGCTGATGCTGCTGGACCACAAGACACACACCTTGTGCATACACAGGAGCCCTGCATACCCAGCAATGGGCTGAGGAGTGAGGTCCTGCTACATGGCAGGGGGGGGGGGAGGACGACAGCGGCATCCAGGACCACACCCACCCTGTGTTGTTAACTTGAGATACAGCACAGCACCCTGAAAGCACAAAGCCGGAGGTTGCCACCTCCACATTCTGGGTCAGGTTCCTGAAGGGTAGGAGTGGAGGGGGTGCCCTGAGCTCCCAGTCCTTGAGACTATGATGAACATTGTAAACTTTAGTGAAAACCACAAGGGATAAAACCAGCAGGAAGGGCATCATCTCAGCAGACTTCCTGCCCCTTTCCTTCTGGAATATTCTGTGTGGACCAGATCACCATTGCTAGGGATATGAGCCCTGAGGTGGGGCAGAAACTGAGCGCTGGGGACAGGACATCTCGGTGACTACCCACCATGGTCCTTACCCACACAGCTGTTCCTAAAAGCCCAGGTGAAGGCCAGAAACATGGATCACGAGCTCTCTCCTGGACAGCGGCAAATGCCTGGGATAGGCTTGCTCCCTACCTCCATCCCATGATGCCTCCTGAGGGCTGAGGGCAGGGTCTTGGCCTCAGGCTGGTGGTGGACAGTGCAGGGTCCCCTGAGAGGCCTGGTCTCGTACTGTCCCCACACTTAGACTACAGTTCCACCTCTTCAGTGAGGGCTAAAGAGATGTCGCAGCCACTCTCTCTTAGTGCCCTGGGCCCTACTGCCTCTGGTCTGTGAGCTTGGGCCTGTGTTCCCAGGGGACCCAATGTGGACAGCCCTGTGGACTCTTGGACAGGACCACCTCCACAGAGAGGCCCTCAGTGTGGGGCAGCTCCTAGGGCTGCTCCACATTCTCCTGCCCTGTAGCCCAATCCTCCCTGAGCTCAGGGCAGCACAGGGCTGGGCTTCAGCAGTGGCACTGGGTACAGTGGACCTGGTCCAGCAGCTGCTTGGTTTGGAGCTTCCCCACCAATACAGACTGCAGCTTTCCAGAGCCCTGTGCAGGCCCCACACTGCCTCAGCATCACTCTGAATCTACCTCGATTCAGGTCCTCTCAAGAACACTCAGAACAGGGCTCCGCTCCAATGAGGCCAGCTCTGGGCATCAACACAAATCCTCTGAGCTGCTCATATATACTCACGTGGAGAAGAGTTAGTTTCTACAGCAGCAGCTACCAGAGGCACTCAGAAATTCTGTAAGAGACACACCCAGTGGGGCAGCCCAAACCCCAAGGCAGCACATGACTGAGAGAGGCCCAGATGCTTGGATTTGGTCTCATCGTCGCCACCCTTGCTTGCTGGATGTGACCAGGGGCCTGTCTGGGGAGACACCCTCCCCACCCCTAGGGGGGTCAGCTCCATTGAAGAGAGGCACTCCCTGCCCTGACACTTGGCGCAAAGCAGTCGAGCTATATTCTGGGTCTGCACAGGACACCTGATTGTAGGAACACTGGGTTCTGGCTCTTCCCACCTTTTATTTTTCTATTGTGAGCCAAGCCGAAGGCATCTAACAGAAATTCCCGAGCCTGGGGGAGCTGAGCGCAGGGGCGGGGTGCAGGGTGCTAAGAATAGCCCATAGCCTCAGATTCAGTCCTGTGGGAAGCCAGGCAGCAGCAGGCAAGAAGTCCCCAGCTCTGCTTCTGCAGGGCCAGCTTCCAGGCTGGATGCTGGGCTCCAGTGTGGATACCCAGGCCCCAGCCCCCAGGGGTAGGCTGTGGCCCACATGAATCAACACCACTGGCTCGGAAACAGCCCAGACCTTGGAGAAGCCAAATGCAGTGTCCTTCTAGCCGTGGGCAGTGTGTGTGGACTGTGCCCAGTGTCTTCCCTGTCCCACCACAGAGCATCACAGCCACCCACACTGTCCTGCACTGACCAGGTGACCTGACTGGACTATCCGCTGCCTGCCTCCGCTCCTTCCCCTCTCCTGGCTTCTCCCATAGCAGTGTCCCAGGCCTGGTCTCCTGCTCCACCTCTTCCCCAAGTTCTCGAGGCTCCTAGCCAGTCCACAGCCGGGCTCTCCTGAGACTTCAGCTGCAGGGAGGGGCTCCAGCACAGAACAGCAGTGGGCCTGGATCCCGGGGCCCGGCCCCACCCCAACAGGTCTCCCACCCTCCAGTGTCTGGCTGCTACCTCAGAGATTCTTGCTGCTCTGCGCCTGCTGGACCTCCTGCTGTGTCTGCCCAGCTATGGACCCAACACTCAGCAGCCCAGAGCATGCCAGGTACCTGCTGGAACCATCAGCAAATCCTGGGAAGGGGAAAGTACTATATCTCAAGACAGCATGGGACTGTTTGCTGGCTGATCCTAAATTCCACTTTTCCAAACCACTCAGGGATGGTGTCACCAAGGCTGTGTTATGGTTCGGAGTTTGTACAAACATAAAAACTCAAGTACTGTTCTATCAGTGACAATTCCAATACAACAAAGCCTTCAAGCTAAGGGCAGTTGCTTTAGAAATCCCTGATCCTGAATGTAACAGTGGATGAAACCACACTTCCACTGGCCATGGGCTGCTATAGGCTGCCCAACGGCCTCAGGGTGGTCTTGCAGGACCACTTCTGGCTTTGCAAAATAATTACTGCATTTCTTAAAAAGCAGCTTTGTGTTGGGGGACTTTGTGTCATCCAAACCAGGAGCCAAGCATGTGATGATGGTACCGTGGCACATGTGGCGTGTGTTACCCAGATATGCTGCATGTTTATGGCCAGGAGTAAAGTAGGGTACCAAGGTCAGGCCTCAGCTGGGCAGTGGCCTCACTATGCCCAGGCTGCCTCTGAGGCAGAGGAGTGAGCTGGGCCCTGAGTGGCTAGAAGCTGGGGCAGGCGTGTGTGAGTGTGAGCGAGGATGCATACACCCTGCCAAGTGGCCGCAAGGGCACTGCAGGTGGAAGGCCTGGCCCCAGGCGGAGTGGATGCCAGCAGTCCTGACTACAGGGACCCATGACTGAGTGCCGACCTCATAGTTCATCACACTGGTAGTTGACAGAGGTGCTGGGTTGGCCAGTACGATGCTGCTGTCACACATGTCACACCCACGTGGCCTTCCCTTGGAGTAATGTGTACCTCCTGGGACCTGGTAGTGTGTGCCCAGGACTGTCTGCCCCCACAGAGGCTGTTGTCAGGACATGGTGCTGACACTGGCTTCCTATGATAGGTTCCAGATCTTCCCATGTCAGAACCACATGCAGACAGATCTACACATGCAGTGGGGACTAGGCACGGGCTGAGCCAGCAGTGGCCAGGTACAAGCACTGTCCAGACCCTGGGGATACTGGTCACAAACACTGGCTGGGTGCTGGTTACAAACACTGTCCAGATGCCAGGGATATGGGCTAGTCAGAAGCACCATTCAGGCCCCAGGGACACTGATCACAAGTGCCATCTGGACCCCAAGGCACTGGTTATGGGCACCGTCCAGGACCCAAGAACATGGGCCAGAGGCTGACTGTGTAGATGCCTGTTCCTCGAGAGACTGTTCGGGTGACCTAATCCCTTCCAGCAACTGAGGGGGAGGGACATGCATGTCAGGTAGGGACAGGGACAGGAGGTGAGAGGGACACCCAGCTGGATCTCACATAGGACTCAGCTGTGAGACATGAGCTCTGATGCAATGGAGCAATGGAAGGGGCTCCTCCTGGACCCTGGACCTGGGCACAGCCCTGAGAAGCAGGGGACCCAGGACATTGCAGATTCAGGACCCTGAGGGCAGGCAGCAGGAGAGGACAAGGGCACCAAGGGCACCCTCTAAGCAGACAACCAGTCCAGAAGCTGACAGGCAGGGTGGGAGTGTGGGTGACTACAGGAGCCACACACCCTCCATTGTGGGAGGAGTACAGCAACACTGAGATGACACTTGGGCATTTTGGGTGCTGATTACATCCTCTCCCTTGGATGACGGCTGGGGATAAAACACCATCGGTCCAAGACTGCTGGAGAGGGAGCACAGGGAGCTGGCTATGGGCTTCAGGACTAGACAACCCTGGACACGCAGGTTCCCAAGTGCTTGGAGGGGATGCCAAAGAAGGTGAAGGAAGAAACAGTGGAGCAGGAAAGGAAAGGGTTGCTCAGAAAAGCTGTTTAGCAGTTTCCCACTTCTTCCCTGGAAGTGGCTTCTGCTCCATGTCCCTGTGTTCAGAACTTCATGCCCATTTTGGAGTGACCACAACCACAGCAGAGTCCCACAGAGCAAACCAGCTGAGAACATGAACACACACATGTGCATGCACATGTATGAATACATAGTGCATACTGCACATGTGCTCACACACACACACAGACACACACACACACACACACACACACACACACACACACACACACACACGCAGCAACCAGCTCTGGCCCAGCCCTCCCACGGGGCACCAACTGCTCCAGCTCTGTGAGCTGTCCTTGGCCAGGAGCAAGGCAGGACTGTGTGACACTTACTGCTATTCTCAGGACCGACGCCTTCACGGAGGTCCATTTGTCCTGCCTCCTGTCGATGACCAGGATGAATCCGATGCCAGCATCTTGCAGGCTAAAACAAGGAGAGACAGCAGGTAGTGTGTGCAGAGGCACCCGGCTTCCACCCCCATGCCATTCTGCTTGAGGAACATGGCAGGGCTGAGCAGCCCCAGCCCCGTCTCATCTACGGGTCCTTCACGGGGTGCTGGTTACATTTGGCCTGAGATGGGCCACATCCTTTCAGAGACCAGCAGAGCCATCCTTCCCCAGAACCAGGCGTCTCATCCAAGACAAAGAGCAGGTCACTTCCTCCTCCTGCAGCTGACTCAGCTTGCTGCACCCCAAACACGTGCTAGGGCTTGTGGGTCATGTCAGCCCCAGCATCTCTGGTCTGCGTTTGCATCCCCTTTAGGAGATCACTCTTGATGCCTTTGCCACAGGCTTGGGCGTGAACCCCCCAGGCTCCCAAAGGCTCACGCGCATCCGTCAGGAGCACGGTGTAGGCTTTCGCCCTCCGCAGCAGCATCTGAGGCAGGGACCCAAGCTCCCAAGTTGTATAACCGCTCCGTGTCCCTGGCTCAGCCTGGCAGCAGGAGCCTGAGTCACAGTGTAGGCACAGGAGGGTGGCTTCCGCCAGGCTTTCCCGTCCAAGCCAATGGTGCAATGCCAGCAGCTGCCACCACCAGCCAATGCATGACAAAAGGGAGGAGACAGCCCAGGATGACATTGGCTTGCATTGCTAATTTCCAGATCTCTGAGCAGAGTTGAGCAGGCTGTTTCTGGGTTATAGTGAAATCAGAATTCTGCAGAGCATTCGACATTACGCGGTCTGCAGTGCTATGTGTGTCGTGAGTGCTCTGCCTCCAATCTAAGTACACGACTGTTGCGTGTAAGGTGTGTACCCCTGTGCCATCAGCTGTGCTAACACCATGCTGCATAATGAGGGCCCCACATGGGTGAAGGAATTTGGTTTGGTAACAGCCAAGCACTTCCAGGTAAATGCGCAAATAAGCATAAGTTTTCACTCAAAACAGCCCTCCTGCTGTTGACTGTGCCACACAGATTTCAGACCCACTTCTGGCAGGTGACTGGCAGCCTGGTGAAGAGACAGAGGAGAACCCTGTGTCTGCTGGGCCTGGTGCTGGGGAGCCTGGCCCCTCCCTATAGCCCTGAGCAGGGTTTTGTTGCAGCTGCCCTGACTCCAGCTGCCAGTGGGCAACTCCAGCCTTGCTGCCCAGCCCAAGCCATGCAATCCCCGGCTCAGCCTGGGATCTGGACACAGCAAGGAGGAGGTGGCATTGTGACAGCTGCCAGAGGGACAGGTGCTGTGCTGAGGGCCCAGTCACATCCTCTCTGGGGAGGTAGCAAACGTCAGGTTATGTGACCAGCTTTGCAGTCTGTGCAGCTGTAGAAATGCTGGGCTCTGGAGACAGCATGGCTGATGGGATGCTGCCTTCCTGTGTCCCTCCTCGAGGTTGTGCTGGGCTGCCTTTGTGTCACCTGTCGCCTTCCATGGAGACAGAGAGAGGGCCTCAGGCCAATAGGCCCATAGCATGCTTTCTCCAAACCAGGGGTGTGAAAATCTCCCAAGGCAGACTTGACCCACAGAGTTTGCTGAGAGCAGCTGTGAGAGGGGTGTGCACAGGAGGAGGGAGGAGGGACTGGGGCCCCGATGCAAGGTCATCGCGAGCTACCTCCAAATTCCAACATCACAGGGTTGTGCACAACAAGAGTCCCCGGCTTGAGGCCACAGCACCAGGGAGCGATCAGCACTGCAGCTGAGCTCACTATTTCATAGCAACAGAGCCTGACTCAGTTTCTCCTGCATATTTCAACAGTGCTTCAGATGCAGTGGGTGCCATCCTCAGACTCCAGTCTACTTGCATCCTGAGAGCCCCTCACTGTTCTGACTGCTGCCCCAGCCAGCTTCCAACTCCACCATTTCCCCACCCCCGCATCCCCCCGCCACCTCCCCCAAGGCCATGGCTCCCAGCCCCTTTCACATGTGCCTCTACACTGGGTCGCACTGGTCATCTGTCTTTGCCCAGCCACCACACATGCCTGGCATCCGGCGCCCCTCACACAGCCATGCCCTCCGAGGGCCCTGCCTGGGGTCTTCACTCTCATATAGAAAACCCTTGGCTCAAGGTCTCCATGTCACTGCATGGCTCAGGGTCTCCACTGTACCACAGTGTCACAAAGTGGGCATTTTGTTTCTCACAGGAAAGCAGAGTTACCAACTGTTCAAGGTTGAATGGTGGAGGGACACAATGAACTGGAACCTGCAGGTACTCAGGAATACGTGCTAGGAGAATGTGTCTCTGGGAGGTGGCTAAGGGAGCTCACAGGGCCACCTGGGGTGGGAGGACTTGGGTGGGCTCCTCCTCTTAGAGGAGGTTCCTCTGTATCTTGGTGTGGCCGGGGCCCAGAGTGGGACTGAGATCTACATCCCTGCTTCCCCAGGGCTTTGTGGTGGCTGCATGGGGCCAGGACTTATCTTGCAGGGCATAGCAAGTGTGAGTCGTTCAGCTGGCTGCTCTGCAGGTGGCACTGAAGGCAATGATGAGCAGGTGACCAGCACTCGAAGCTCAGCCCACATGTGCCCACATTGCGTCTAAAGTTGCAGCCTCAGCAGGGCACCCATCAGCCACTCACAGCTGAGTCTGAGACCAGTGAATTCTGTCTGGCCCTGATGAACACCTGTGCCTCTTATAGCTCATGGCTCCTGCAGCACCATGGCCCAGAATTGGCCCTGGGTGCAGGTAGAGCAGGACACAGGGCAACTGGGCATGGGGCTGGGCCTGCAGGCATGGACAGTGAGGGCCCAGCCTCTCCATGCCCTCTGCAGAACAGCAGGGAGCTCTACACACACACTACCTTTACAGTCACTTTCCTCATTGCTGGGACACAATTCTTGACACCCAGAGCTTAAAAGAGGAGAGATTTGGCTGGGGATTTAGCTCAGTGGCATAAGCACCTGCCTTGCAAGCATAAGGTCATGAGTTCCATCTCCAGTCCCCCCCCCCTCCGCCCAAAAAAGAGGAGAGGTTTAATTTGGCTCATGTTTTCAGGGCAAGGCAGGATGGCAGGGCAGAGGGACCTGGGGGAGGAGAGCTGCTCAGAGCATGGAGGTCAGGAAGCAGGGGGTGGTGGGCTGGGAGGGCAAGACCACACCCAGAGACTGTCTCCTCAGCCAAGCTCTGCCCACAACACCACAGTCTGTTCCGATCCCTTCTGGATTCATCCAGGATGAGCATCGCACCTATGACCCAGTGAACCTCCACGAACACTGCCTGTGAGCTCACAAGGCTTGGGGACATCATGATCAAAACCACAACACCCCCTAGGTCCATCACCATTTTCAGGTGGAGAAACTGGCGCACAGAGATCTTAATACTTTCGAGTCAAAAGCAAGAGGAGAGGCAGGGCCAGAGCCTGGCAGCTGGATGACTACATCCAGGTCCTTTGCCCCCTCGGTGGGAGGCCAAGTGGCAGATGAACGGGGCGTTCCATGGCAGGAAAGGTGCTGGGGAGCAGCCCTGGGCCTGGAGCTGCATGGTGGGACATGTGGAGGGCAGGAGGGACAGGAAGGGTGACACAGTCTGGACGGGGTGAAGGAAGCAAATCCTGCCAGTGGGAGATGCCTCCATGGTTTCTAAGAGATCTTGCCAAAGCCCAAATGCCTTGCCTTTCTAGGGTCATTTTTCACGCAGGGACCTCCGGAGGACATGTGGAGGACATGCACAATTCTAAGCGCAGGATGTACCAGCAACAAAGTAACCAGACTGCAGGAGACCTCGGTGACATGTGACCAACGACAGCCCTACTGTGGCTCCCCTGGGGCAGGTGTGAGGCCACTCTGCCGAGCAGGAGAAGGCACAGCCTGCTTCAGACGTGGGAAGAGAATGTGTGCAGAGCCAACCGAGGGGCTGGGACAGTGTCATGGGACAGAACGTCCTCCTGGGCACCCAGCTTCTGAGGTGTCCAGTCACGTCCCATGGGCTCAGGGGTGCAAGCATAAGCAGGACAGTGGTTGTCACCTGAGGCCCTGAGGGCCAGCATCGGCAGGCAGAGGCCTCTGGAGACTCCTATACTCCCATCACAAAAGGCCACTTCCTGGACTCCTCAGGTGGGACTTCTGGGAGCAGTGGCACCTTAAACTATGCACTGTGTCTCACACCATTCCAGAAGCCTATGCTGGCCCTGCCTGACCCCAAAGGCCTCAGGCCCAGGAGGAAATGGCATCACAGTGGTGGACAGCTGGCTGTGGAGGGCACAGTGGCCTCAGATGCCACAAGTGTTTGAAGCAGACAAGGAACAAGAAGAAGAAAATCCTCTAGAAACAACTATCCTAAGCCCACAGGTCCAGGCCAGTAGCCTCTGTCCTGTCCTTGGCCTCGGGGACTATCCTCACCCCAAGGTATGCCTCTCTGAGCATCCATCCCAGACTCTGGTCAGATTCCTGGCCTGGACCTTGTCCCTCTGCCTGTGCCATGAGACCAGTTGCTCACTGGTCACTGGGAGACCAAGGCCAGAGCTGATGCCTCCCCAGGGCAGCCACACTTATAGGGCTTCTGGTCCCAGGCATGTCTACCACTGCTCTTATCACCAAATCCCAGGGCTCCCTAACTTGGCCACAGCTGGGCCCCAACACAAGGCCCCACTTGGCCCATAACCAGCCCCTGGGGGACAGCAGTTAACAGGCTCAGGCCCCTGCCTGCACAATACCCACTTCCCTTACAACAGAAGGCCACGGCATCCATGGGTGATAGCCACCATTTCCTGTGGGGAAGAACATAGGGTCACGATGCCCACCTTGTCCCCAAATAGGGGCGTGGTGGCTGTGGACATGATTGTGGCTGTGGTCACAGACTGGTACTGCCCAGAACATGAGCTGAAACAAGGCCAGCCCTATGCAGACCTGGGTTGTGACCTACTTCATTTTCTTCTTCAATGGCCGCATGTGCTCAGGGTTATCACACTTGGGCAGCTATAGAAAGACAACAGTACCAAAGGACGAGGGGCTGTGCTAAATGACCCCAGTCCACAGAAGACCCCATGCCTTTGTGCCCTTCCAACACAGCCGGGCTGCGCCATGATCTCCCTCTGCTGACCCCAGTCCATGGCCCCGCCAGTGTCTCCCACCCACATCTGCCTCAGGTCAGGGGCCGCCTGGCTCCCAGCTCCCAGCTCCCAGAACAAAAGGGCTCTTCACAAGGATTCTGAGGGCCTCATCTCTGACCATCCTGGGGCCCACCCTGTGAGGCCTCTGCTGACCCCAAGCAGGCCAGCCAGTCCCCAGGCTCTGTGATGACTGTCCCTCAGGCCCCCAGCGTGTTCCCAAGGCTCTGTGCCATGCCCTCAGGTCCTCAGTGCCTGTGCCCACTCCTTGGTGTGAAGCCCCCTTGCTGTGGGCTGTTCACACTTGTGCCCACCCACACTCCCTCCTGTAACACCCTTCTCTGTGATGTACAGGACCAGGCCTGTGTGCCAGCTTCAGGGTTCACAGCCACGGCTCCTCCTTGTATCCCTCGGTCCCGTTGCACCCTGAACCCTGGAGCTCACCCAGGTGGTGACACCAGAAGGGAGGAATAGAGTCCCTCCCCAACATGGGGACTTACGGGGTCACAGTGCCACCCCTTCCAGGGCTGGATGTTTAAGGCATCATGGGTCATAGATTCTGGGAGATCGGATTCATCTCCCAGAAAGGGAGAACTTGAGCCGTCATGCCAGGGTGCCACCCATGCAGCCATGCACCAAATGCCTGCTCACATGTCCCTCATCTCATGGTCAGGAGGGCAGTGTCCACTTCATTGCACATGTCCTGGGTGTGTGGACAGGGCTTGTCTTCCTCAGCTCCACACCTCACCATGGGCATCAATGCTGGCCAGGCTGAACTGGCCACCTATCTCTGCCTATCACAGGAGCAGAGTTAAAACTCGAAGCAGATTTTTTTCTGACATGATAGAGCCAACATTTGGTTGTAAAGTGACAGCTACTACTTTTAAAGGTTGTCGTCTGCGATGGGGTGACCACACCCTGCTACCCACTGGGGTCTAGGGGCTGGGGAAATCTCCCAAAGCATCCAGTGCCCAGCCCGGAGCACACACCTGGGGATGCTGGTGAGATAGGTCATGACATTCTGGAACTCCTTGTCCGGGACCTCGCTGAAGGTGGGGTAGTCGGGGAAGGTGATGACTGGGCTTCCGTCCTGCCCCCGTCCACCTGGAGAGAGAAGCAGACACTCAGCAGAGTCCCACCCACCCTGCTCCCCAGAACTATCTGCTTCCTTCCCCAAGCCCCACGCTTTGGCACAGTTCTTTGATTTCACCGTATTCTACATTCTGCATTTTCCAGGTGGGACTCAAACTTGCAATCTTCCTGTCTCAGCTTCCAAGGGTTCTGAGATTCCAGGCCTGCACCACCCTACCTGGCTTGCATTTTTACTCTGAAGACACATATGCCTTGGGAAGTGAATTGAAGCAGTCACCTGTTACTTCTGCCGGGGCAGCCAACCCCACATTTCTCCCCTCCCCTGTTCTGTGCACCTCTCCACACTCATATGTGCCTGGGTAGTCAGACAGCCTTGCACCCTGCCTTGTCACAACCTTACCCCTACTGTGTGGCATCCAGCCTGGCATCTGCCCTACTGCCTGTCCAGGCTGTGGCAGGTGCTCAACAGCAGAACAGATAGGGTGCACACATGTATATTCCTACCCACACACACATCCTGGAATCTCCAGGTGAGAGAAACCTCACACTTCGCACTTCCTGCAGGGGGTGGTGGACTTCAGTGCCCAGTGACCCTGTTCTTGCTGTGGGGCCAGCCAGGTGATCCTTGACCTTCATGGCAAGACAACCCCCCATGGTGTGAAGCCTTCTCCTCAAAGCCCTCCGTCCTGGGAGTCCAGACCTCTTGGGCTAGGTGATTAGTCCAGGCCCCTGGCACTTGGGTGAATGTCCCTGGGTTCCTGCCAGGTTTGACCCAATGTGAAGAACTAAGAGGCGAAAGCCTGATCTAACCATGGTGTGTAGAGAGGCCCCTGGGTGTGACCCAGGTTAGATAAAGCCACAGGCCCCTTGTTGCACCCTGGGAGCTTCATAAGCAGAGGGAGCCAGCAGAGGACACAGACATACAGGTTCTCTCACACGGATGCCCCACACTGCTTCCAGGCTCTGGCAGCAGGACAGTCATTGCCAGAGGTGGCACTCAGTCTTGGATCTCCAGAACCAAGGTCAACATCTTTCTCAGGGCACACTCAGGGCAGTGTGTTGTTTGGGGCAATGGGAGGTGCCAAGCTCCTGCCCAGCGAGTGTGGAGATCCCCCGGCTGCACTGTCCAGAGCAGGCGGGCAGCCCCACGCAGGCATTCCAGCTGACAGGCCACAGTCCCCTCTATGCCCTGCGCTGAGTCTTGGACTCACCAGACAGGTAGGCAAAGCGCTTCCTTAGCTGCTCCTGGATGTCAGCAGCACAGAGTGGGACAAGGTCCTGGTGCATGATCTCATCTGCAAAAGAGAGACATGGGTCACAGGAGAAGGCCAGCCCATGCCCTGCATGGCATCCCAGCTGGTGAGGGGCAGTTGCCAGCAGAGGGTGCCTCAGTTCCCCTGGCACAGAGGTCGGGACCTGGGGGCATCCATACTTAAAATTCATGGGAGAAATGGAGGAAGGGAGGAGAGGGACAGAAAGAAAGACAGAGACGGGAGAAGAGAGAATGAGGAAGAGGAGAAATATTGGAACCAGGACAGAGGTGGGCACAGTAGAGCAATGGAGAGAAGAGCTTTCACAGGGTGAGCATACACTCCAGATCCCTGTCACCATATGCTCCCGAGGCCCAGGGCAACTCCACCTAGCTTGCTACCTAATCAGTGGGGACACGGGCCATCATAACTGTCATACTCTGCCATGCCAACCCCATACACGTGGGCGCCCAAGGTCCTGCTCACCATAGTGACCCACAGTCCCCATACATGCAGGTGCCAGGAGTTCTGCATCACCAAAGTGACCCATGGTCCCCATACACACAGGCACCCAGGGTGCTGGTTACCACAATGACCCCTATCCCCATAGACGCAGGTGCCAGAGGTCCTGGTCACCATAGTGACCCATGGTCCCTATACCTGCAAGTGCCCAGGATCCTGCATCACTCCAATGACCCATGGCCCCATACACACAGGCACCAGTGGTCCTGCATCATCACAGTGACCCATGGCCCACATACATGCAGGCGCCAGTGGTCCTGCATCACCACAGTGACCCACAGTTCTCATACACACAGGTAACCAGGGTCCTGGCCACCATAGTGACCCACTGTAAAGTTGATACATCGTGTCAACTTCAGAAGTTTAATAAGGGACTCAGCAAGGGGCCAAAGTCCTCACTTTGTAAACATCCTGAGCCTGTGCAAGAGAAGGGCACAGAGATGGTATGAGTGTTACACTCACCCTGGGGAGAAGGGTGTAGCTGGCTTACAGTATAAGGGAGGAAAAGAAGCTTGTTCTTCCTCCTTTTTGCTCTCACTGCTTTCGCTGCTTTGTGTTGCCTGTGTGCGATGCCACCCTGCTTTGAAGCCAGCTGATTATGGACTGAAACCTCCACAAACTGAGCTAAATAAATCTTTTCTTCTTTACTTTTGGGTGTCATGTATTTTGTCCCAGAAACAAGAGAAAAGTAGCCAAGACAGAATTTGTACCAGGAGTGAGGTCACTGCTGTGACTACACCTGACCACATAGTCCAAGAGCCTTTGGGAGGAGCTTGTGGGAAGAACTTATAAAAAGTTCAGAGATGTCACCTGAAAGAGTAATGTTAGAAAAGCTTAGGCTGAGGGGCTGGGGATTTAGCTTAGCAGCGTAAGTGCCTGCTTGGCAAATGCAAGGTCATGAGTTCAATCCCCGGCACCAAAACAAAAAACAAATAAAAAACAACAACAACAACAACAAAAAAAACAAACCCAAAGAAAATCTTAGGCTGTTCTACATGGGAAATTCTGGTTAGAGCTCAGAATACCAGAAGGCTGATAGAAATCCTGCCGGTAAAGATGCGGCTCTGGAGGTTTCTGCTGGGAAGCACTGCACTGAGGTGAGCAGGCCAAGGCTCACCAGGGCCTGGCCACAGTCCTGGAAACACCTGCCCAAATGTGCAAACCCCAGCATGACTGGACCTTAGACGGCACCCATTTGCAAGTGTGAGGGGCCGACATGGGTGTCCCTATGGGGTACACCAATGGGTGATGGGCAGTCCTTACAGGAAGGTTTCAGTTTAATCTGTGGAACTGAGGCTAAGAAATGGGCACAAAGGAGCCCGGGTCCCCAGTGGTCAGAAGTCAGGGGCAGGAAGTGGTCATCTGCTCTCCAAGGGGCAGGCACTGACAGACTCTAACACCAAGGGCCCAGCTATGACTCCCCCAGTGAGGGAAGCCCGGGCAGTGGAAAGGAGGGCAGAGCTCAGGGCTCTGCACACGCAGGGGCACTTTCCTCCAGGCTCCTCCGTATAGGGAGCTGGAGCCAGGCCTGATCTGTCCCTGTGTGGCCTTTCCAGAGTGCACAGCTACTTGGGCAGGATGTAAGGTGCTGGGTTGGTCCAGACCAAGGGCCCAGGCTGCCCTGCCCGCCGCTGCCACGAGCTCTGAGCAGCCTGTGTCTCAAGGCCGCACGCAGTGCTTTCTTGATCTCAGGGCTCTCTGTGGGTCTGCAGAACCCAAGGACTGCTTTATTTCTCTTGCTCTCCAGTGCAGAAGAAAGGGGGGTTGGGGAAGGGGTGTCCAGGACCACACAATAGCCTACTATTCGCTAACTGCCTGCACTTATCTGTTTCCGCAACCCAGGGCCTTTGCTTGCTGTCAGTCAAAGGTAACAGTCAGTCTATTCAGATACTGGGGCTGAGGGTCACAGGGATGACGTCACTGCCTTCCCTCAGGATACCTGCTCTGACAAGCTGACTGGGAGTGTCCACCAAGGACAGGGTGTCCGGAGAAGAGGAGGTGGAGAAGGAAGGAAGGCGGCAAGGAGAGAAGGAGTTGAACTTGCAAGATGAGTAAGCCACAGGTTCTAGGACTGCAGGCTCTGGCAGAGCCAGGTTCCCACAGCTCCGCATGCTCCCCACTTGTGGGACATGAGGGGTGTCCATGGACTCGTTGCCATGCAGACTGAGAGCACTGGTGTGGCCCTCGGGACGTCTGAGCAGCACCTTCCCTGAAACCCCAAGCCACGTGCACTCCTACTCCTTCGGAGCAGAGTATTTCCAGTCCCCAGCACCTGAATGCACCAAGTCACTGAACGTCCTCCTTTTCCCTAGTCCTTACAAGGGTAAAGCAAAGTCCTAGTGGGAAGGAGGTGGTGTCTATGGGCTCAATCCCAGGTTCCCGAGTGCAGGGTGCTGCAGGGTGCCAGCATCTCACCCGAGAGTGGTGTCCTCCACGTGCATGTGGAGGACACAAGGGCACATGCAGAGCTGAGGAGGAGGACAGGGCATTAGCAGGCACGTGAAGAGTCTGACAGAGGTGGGAAGACACCCTCAGGGCACCATCTCCCTAGAACTCAGCTACCTGAGGGCCACAGCCCAGCCACCTGATGCGTAGGTGACAGCTGCTCTGGCTGGGATCTCTGTGGGACTCCTCAATGACCCAGGGCTCCTGGTGGACAGTGGGCCTGTGAGGTAGGGGAAGCTGATGACCTGGGCCAGCACCCTGGGGTGTAACAGGGCTCCCTTACCTTCTCCCATGTTTAGCACAACATCTGCACTTGGGCTTCTCATGACTTTGCCCAGGGACAGACATACCAGGTGCAGGTACTCACATGGCTCAGGCCCCATGCTCCTGCTGCTGTCCCCAGCCTTGTCGAGCCTAGGAGTCCATAGGACAAGCCTGAGGACAGCAGCAGGCCCCTCGAAACCTAACTCCACACTACATATGCATAGGTCCCAGCTTGTCCACTACATGTCAAAGGGAGGTGGCCAGTGGGCTAGGAGACACCTGCCACGGCCCCGGCAGCATCACTCCTGGAGCCACAGCCTCAGCCCGACTGTCCTCTTACATGTGGTGGGATGAAGTGCATCTGATGAGATACAGTATGTCCTATGACCACAGAAGAGGGAACTGGTTGCGCCCTGGGATGCAGCAAGCGTGGAGGACAGGTTAGCGGTGGAGCCAGGTGCAGGTGACAGTTGGTGGCAGCTTATGTGGATCCCCAAGGTGTGGGTCCTGTGGGCAGAGCGTTGGCCTCCTCGGGCTGGGCTGGGGCCTATCAAGGGGATGAAGTCCCTGTCACATGGAAGGATCGGGTGCTAGAGACCTCAGGTGGTGACCACCCGTGGGCACAGCCCTGTATGCATGAGACCTGCTGAAGGAGCAAGCCCTGCGCATCTGTCATTACTGCTCACACACACTGGGCTGTGTGAGGTGCTGGACATGTTAATCTGCTGTAGCGGTGACCTCAGGGTCTGGGCCGCATGGGTGCTCGTTCAGGGGCCCGGCTGGCCCTGCTCCTTGCCTGCTCAGCTGCCCCATGTGCAGTGAAGGCCCTGGGCAGCTGTACTTGGTGCCCTCCCTGCATGATGTGGGGGCAGGTGAAGGTGAGGGGTGTGAAGCCCACAGGGCAATGCTGGATCCCGTGGCTGGGACCTATGGCAGTAGGTTGGCCTAGCACTGTGTTGCAGGAGAGGCAGGAACCAGCTGCCCCTGTCCTCCTCTGTCCCCTTGGGGGCAGCCCTCAGGCTCCCCTCTGTTTTTAAAGCCTAGCAAAAACACACAATACTCCTGGGTAGGGTGCTTATCACATCTGAAATCGGAGCTGAGACCTGCCGGACACTGCCTTACATAAGACAGTATGTAAGAAGCTGTTCTTTTTCCTTTCTGTTTGGTGGTACTAGGGAATTAAACCCATGGCCTTTGCACTGAGCTACATCCTCAGCCTCTTTAGTTATTTTGAGATGGGCCTCTCTAAATCGTTAAGTTACCAAGCCTGGGCTTAACCTTGTGATCCTCCTACCTCAGCCTCCCAGGTTGCTGGGATGACAGGTGTGGCCACCATGTCAGGATGACAGGAGTGGCCACGTCAGACCCAGCAGGACCCATGTCCTGGTCCCAAGGCTCCTGCTGGGAGCTGGACACCTCTGTGGCAGGGCCGGACACCTATGTCACAGCGCACAGGGCCACCAGGTACGGCTGGAAATATAGGGACATAGGGCCCCCTGGGGGACAGGGCTCCATGGTGGCAAGGGAGCAGCACAGGGCCAAAAGAGGGACAAACAGGAGGTAGAAGGGAGAGAAGCCCAGAATGTTTCTGGCCAAGAAACATTTCTTCATGAGAAGTCAGCAGTCAGCACAAGGCCCCGGGGGCCTAATTCACCCCACACTCAGGCCTGAGGTTGCACGCAGCAGTTGGGGGATGACGCAGGTGATGTTTCTCTACAGCTGGGAAAACAATTTGGTGTTGGGAGCCCCTGAGAGCCCAGGCTGGGCTGATGCTTTAAAAAAACACAAAACCTGAAGTTCTACTTCAGTGGTGA